AAGCTTTTACCATTCTGTTCTTTGCCAGATTTTACCCTTGTTATACATAATGCATCCCCACCCTACCCCACTGATCATAATTTAGACATTTTGAAATCTACACTACCCCATGATCCTTCCATGGGCACATATGTTTCAGCTTTTTTGGCCCAGTGGTTCCTGAGAAGAAGATTTTCAAAGATTTTTCCTATACATTTCTATGTAAAACTTTGTTCCCTGTGTGGCCCCGCCCTTCCCCCGGGGGTCATGATTCCTACAATTTAGAATTTACACTACCCCAGAATGCTTCCACATAAGCTTCACTTTTTCTGGCCCAGTGGTTCTTGAGAAGAAAATTTTCAAAGATTTTTCCAATATATTTCTATATAAAACTTTGATTCCCCATTGTGGCCCCGCCCTTCCCCCTGGGGTCATTATTTGAACAATTTAGAATCTACACTATACCAGGATGCTTACACATAAGTTTCAGCTTTTCTGGCCCAGTGGTTCTTGAGAAGAAGATTTTCAAAGATTTTTCCTATATATTTCTATGTAAAACTTTGATACCCCATTGTGGCCCCGCCCTTCCCCTGGGGGTCATGATTTAAACAATTTAGAATCTACACTCTCTCTCTCTCTTCCACATAAGTTCTCTCTCTCTCTCTCTGGTTCTTGAGAAGAAGATTTTCAAAGATTTTTCCTATATATTTCTATATAAAACTTTGATTCCCCATTGTGGCCCCACCCATCCCCCGGGGGTCACGATTTGAACAATTTAGAATCTACACTACCCCAAGATGCTTCCACATAATTTTCAGCTTTTCTGGCCCAGTGGTTCTTGAGAAGAAGATTTTCAAAGATTTTTCCTATATATTTCTATGTAAAACTTTGATACCCCATTGTGGCCCCGCCCTTCCCCCGGGGGTCATGATTTGAACAATTTAGAATCTACACTATACCAGAATGCTTCCATATAAGTTTCAGCTTTTCTGGCCCAGTGGTTCTTGAGAAGAAGATTTTCAAAGATTTTTCCTATATATTTCTATGTAAAACTTTGATACCCCATTGTGGCCCCGCCCTTCCCCCGGGGGTCATGATTTGAACAATTTAGAATCTACGCTATACCAGGATGCTTCCACATAAGTTTCAGCTTTTCTGGCCCAGTGGTTCTTGAGAAGAAGATTTTCAAAGATTTTTCCTATATATTTCTATATAAAACTTTGATTCCCCATTGTGGCCCCACCCATCCCCCGGGGGTCACGATTTGAACAATTTAGAATCTACACTACCCCAAGATGCTTCCACATAATTTCAGCTTTTCTGGCCCATTGATTCTTGAGAAGAAGATTTTCAAAGATTTTTCCTACATATTTCTATGTAAAACTTTGATACCCCATTGTGGCCCCGCCCTTCCCCCGGGGGTCATGATTTGAACAATTTAGAATCTACACTATACCAGAATGCTTCCACATAAGTTTCAGCTTTTCTGGCCCAGTGGTTCTTGAGAAGAAGATTTTCAAAGATTTTTCCTATATATTTCTATGTAAAACTTTGATACCCCATTGTGGCCCCGCCCTTCCCCCGGGGGTCATGATTTGAACAATTTAGAATCTACACTACCCCAGGATGCTTTAACATAAGTTTCAGCTTTTCTGGCCCAGTGATTCTTGAGAAGAAGATATTCAAAAATTTTTCCTACATATTTCTATGTAAAACTTTGATACCCCATTGTGGCCCCGCCCTTCCCCCGGGGGTCATGATTTGAACAATTTAGAATCTACACTATACCAGAATGCTTCCACATAAGTTTCAGCTTTTCTGGCCCAGTGACTCTTAAGAAGAAGATTTTGAAAGATTTTTTCTATATATTTCTATATAAAACTTTGATTCCCCATTGTGGCCCCGCCCTTCCCCTGGGGGTCATGATTTGAACAATTTAGAATCTACACTACCCCAGAATGCTTCCACATAAGTTTCAGCTTTTCTGGCCCAGTGATTCTTGAGAAGAAGATTTTCAAAGATTTTTCCTATATATTTCTATATAAAACTTCGATTCCCCATTGTGGCCCCACCCATCCCCCGGGGGTCATTATTTGAACAATTTAGAATCTACATTACATGTATACCAGGATGCTTCCACATAAGTTTCAGCTTTTCTGGTCCAGTGATTCTTGAGAAGAAGATTTTCAAAGATTTTTCCTATATATTTCTATGTAAAACTTTGATTCCCCATTGTGGCCCCGCCCTTCCCCCGGGGGTCATGATTTGAACAATTTAGAATCTTCACTATACCAGGATGCTTCCATATAAGTTTCAGCTTTTCTGGCCCAGTGGTTCTTGAGAAGAAGATTTTCAAAGATTTTTCCTATATATTTCTATATAAAACTTTGATTCCCCATTGTGGCCCCACCCATCCCCGGGGGTCATTATTTGAACAATTTAGAATCTACACTACCCCAGGATACTTCCACATAAGTTTCAGCTTTACTGGCCCAGTGGTTCTTGAGAAGAAGATTTTTTAATGACCCCACCCTATTTTTGTCTTTTCTTGATTATCTCCCCTTGCGAGGGGATATGTCCCTTCATTTTAACAATTTAAATTCCCATTTACCCAAGGATGCTTTGTACCAAGTTTGGTCAAAATTGGCCCAGTGGTTCTTGAGAAGAAGTCGAAATGTGAAAAGTTTACAGACGGACAGACAGACAGACGATACAGACGGACGGACAGACGGACGGACGACGGACAAAATGTGATCAGAAAAGCTCACTTGAGCCTTCGGCTCAGGTGAGCTAAAAATACAGACAATTAAAAGTTCCCTAACACTCGTATTAACAGTATAACAATATACCTGAGCTGTTTAGATCTTGCTTTCTCGGCCTTCCTCTTGTGAATGTGCTCCATCAATACTCTCTTGTTCTTGAAACCATTACCTTTAGATTTCATGTACAGTTCATGATATCTACAAAAGTAAACATGTTATGCTATATCATAGAGGAAACAAACTAGTTCTAATCACATGCTACATACAAGCAGAAAATGGTGTTGAACAACTCAAACTATGATCATTTTCTAATAATTTCTAGTGAATAAATATTATTTCTATTAATTCTAATCCTATTCAGATTTAATCTATTGAAGATCAAAGCATTTTCAAGTTGAATTATTTTTTTATCAACAATACTATTCTTTAAAACAGATTAATTGTATGTAAACTTACAAATGCTTGTCAATTTTCTTAGCTTCTCTGTAACGCTTCAGAAGACGACGGAGCACTCTCATTCTGCGCATCCACAAGATCTTGACAGGCATACGAGCATTAGCTGTACCCTTTCTCTTTCCATGACCCATGTGGCGACCCTTTCTCCTGGCAATGGCGTTCTTACGAACCCTAGCCCGCGAGTGCACAGCAACAGGTTTGCGGATGATCAAACCATCCTTGATTAATTTACGGATATTTTGTCCTGAAAAACCAAAATTGAATAATTATGTTACATAATTCAAATTTTAAAATTGTAAATATCAGGATTTTATTCTGCTTAACTCTTAAAAGCTGAATATCCACTTACTTGAGTTGGCATTAGCAATTTCATTTGTTTCATTGGGGTCAAGCCAAACTTTGTTTTTGCCACACTTTAGGACGGCGGAGGCCAGCCGTTTCTGCAACCTGAGGGTACTGAAAAAATACAACATATCTGTCTCAGTAAGATATTCCAACTAATAATTCTTATTAAATCAATACTTAAATTTACATAAACTGATATTCAGATTAAATCAAATTATTCATTTGTGCAGAGAACATAAATTCTTTTCAAAATCAAAAATGCAAAGAAGACCGGTCCTTCAAACGAGGCCAATATAAATCAAAAGTCTGGCAGAAGATACTGGCACAACAGATTCCTCACTGGGAACAAGTCTAAATTTGCAGTTTTTCACCAGAAACTGGTGATGTCCCATCAATGGTAACTGGTGGAATCATGAGAGACAAATTGATTCTAAAACTTAAAGGGGGCATAATGAAAATGAGTATGAAGCAGTTAAATTAAATCTGTGGTGGTCACTTCAGTTACTAGTAGTCTTCACACAAATCCACACAGGATACAAGTACAAGTTTACTGAAACATAAGTAACATTTCCTATCTGTGTCTCAAATAAATGTAAAGGACCAATACCAATGCCCCCCCCCCCCCCAACTTAGGTACAACACTACTGAAACACTATCTAGTCCTTTGCAATAAAAAGGCTGTACTTAAATATAAGTTAACATTTGTAAATTTTCAATCGTGTTTTCAATTTTTGCAAGCATTGTTTCTACTGTTATAGACAGTGACACTAGACAGTCAATACATGGTAAATATGCACAACTTCCATTTGCTTTCCATAATTACTTAGAATAATCATAAAACAGAACCAACAAAATAATTTATCTGAAATGTATACAAAATATCAACTGAAATCTGTCAAGTTTTTAACAATTTAATTCTTCTAGATAAGAAATTAACAAAAAATTGAGGAGAAAATTTGCACCTCATGGTTGCGATTTCACGTTGTTGAGAAAAAGGAAGTGCGTCGTAATCGATGTGAAAAATATACTTTTTTAAACAAAGCAATGACTATTATTTCTAAGTACAAAACACTTTATAATATATAATTTAAAATATGAAAATGGCTTTTTTGTTATTTTATGCAATTCAACTTTTTAAAATAAATAAAATATTAAGAACTATTTTTCATTCGCATAAAACAGAGATTAGGCGGAAGAGAAGACTAATAAGAAAGAAAGATCAATCAAAAAGATTTTTATTGATGCTCAATCGTTTATGAAATTTAAATATACTAAGAAAACAATATTGAAAACACAATTGTTGAAAACATTGTTTGATAATGTCATATTCTAGGTCTTCTTTTTATGCGGAATGTTTATTAGTATTTATTTTCTGTGAACTTTTACTGTTGTTAGTTTGACCATAAGACTTCGGATGTTTCCGTAAAGTGTTGAATCCTCAGTTCGGCAAATCTCGGTCAGTTCATGCAGGTGGCAGATGAATGGAACGGAGACCGAATCGTAGTTGATGAAGACTGCAGAGGTTTTCCGAGTCCGTGTCTAGGTCGTTTGTGTGGAAGGTCTTATAATCCCTCCTGGAGGACATTCCACCAAAAATGGCAATGCCAATGGAGACGGAAGGAGTCGTAATAAGAAATGACAGGGAGCGGATTCACAGCGTTCGGGATAGCATGAGTAGAAAAGACAGCATCATGACTGAAAGGGGAAGAGAGGGACAGGAATTGGCATGGGGAAGTGGGACGGGGAAATCCATAGGCGTGTTTACAAGTGGAGGGGATTCCCAGGGTATGTCATTGAAAACAACTTTGCACTAAGCTTGCCATTTCTAATGACAACTGAGAATGACAATCGACTTTCTTTCCGTAACTGTAATGAAAGATTCGCCTAGCAGACAATTTTTTTTCTCCAGTAGATTTCTCGGGTGTTATTATGCGATTGTGAACAATAATCCCGAGGAGTAACGAACATCATTCAATTTAGGGGAGATGGAGGGGATGGGAATGGTGATGGGCAAGGGGGGATTTGAGAAGAAAGATTTTTTTTTACTTTTTTAAAGATACTTTAAGAAGAATCTGAAATAAAGTTATAGTGTTTTATCCATTAATTTGAATGAATACATTTCTCTATCTGTTTTTTAATGATTATAGATCAGTATCGATACTGAGAATGCAGCAAGCATTAGTGATGATGCATTGCTTTGACATTGTTTTGACATTAGTCACATAATGCAGACAGTTTGAACATGCAGACAAGTTTAATCAGTACATAGCAAGGTACAATTTGAAGTTTTGTAACACTGTTAATACTGTATGTAGATTTATATTAACATGATTAAACTACATAGCTCCAGTAAACGTAATTGAAACATCCAGGTTCTTAGATTATAATTAGCGATTGTAATTAGATAGCTAATCACCACAACAATCATCAAACATTTTTCTTTTTGTGTCTCACTCAATCATGAATTTTAAAATGTTAAAATTACGAGGGTTGTCCTGTAAAATCGTGGACGTGTTGTCTAGTGTGAAAAATAATCATTACTATGTTCTGAAATTTTCACTACCCTTTAGTATTTGGTGAATAAACATAACAAATTTTGGATAGATATATGCATAAATAGACAAATTATGAGATTTTATGTTATGTATTGTATCGCCTTATGGCACATGGATTGGATGATAATGTCAAAGTGTCTAAAACAACGTCACGTTTCATCTTTGCTGAAAATGAAGTTGGATATGAGTCCCTCTACAATTTAGGAATTTCATTATGCATGTACTCGGTTCTCCATAAACAGTTGAGGAACCAATCTAGCGCACACACGCCATCTTATGAAGATTTATTAATAAGTTACGGACAAAATTCTCACCATCATTTAACTAATATATATATATAATATAATAATAAACATACAATCTAATATCAATGGTCAACAGTGACGGCATCTTTTGCTATTACAATAGCAGTTTATTCGAATGTTTTGTACTACCCGGGGACTCGATCAAAAATGAATTTGCTAAGAAAACTCCTGTTTCATTTGTATACTTAGGATCTGGTGATTTTTTGAAGAAAAAAAATCTTCTATATTGTTTTAAAGTCTCTACAGGTGTCATTACATCTAAATCAAATTAAATTGCTCTCCAGTGTGAAGTAACGTCATCAAACGTTGCCATTTTTCATATGTTGTGTTTATCACTTTCCCATTTCGAATGCCCGGAAACTGTCAAAAATTAACCAAAGCCTTGAAATTTTTCAAAAGACGACATAGATTATGGAATCGAATTAGCAAAATTTTAACCCCAATCTTAATGTATTTAAAACTTTTATTTCGTTTATTCTCTAATAAAACCTTGGTTTTTTGACGGGCTGCCCTGTGCACATTCAAGCTTAATAAAAATTTTATTTTTGTCTCTATTTTACCAGAAAAATTATGATGCACTTAAATATGATAAATAAACATTTACTGAAAATTTTAGCTTAGTTCACCGATTATTTTTCGAGAAAAGCGTTTGTCCACGATTTTACCAGACAACCCTCGTAAGTATGGATTTTTTTTTTTAGACAATTACACTTATTCATGACAAGTAATGTGATTGTTTATAAAAATGAATGATAAGCATTAATTTTAGCATTTAAAAATTTTCAGGTATGAATTCCAGTGTAAGAGCTGTAGTAAGAATGGGTGCCTACTTGGGCTGTAAAGTTTTCTATATAAAAGAGGTAAATGGTACCAAAAGTAGGCCTTTCAACTGCCGCTAGGGGTCGGTGTTATGAACGATAACTCACTGCTGAAAGGAGTTTTCCACTTAAGTATAGTAGCGTGGTCCCTTTTTTTGCCCTTATTTTACAGAATATACATGAAGATACGGTATTATTTTTAGTTTCATTGTGTATAACAAAGTATTTCTAATTAACATTTTGTACAATCATTATTAATAACTTGCAATATCAAGAAATACAAGCCGATTTCCAACACCTACTGAACACACAAATTCCGGAACATTTTTTTTCGAACAGAGTACGGTTCCTCTATTACATACAAATGGGCGGAGACATTTAAATTAGGTATTATATAAAGGAATAAAACCGATGAATTGTAGCGTGAGATAAGAAATAATAAGCAATATACGATGGGTAATAATAATCTACAATACGTTTGAATTTTATTTTGCATCATTCGTATTCTTCTTAACTTGGGGTGAGTGGGAGTCTTTTTTAGTACTTCTGGTATTTTTGTCGGGGTTTTAAAAATCCCCCTAATCGCGATAATTTTTTAAAATCTATCATTGTTGAATAAAATGTCAATATATTTTACCCACTACAATAATTTTCTTTTACATGATTGTTTGAAAAGCACAGGCGATTGCATAATAATTAACGGTAAATACACACAGACATACACTACCATTCTTTTGTAAAGGGGGGAGGGGGCTGAGAAAAAGAAAACAAGAAACATGAATTTGATAAAGCAAAAGAAAAAGATCGAGGAAATCCTTTTCCAAACTTGAAAACGATTAATGTAGAATTAGGAGTTAATAAAAAATACTCATATTTTTATTTGAAAAATTAAACTTCAACATTAATGTGTGTTTATTATGTTCCCCAAACGAAGTTGGGGAACATATTGTTTTTACTCTGTTTCTTATTATGTTCCCCAAACGAAGTTGGGGAACATATTGTTTTTACTCTGTTTCTTATTAAGGTCTTCCGTCTTCACGGAAGACCTTATAGTGATTCTATTGTTTCTTATTATTATTATTCTTTTTTTTTAGACAAAATTTTGTGCAGGCGATTTCTCGTAAACTATTCGGTGGATTTCAATGAAAATTTCAGGAATTATAGGTCATTATATGAATTTTATATAAAATTCCGTTTTTTGGAAAATTCGCTACCAGTGCCAAGTTATGGACATTTTCCTGATTTTAAAATGCAATTTTGTCTTCGAATGTTCTCGAAAACGGCTCAAGATATTAACTGGAGACTTGTTAGAGATGATAGACCATGAGTTATAGATGTGCAATTTTGACTTCGTTTGCGTCGTCAGTACTTCCGGTCGCTACAGGAAGTGAATTCAAAATGTGCACTTTTTCAACTTTTTTTGTTTTTCAATATTTTTCTTTGATATAATTAATGGTAATTAAGACCCTACTTGAAAGGCCAAATATATAATTTATTTAAGAATTGATCAATCCACACACTAGATATTCGCATTTAAAAATCTGAAGCGTGTCCAAGATGGCGGCGGTCTCGGTAAACTCCGCCATTAAGCAAGTCGGGTTCTAGAAGGTCAGCTGAGCGTTTAGATGAACGAAACTTCTACCAAAAAGATTTATGAAATGTAAAGGATTCTTTAGATTGCTACATCACAATTTCGTTGCATTGAGTATAGTTTTAATATGAGGTTTCCTCAAACTTCTATTGAAATTGCTTTTGTCTGCATCTCATAGTAGAATACAACATGACTACAAGTGGAAATACGATGACTACAGTCTTTAGTTTTGCACCAGGGAAAACTTATCCTAAACCATGGTTATAAGTAATAGCTTTTCAAAAAACTTGCCTGACTTAATATTCACTATGTTTCTGAAGTATTACTTGACTTCTGTTTATTTTACCTCGCAGGCTTATGACATATTAAATGAATAGCAAAGACAAAAGCAAGAAAAACATTTTTTATAAAAGATTGTTTATTAAAGGTTATATGAATATTCTTGTAATAAATGCAAGTTATTGAACATAAAGAGTATCAGATTCCTTGACCGTCGGGGGGCGAGTGATCTTTTCATGAACGTGTAACTCATCTCCACTTTGGGGGTAAACAGGAAACAAAATTCGTGGAAAATTTTACCGAATTCACAGCTTTAGTGTTACTTGGCCGTATACGATATTATATTTGAATAATGTGATAAATTTACTTTCTAACGCTCGAAATTCCGGTAATAAGAACATACATTTCTAATTTTCATTGAAGCTATCAGATCCATTAAATAGATCAAACATTTCAAAGGAATAGCGTTAAGAACTATTTGTGACCTTTGGCCCGAAATAATGTATCCTGACCCGACTTAAGTAGTAGACAAATGGCGACAATAGTGCAGAAATATAACATTGGCATGCCTGTATATGAAGTTGCATGGAATAAAAAGTTGAATACATATCGAATCAAAGACAGAAAACAGTATTATCTGTTCATCACTAAGAGATTATCTATCCTAATAATTACTGTTAAAACTCAAGTAACAATTTCCTATGTGTTCATCTTGAGCAAGTTTGGCGCGAAGATTTACTCGTGGCGTTTGACGGAAAATTATACTGAAAGGAAAAAGAAACGCAGGGTAATCTTTTGAGGTGAATTAAATTTGTTTTTCTGAAAATACTTTTTAGTTTTCCTATCTACCTTTTAAAATCATCTTTCAAAAAGATATAACCAAATTCTCATATGATTTTGTCTAATTATTCATAAGTTATTGAAGGTCAAATGACGATCCCCCCCCCCCAAAAGTGAAAATCGAAAACTCTCATTATCTTCAATGTCTATCAGAGTCTTATTTCTCCTTTGCATGGAATTTCATCAGAGGGTTTATCTTTCAAATCCTGGCTATATTTAGCATGGATAACCACTCAAAAAATAAGTCAAACGGTGCGCGCATGCGCCAGTGAGAGGAAAACAACCGTAAGTTGACTGGCTCAAAAAACCAAATTGCAGAGTTGTTTTCTTTCAAATTTCGTATGAATGTGATGATTATTATCATCTACTCTATAAATGGCTGTTTTTGTGGTAGTAAGGCCGCGATTTAAAAGATGGCAGGACGAATAACCCGCTCGTAACATGACTCTGTTTCGCGTTACCGTCATCGTCACGGTTGATTGAAAACCACTCCAAACCCTCTCTGACAACGACTAAAACGTTTAATGGCGGAAAATTTACAAGAGACTGCTAAGTAAACCGTTGTTGCCTTTTTCATTAATTAGGCAATTTGAAAACAAGACCCCATTGAACTTCCGTAAACTGTGCCAAGATTGCAATAAATTCATAATGTCTCTTAATATTGAAAAACGATGTGCATACCTCATATGCATCAAAAAATGCAACAAGATTTGTTGACAAACTCGTCGTTATCAAATTGTATGTGTTTTGGGTTTTTTTAGCGTTTTCCCTACGTGACGTCATAAATTTTACGGTTGAGTAATTCTGAATACTGATTTTGATGCACAGCAACTAAATATCCCATCTGACTAATTTTCGTAATTTTCGATCATGTGGTCAAATTTTTATCGAAAATTATGCTACCCTGCGTTTCTTTTTCCTTTCAGTATATGAATAGTGACCGCTTTTCATTATTCTAAGACAGATGTACTGTTTCAGAAGTATGTAAAGTAGATTTAGAGATGTGGTCCCAATAGTGTAACAGTAAGCGCTTTGTATTTTCATGCTGGCGACCCGGGTTCAATCCCCTTTGTTTCCGTAAAAAAAATTATCACTTTTTCAGCTCGATTTTGCGGGTTTTCTTTTTTCAGAATCGGACGGAAGACCTCTCGTTGCTCGCAACGAGTTTCTTTTCTAGTTATTATTATTATTATTATTATTATTTTTCTTCTTCTTCTTCCTGGAACTTTTTTGTCCGGGAATGATCTTGTAAACTGTTCATCCGATGTAGGTAAAACCTTTTTAGGGTTAGTAGACATGTTATGTAGATTTGCGGAATCAAGGTCATTTTGCGCGCACGTGCTTGCAAGAGCGTGCACGTGCAACACGTGAAATAACTAATATAATAGATATAGCCACAACTGTTCTATTTTTAAATGAAATGCTTTGAAACTCATAATTTGAGGATATATTAGTAGTATAGACATGACGACATGGTGAAAATAGCAAGATCTCACGCGCATGCACGTGCACTTCGCTCTGATTGGCTGCAACTAAAGTCTCAATATCTTTCTTGTTTTTTGACGAAATCCTTTGAAATTTTGAACATAGCCATGCATTAGGATATCCTACAACATGAAATAAAGCAATTATCATGAAAACACGTGCATGCACGTGCGCTGCAATCTGATTGGCTGAAACTTTAAACAGCTATAACTCCCTTGCTTTTCAACCAAACAGGATGGGATTTGGAACATAGATAGATAAAATGGACTTCTACAAGTAGGTATGGTCACCATGCACATGCATACACGTGCGTGTACATGTGCTGCAATCTGATTGGCTGAAACTTTAAACAGTATAACTCCCTTAGTTTTCACCCAAACGGGGTGGAATTTAGAACGTAGATAGATGTAATGGACTTCTACAAGAAGGTATGGTCACCATGCTCATGTATGCACGTGCGTGCACGTGAAATGAGTAAAATTAAACATACACTTGAATGAGCGTATTTTTTTTAATAATTTTGGATTAAATACTTTAATATTCAGTATATTAAAAATATAGATTGTGTAGACAAGATGATATGGTCATGACGCAAATGCATTCACATGTGCACGCGTGCAATGCTAAAGTTTAAATGATTTTTGTACACTTCTTTGTTAATGTTGTTAAAATCTCAGATGCATAGAGGTTGTCTTATTTAATGAAGCTTACAGGGAATATGGCACCAAAAGGGAGTTGAGGAGCGTTTGGGGAACATCTGTAACGGTCCCCGTTACAATTAGCACTAGTTATTATTATTATTTTTCTTCTTCTTCTTCCTGGGTACTTTTTTGTCCGGGAATGATCTCGTAAACTATACATCCGACTAAGGTGAAATGTTTTTAGGTTCAGTAGACATGTTATGTAGATTTGCGGAACGAAGGTCATTTTGCGCGCACGTGCTTGCAAGAGCGTGCACGTGCAACATGTGTAATGACCGATTTAATTGATATAGGCGTAACTTTTTAAATTTTTGATGAAATGCTTTGAAACTTATAATATAAGGATATATTAGTAGCATAGACAATATGACATGGTCAAAATAGCAAGATCTCACGCGCATGCACGTGCGCTTTGCTCTGATTGGCTGAAACTAAAGTCTCAATATCTTTCTTGTTTTTTGACGAAATCCTTTGAAATTTTGAAAATAGCCATGCATTAGGATATCCTACAACATGATATATAGCAATTATCATGAAAACACGTGCATGCACGTGCGCTGCAATCTGATTGGCTTAAACGTTAAATAGCTATAACTCCCTTGATTTTCAACCAAACAGGATGGGATTTAGAACATAGATAGATATAATGGACTACTACAAGAAAATATGGTCACCATGCACATGCATACACGTGCATGTACATGCGCTGCAATCTGATTGGCTGAAACTTTAAACAGCTATAACTCCCTTGGTTTTCAACCAAACGGGGTGGGATTTTAAGAACATAGATAGATGTAACGGACATCTACAAGAAGGTATGGTCACCATGCTCATGTTTGCACGTGCGTGCACGTGAAATGAGCAAAATAAAAAAAACAAGTGAATGAGCGTATTTTTTAATACTTTTGGATTAAATACTTTAATATTAAGTATATTAAAATATATAGATTGTGTAGACAAGATGATATGGTCATTACGCACATGCATTCACATGTGCACGCGTGCAATGCTAAAATTTGAGTGAACTTTGTACACTTCTGGGTAAACGTTTTTAAGTTTCAAATGCATCGAATTTGTCTTATTTAATGAAGCTTCCAGGGAATATGGCACCAAAAGGGAGTTGGGGAGCGTTTGGGGAACATCTGTAACGGTCCCCGTTACAATTAGCACTAGTTCATATTGTAGCAGCGTAAAGGCGTATGAAAGTTGTTTTTTTTTTGGGGGGGGTGGATGGGTGGGTGGGTGGGGGTGGGTGAAGAACTCAAGATTTATCCCTGAAAAGAATGGGTTACCCCTTCCCCAGATACTATCTGCCTGACATGTATATATATTTCTTAGCTTCGCTGTAAATTCTGCAATGAATATTCCGATTTACTTATCGATTATAAATGCATTCGAAGTTTTTCCGAGTTTATATAAAAATTTTTATGCATTCAGCTAGCATCCAAAAACGTGACAAGAGTATAAAGTTGCTTTGAATATTGAAGTGGTCAGTATGCGAGTGCATTAATTTTGTTTAGACAGTGATTAAATGTGAAGAAATTATTACGTCTTTGGTATTTTCTGCTTATAATATTTTGTTTCTTTTTCGCAAGAAATTGATTAAATGTGTATTTATATACATCTACGCGTGTGCTTTAATTTTCGCAATGAACAGGAATATTGCGATTACGTGCAGGAGAATTAAAAAATGTCCCGGAAAATCGTCAAAGTTTATCATAAGTGATATTCATCGAAGTCTATAGAGAGTCTTTTTTTATTTTAAAAAATAAAAGCTGGTGTCTGCACTTTTCAAATACGAGCTACAAGATTGTGTCACTGACTCGCTTCCTATAGAAAACACGCTTTCCAAAGGTATTCACCTGTGGCGGAATGGAATCACGTGACATATTATCTATTCTTAGCAGGTCAACAAGAGGTTAATCCTATGTAAATATACTCACCGAACAGATTCAAAATCATGATACTTTTAAGTAGAAGACATAGAGCGCAATGTTGTTCAACAAAGATATTTTCACACAATCTGTATAAATATAATATACACATTATATTTTGATGTCGACTTTGAACAAATCTGCGCTCGATGTTTACGAAAGCTCTGAAGTGGGTACCTGTCACATATTTCTTTTGATATTCATGAAAATCAAAGGACCCCACCTTCAAAACACAGGTTCGCGTGTTCTTTTTTGCAATTATTTGAAATTTTTAAACGTTGGACCATATACTACAGACATAAGAGATCAATGTAATTTACTTTTTAAGCTTTTTAATGAAAGTTTAAAATTTGACGAGTAACCGGGGACCACAGATAATGGCTTATTGAGACTTCTTCTTTGTTTAGAGCAGGCTGGGGGTATCTAACTGTTTACACGCAATGCAATTTTTAGCATTTCCCAAGTGTTTCTTTGCTCTCAGTAGAATCCAGTGGTTTTAAAATTTAGCACCAATGTTAAACTTATTTTCTGTATAGTTGGGACATCGGTTTACTGCATATGATTAAAATTTTTTAATTAAAATAAAATGTGAAATCTACCCTCCTTCTCAGTTCTAACCTAATTAAATTTTTATACTAGGTCGTTCCCCTTCGTGCTTAGTAACACAAATGAGATGATCAATTGTTGCATTTACTTGTAAAAATATATATATTTAAATAGGAAGCGAAAAAGCGCGAACACAAAAAACATGACATTAAATTTTCTTCTTTATAATAATCGTCAAAGAGAGTTAAAACTATTGAATATAGTCTGTTCCCCATTCATTTGACCCTGTTATTTCAGGTAGAGTGAAGGCATTCTCTTTCTCTTGGTCAAAACTTTTTGTGTACAAAACAATGTACATAAGGAACCCTTTAGTGTATATAACAATACCAATGCTGAAGCAGGCTATATGTCATTCCTATAAACGATAACTCATAAATCGGCACTAAGTTGGTCATTTTTCACACCTGAGTTACCTGTCCTTAAACATAACATCGGAAAAGTCAATTATAAATAATTAAACTTTTTAATGATGTAATTAAATGTATGCATAAGTTATTATCTTTTTTGATAATTTCATATACCTGTAAATCTATCTATACAATTTTTTTTACCATATGTGCAATTTGAAAAATTAGTTGAAAGGCCTACCAAAAGTTATTTAACTAGTCCATTTAGGAAAAGTATTTCTAGTAGGGCCTAATTTTGTTCAAAGATTTTATAAGTTTAAGTTTGCTTGCCCTTTTTAACTTAAGATCTTAAGTCTCTAAGTCTTGCATTGAATATGAATTCTTTGTTTAATTTACATGTTAAATTCACTGACAGAAATATTACGTCAAACACATGAGCATGATAAATGCTCACATTAATATAATACAAAAAAAAAATTAAACAAGCTTTATTGCCTACTTAGTATATAACTAAAATAAATGTGTAATATAATATTTCATTCAGTTTTGAGTTGAATTATTATACCACCTGACTTGATGTAACATTGTAGGGGTACCAGGGTATGGTAGATGGAGGAGACAACATTGTGGAGGCTACATGGGCCAGTAGTTCAGGGATTATGCAGAGGGTAAAGCTTCTTAAAAAAGTTCTCTAACACTTTATATATAGTTATTTACATTATTATACCCCACGCAACAAGTTGTGTGAGGTATAATGTTTTTGACCTGTCCGTTAGTCAGTGTGTCTGCATACATGTTAACTCTCCCGATTTAGGCGGGAGTCTACCGCTTTTTCACTCCATCTCCCGCCTACCGATTTAATTCAGAAATCTACCGCTTTTCTACAAAAGCTGCGTCTAAAGTATTTTTGGTTCGCTTGGGTATCCATTTTTGAAGCCACTCTCATAAAATCTCGCTAGATATCGCGTGATTTGACTCGGAATCATACAAACGCTTTTTTTGTACATAGATTTCAAGCACGGATTTGACAACGACAACAACACAAGACTACCAGTGATTACATTGGTTACGATAAATTAATCAACATCCCTTCCATGAAAAAGGAGATACAGCTTTTAAGAATTAGATGAAAACATCTGAAATCGTCTTTAAAAGCACAGAAGCTCACAACTTTATCAATAAAGTCAATAGAAATCACTCGATTGACCAAGCCATGTGGCACATCTCTACTTTCGTTTTCGATCATCGCGGGAAATCTGATTTATATAACGAAAGATAGGAACTTGTTTTAGATCAAGATTAAACCATGTCATCATTTGTTTTGTTTAAAAACTGAATGAACATTCAGAATTATTGCTTCTAGGCTATATCAGCAAAGATCACTCTTCAAAAGGCTAAGAAAAGCAGCCAATCCAAGCAAAATGATGAGCATGAAAAATATTTGAATTTGTACAATTTATGTCAAACTTAAGGTGTTTCTGTCTTCTTCTTTGCTGTTGATATTTAAGATTAATTAGTGTAGGTACCTGATTTCATTTAAGGCTTATACTATACATGTATATTACATGAAAGATATCGATAATCCAAGCGTTAAACAACACGCGCGCAATGCTACCGCTTTTGAGGTCAGAATCTCCCTATTTTTCATCACAATAGGTTAACATGTATGGTGTCTGTCAGTCCTGGGTTTTTTTTGTAAGCACAACTCCTCATAAACCTCTGAACAGAATTTCATCAAACTTTGCAGATGTTTAGGACGCAATGTGTAGATGTGCATAAAACCAGGAAATTCCAATTACTTTCTTTTTTCCGGGAATTTCCGCACTTTTCAACTTAGATTTTTGGCCATACCTTGAATAAGAGATGAACAGTTTGTCAGCGCAACTCCTCTTAAACTGATGCACAGAATTCTATTAAACATAGCAAATATTTAGGACACAAATGTGTAGATGTGCATATTTTCAGGAAATTCCAGCTCCTTAATTTTTCTTGGAAATCGGCACTTTTCAACTTAGATTTTTGGCCATACCTTGAATATAGAGATGAAAAGTTTGTCAGCCCAACTCCTCTTAAACCACTGCACAGAACATTGTCAAACTTTGCAGATATTTAGTACACAGTGTGTAGATGTGCATATTACCAGAAAATTGAGATTCCTTTATTTTTCCCGGCGATTTCAACACTTTGAGTTTTGGGGGAGTGTGATTTATGTGAGCTTGCTCACTTTTTCTTTCATTGAAATATATCATAACTGTACATTATCTTAATGTCAATGCTATGGATAATTAAGATGCAGCTAATTGCTAACTCATTGTAAGATAAAAAAAATAATAGAGATAACTGGCATCCTTGGTTCTGTTTGTTGTACAATATATCAACTACCTAATCATGTTGGGAAAAGGGAATGAGGTCTGCAATTACAGAAATGTCACTAGTGTTACAACTAAGAAAAATAAATTGTCTCTCATTCATTTCTTAAACACTTTTGTGTGCTTATTTCTAATATACATTATATGTTTTATGTTCACTTCAGGACTCATGTAATTTAGAAACAGTTAAGATAACTGATGCATCTTAATAAATCTGAACAGAATTAAAAATAAAATTTAGAAAATTGCGTTAATATTCCATAATTTAAGTGAAAAGTTTAACTGCTTTACCAAGAAGTTTTTCTAGTATATATGACCTAATTAATTTTACCTGGAGGCCTAGGAGTGAAGTATCATTTTCATAAATAGAAAATAAAGAAATTATTTATTGCAAGAAACAATTGATTATGAGATGCATCCTTGGCTGGCTAATATTCTCTATAATTGATGTATTAAAATGCATAGGTTTATTATGATGGAAATTATACATTGAAATTAATTACTTTAAAAACTGTTCAAAGAAATTTCATTTCTTTCTTAGAAGATGCAGTTGTATATGCACAATTAACTATGCATACTATAAGAGGAACATTCTCATTTTCAAAACAACATACATGCAGGTGGTGTCTACAGTGGCCATACTTGTTGTTATATAAAATCTAGCATGTTAGTACATGTACTACAGAGTTGCTTCAAAAGTGATACCCTGCTGATCAGTAAATACTTTTGACAGGGAGGCACCGTGATAGGGAGTGCTCGTTGTCAGGATTTCCGAGAAAGAGGAGGCCGCATGAAAGCTGCAGAAAACCTGGTCAATAACAACATCACAAACCTGGTAGTGATTGGAGGAGATGGCAGTTTGACAGGTGCCAATCTCTTCAGACAAGAGTGGGCGGAGCTTCTCGATGATTTACTCAAAAGTGGTAAGGGCAGTAACTAATGAACGTAAGATTCCTCTGTTGAAGGTTTTGCTGTCAAATTTTTAATTAAAAGATAGGAAATGTAATCTAATGTCCACTTGTATAATTTTACGTACTCTATATACATGTACAAACCCTCCGTATTTTTTTCCATTGTGACGTCACAGTCTACCGAAACAGCTTGATGATGTAACAGAAGAATAACAATCCACACAATTTATGGACGATTTTATTAATCATAAAACAATAATATTATCTACTGACTAAATCTCAAGTCAGAAAAACTTTAGAGGAAACGTAAATTGATTATATCTTGTATAAAGTACCATTGTTAAGTAAGTCCGCATATGTACGAAACACTCCGCATTTTATTTTGTATATAGCAACGTCATCCGCATTTTTTGTATATATAGCAACGTCATCCGCATTTTTTACTTCAGTAGATAGATTTACATGCTTACTTGTTCTGATGACGACCGTCACAGGTCGAAACCGGTCAACAAAATAAATTTACTGCTGCATTCTCACGAAGTGTTGGTGATCTGTTCTGTACTTTTAAGTTTATAACTTTAGTTACAGACCCTATTGAATACCTTTCGGTATCCACACATGAGAATCTTCGGCAATTTTAACCTCAAGGTGTTGGTCTCCAGCTTTTCTTTGTTTTGTATCCTACATTGTTACTGGGACCCCTGCATACCATAAGGTATCCACCATTCCGAACTGCGCTATACATTATGGCCACCAACTCCATTCCAAAGTTACAAGAATCGTATATTAAACAGAAAGTGAATGAATCTCTCAAGGTAGACATCAGTAACCCCAAATAAAGATTCCGCAATTCTTCACAATCCGATACGGATATATAATATTCAGAAACAATTAACAAATCTCAACAAGAAACAGCAAGGAAAGAAACCTCTGTTGCAACATCCGATCCAGTGGGATCTTCCGAGAAACCGAAAATATCAGAAGAAAATGTTGCCATTTTTAGGACACTCCGAAAACTTCATATCAAACTCCAAAGAACGGAAGGTCATGCCGCATACCTGAATAAATGCCAACAACAGGACCTAATACCTAAAACACTAAGAGCCAAAATTGTTCCACAAATTCCAGACACTAATGCTTTATTTCTCCTAAAATGGGAGGAAGCACACCTTAATTTTAGCCGCAGCCTCATCCACTTACTTTATGAATATTGGAATACGAGAATTAATACGATTAATACACAAATACTTCATTTAAAATCCCAGCTTACAAACAAAGAAAATACTAACGAAATGGAACATATAAACTATTAAGTGCAATCCCAAACTTTATGAAGAAGAAGGAAGCCGATAAGGAATCAACAAAAGCATTCAAGGACAATAAAAAATCCCAGTAATTGTTATCTACAACCCCTCGCCCCCCAAATATTTATTGGACAAATTGTAGCGAGGATCTACATACCTTCACGTTTCGTCTGAACGAATTTCATCATAAAACTACAATGAACTTTTGAACATTCTATAGAAATTATCTTTGTTTATATTTATACATGTTAATTATTTTAATGTAATTTTATGAACAATTATTGTCCTCCATAAAATAGGACTATTCAGAAGTAGAAATTTATGAAACCTAACTACATTTTATGTTATCCCAACATTTATAGGAAATGTAATCTAATGTCCACTTGTATAATTTTACGTACTCTATATACATGTACAAACCCTCCGTATTTTTTTCCATTGTGACGTCACAGTCTACCGAAACAGCTTGATGATGTAACAGAAGAATAACAATCCACACAATTTATGGACGATTTTATTAATCATAAAACAATAATATTATCTACTGACTAAATCTTAAGTCAGAAAAACTTTAGAGGAAACGTAAATTGATTATATCTTGTATAAAGTACCATTGTTAAGTAAGTCTGCATATATACGAAACACTCCGCATTTTATTTTGTATATAGCAACGTCATCCGCATTTTTTGTATATATAGCAACGTCATCCGCATTTTTTACTTCAGTAGATAAATTTACATGCTTACTTGTTCTGATGACGACCGTCACAGGTCGAAACTGGTCAACAAAATAAATTTACTGCTGCATTCTCACGAAGTGTTGGTGATCTGTTCTATACTTTTAAGTTTATAACTTTAGTTACAGACCCTATTGAATACCTTTCGGTATCCACACGTGAGAATCTTCGGCAATTTTAACCTCAAGGTGTTGGTCTCCAGCTTTTCTTTGTTTTGTAAAAGATTTTGAGATTGTTGATTTGGCATTGTATTTGAGGACTTGACAGTTTCGCTGTACGTAATGATTCTGTTCTATAGGTCGTATTTCCCAGCAGCAGAGAACAGACTGCACACAACTGAATATCGTGGGACTGGTGGGATCCATTGACAATGATTTCTGTGGGACAGATATGACTATTGGGGCTGACACGGCTCTTCATCGCATTGTGGAGGCTGTGGACTGTATAGCCACAACAGCTTCCAGGTAAAAGTGTCTGAATTACGTAGGCCTTGAACAGAAGAATTTTAACTCTTTAATAACTATTTGGGAAGAAAACTTTAAAAAGCATTCTTATTTGTAGAATGGGGAATATCAGTGTTATGTTAAAGATTTTGCATTGATAGTATTAGACCAATTTTAATCATTTTCATTTTCTGAAATGCACGTTTTATATCACCAACACATGATAAAATTAGATTACTAGTATTTTGATTATCATGATTATAGTTCCAGCAGGGTTAAAGTGAACAAGTTTTACTATCATTTTACACCAATCTTCTAAGGGTTTATTTTAATATCTTACTTTTACCCCTCAGCCATCAGAGATGCTTTGTACTTGAAGTGATGGGGAGACACTGTGGGTATGTACATAATTATTCTATCCTTTTTAATTTCATTATCATAGTATGCTTTCATCTGAGATTGGAATAGGAAACATTCTAGTAATTTATAACCATATGAAGAACAGTTGTTTACTTGAACATATTGAAAGTGGTCAGATTAATCACACGTTCATGTTAGTACATTTACCTGTATGTTTTCATCTGACAGGTACTTGGCATTAGTGGGGGCCTTAGCCACGGAGGCAGACTGGGTGTTTATTCCTGAGTGGCCCCCAGAGGAGGGATGGGAGGAAACTCTCTGTAAGAAACTGGCCGCTGTAAGTGGATACTGAGAAAACTCATTATAGTCCTTTTTCAGTGGTGCAACTTTTAGTAATTTCAGATGTTATTAAAAAAAAACGTTTTTTTTTTATGCAAGTAAATGATATTTTAACACCATACAGTGCTAAAGAGTTCAGCGCATCTCATAATTTATTGATGTTAAACAAATACAATGCATGTAACTAATTAAATATGTGCTGTTTTTTTTTTTGGATAACTTTCATTAAGCTTATTTAAACAGATTTTAGTCACCAAGCATGCATTGTCAAATTGAACATGACTAAAACTTAAGCATTTTACTTTAAATTCTCAGAAAGAAGAAAGAAAGAAATTGTACCTCACAGTAGTAAAACAAATGTATATTAATTTTGTGCAACCATCTGTTGATCTTAACAGGAGCGAGCCATAGGACAGAGACTGAACATTATACTCATTGCTGAAGGAGCAATAGACAAGAAAGGGAATCCCATCAGTGCTGACATGGTGAAAAAGGTCTGAAGAAATAAACTTAGTCATAAAACAAATTTAAGCAAACACAAAAGACAAGTTAATTATTGGGCTTTGCATCAAACATGAAATGAAGTGAAACAATTGTATACTCTCTGAGACAATGAGTGACAGAAATATTTCTGTTCGTATTTTTATAACCTTTTAATAATCTTTACATTTCAATTAATGTACATGTAGATGTACAAGAAGTTCTGTAGTACTTGATGTCTCCTTTTAATGCTTAAAGGTGATAACAGAGAGGCTGAAGTATGATACAAGAGTTACAGTCCTTGGTCACGTACAGCGAGGAGGAAAACCCACAGCATTCGACAGGATCCTGGTTAGACATACTTTCACTGATAATTAAATATAGAACATTATCTTCATTTCTTGCTGATTTTTACTCGTCTTGAAGGACATGCCCAGTACATATTATGCCCCTTACTGGTTGAAATAAGTGGTAGTCTGAAAGTTTCATGTATTTTTATAATACCAGTAAGCTGTAAATTAAAATTTGTTAAGTTTCTGTGTACAGAAGAGATGCAGATTGAAATTTATTCTTCGTCTGATTGAAAAAAGATTCCGTTGGTCATTGTTTTAGGCCAAAGAATGGGGTTGAATATATCATGATTTAAAATTTACAATGCAGATATATGAAAAATACATTGTCGATTGTACTAGAGATACAGTATATGTTATTTTTAGAATTTTCACATTAATAATATGCCTTCATGAACTAATTTTATACTAAGACTAAATTACTGTAAGATTTGTTGAGACCATTTTGTTGGGAACATTATCCATCGTCAGGGTGCCCGTATGGGAGCGGAGGCAGTGTTGGCGCTGATGGATGCTGAGCCGGGCACCCCCGCCTGTGTGTGTTCACTGGACGGGAATCAGACTGTGAGAGTCCCACTGATGGAGTGTGTTGAAAGAGTAAGTGGTGGTTAGACAATCAGAGACACTGTTGTGTAATACATTGAGATATTTAATGTACATTTAATAACCAGTGATCTTAGGATATACATATCTCGTTAACAGAGATTGTTTTAGAACTTGATAATCTTGTTTCTTAGTAACATTGGAATTTTCTTAATCATGCTCATGAATAAAAAGTTAATTTGTTTCTTACTCAGTATTTTTTTTTTTTTTTTTTTTTTTACAATTACCTGCAGTCCTAACTAGCAAGTTTGAAAGTAGAGTGTAGCTACAAAGATAGAAACAAATTATGATCTTCTAAAAGTTTTTTTTTTCTGTTTAAATTTTTTGGAGGTTAATTTTTCATGTTGCAAATGATACAATTTCAGACACAAGCTGTGCAAAAAGCCATGAATGAAAAGAAGTTCGAAGAAGCCGTCAGGCTAAGAGGAAAGTAAGAATCATTTATCTATACGATAAATTGAATCAAAATATTTTACGGAACATTTTGTAAAGGCACTGCATGTACTTTTATATGTCACCAGGAGTTTCCAGAATAACCTAACAACCTACAGAATGTTGAGCAAACTACGACCTCCCAAGGATAAATTTGATCCTTCAGGAGCCACCAGTGGGGTATGTTCAGATGGAGTTTTTCTCAGAAACTGCTTATACGTGATAAAGCTTTATACAGCAGTCACTAAAACCCTGTCTACAGTTTGTGAAAAGTGGTCCTTATGTGTGCTGTAAGTTACCGTATATCAATGCTTCAACAATTGTGTGTTTTAACTTCAAAATTATTACCCAGGATCATGTTTGTGTGATTACTGGTATCATATGATTTCTAAACTTCATCTGAGACAGTCTGCTTTGAAAGGTTTGATAATGATAAAATTGTCTTTTTTGAGGAATTCTTGTCTCTTGAAGTAAAACATATTTTAAAAAATGGACTGAACTTTTTAAAAATATAAAGAGGTGATGTAATATTGCAGTGTAAATTAATTACTATTCTTGGAATACAGGTACTTAGTATCTGATGAAATGAGTACTTACTAGTATGTATCTGATGAAATGAGTACTTACTAGTATGTATCTGATGAAATGAGTACTAAGTATCTGATACTGAAGGTTAAGTTGGTTTTGTAGAAGTATTTGGATTTTTTGTTTTCAGAGTGGGAAGAAACTGGGTGTAATGTGTATAGGAGCACCTGCCTGTGGGTCTAATGCAGCCATTAGGTCCTTTGTCCGTCTGGCCCTGACCAAAAACTACACGGTCCTGGGCTTTCACGACTCCTTTGATGGACTTCTCTATGGCAATGTAAGAAATGTTATAATCAGGGGATTATCAAATTGGTTTTTATGTAGGTGAAAGATGGTGGTATTCTCTCACTACTAACACAAATTCTATAAGTACAGTGTATCATATGTATGGATTTGGACTCTGTTTAGAATTTTCCCACAACTCCTCTTTTTCTCTCCTGCTTATTGAGGCATGACAGTTTTATTTCATGTAAAAGCTAGTGTTATTTTGCATATAAAAATATTCAATACGATTTCAATTCTTTCTTCAGAATTACTTTGACTTTTGCTTTAAAACAAAGCACTTTTTTAAATACATGTATAATACTTTGCACTAGAGGGTAAACATTTTGTTTACATGTATGGAGGAAGACATGTTTTGCATTTGTTTACTTTCCTTTTTTATCTGATACAAATACATTTCTAAAAGTGCTAGCTGTCAAAACACAAAACTTTATTTTGATGCATTACAAAATAGGGATCGTGTAAATCAACAGTTTGAATTTTTCCTCAAATGTTATTTTTGGTTGCAGTTGACAGATATTATAGATCCGGTAAGACTTAGTTCTTTATCTGAAAATTATCTAGCTTTCTTTCAGCTTTTTTTCAAGTCGAGATGAGAGTTACTAGGACAACCAAATGCAATCAATGCATGTATACAGACTGCACTATCTTTGAACAATTTTAACCAAAATGATATGAATTTGTTGGTAGTCCATGTGGAGAAATTTCTCACATTTTCAACTTTTTAAAAACAGATGCATGCTAAATCATCAACCTTTGAGGAAAAGGTCCTAAAGACATGCTGAGAAATGCTATATTTCTTAATGCTTGGCTTCTGATATAACCACATTGAATTCAAAATAACTGAAATAAATTTTGGCTATCAAATGTTGCATGCTTAGTCATAGTCTAGGAACAAATGTTCCACTGTAAAGAAGAATGTTAGACATTTATCAGTATGTCACTTTCACATCTGATAAGCAAAGATTAAAAAAAAATGTTTTTCCTATTTCATGAATTAATTATGCTAATTACAAGCTTTTTAAATGCAAAGCATATACATTGTCAATATACATAAATCTTCTTGTATTATCTATTTGGCAGATTCTAATTATTACTTTATCTTGGTTAAAAAAAAAAGAGTCTTTCAAATAGATAATTGAAAAATGCTTGTTACAATATATTAATGAAAGTTAGCATAAATTATCAAGATTGCTTCAAATGTTATCTTTTACGAAAAATTACATATTACAGTATAGTACTTCATACTAACTAGTCAGAGGTGTGCATATATACTGTATATGAGGAAATTTGAAATACATAATTTTTTCACCTCAAACTACTTCAAAGATGTTGCAAAATATTTTAGTTGAAAGCTCAAATAGTGAGCTTTTCTGATTACACAATATCCATCATCCCTCTAGCTGTCTGTCTGTCCATCTGTAAGCTTATCACATCTCCAACTTCTCAAGAACTGCTGGGCCAATTTTAACTTAAGATGGTACAAAGCATCCCTGGATGAAAGGATGTTTAAATTTTTAATTTGAAGGGACAAGTCCCCTTAGAAGGAGGGATAATCAAGAAAAGACAAAATTAGTGTGGTGTCTTTGCTCAAGAGCCACTGGACCAGAAAAGCTAAAACCTATGAGGAAGCATCCTGGGGTAGTGTATGTTCTAAATTGATCAAATCATGACTCTGCCCCCCTCTCTTGGGGTAGGGGGGGGGGGGAGGCAAATAAGGAATCAAAGTTTTAAATTGAAATATGCAGTGAAAATCATTAAAAATCTCAAGAATCACTTGGACAGAAAAGTTGAAACTTATGTTGAAGCATCCTTAGGCAGTACATATTTTAATTTGTTCAAACCTTGAGTCCCAGCGATAATTCGGGGCCATACTAGGGATTCAAGGTTTAACATTGAAATACAGTGTATATACTGTAGATCACTAAATTATCGCGACATCTTATTTTCGCGAGATAAGCATTGATTCTTGATAAGCGAGACAAAATTTTCACGAATTGCGGTTATTGCTCTATATAATCCTGAGGAATACTATTATACGCGAGAATTAAATTTTCACGAGCACACTGACTCGCGTAATTACGCGAAAATAAAGTTCTTGCGAATAAAAAGTGATTTACAGTAATTAGGACAAATCTCTAAAAATCTTCTTCTCAAATCTTCTTGAGAACCACTAGACCAAAAAAGTTGAAACTAATCAGTAATGTTTATGTTGACATTGAAATTCAGGGGAAATTTTTAAAATATCTTCTCAAAAACCACTGGGCCAGAAAATGTGAGAATTAAGAGAAGCTTCCTGTGGTAGTTCAGATCTTGCCTATGGGGATAGGGTGTGGCCATGGTAAGTATTATAAGGGGGGGGAACTAAAGAACAGCAGGGCTGAAGTTATTCATTTGAGCATTGTGGCCCATGGGCCTTTTGTTTCTAATGCAATTTTTTTTATCTGTAAATATCCCTTTTCATTAAAAGTAAACATTTGGTATATGATCTTTATAGCAGTCCTGTATTCTTCAGTATTGTGCACTGATGCTTAGTTTTAAATGTACTCACAAATTATACTGTAGATCACTGAATTTTCATCAGATAGTCGTTGAGTCTTTATGAGCAAGACATAATTGACACATATTGTCATTATTCCTCTATATAATTGTAAGGAATAGTTTTATATGCAAGAATGAAGTTTTTGCGAGCTCACTGTCTCGCGTAATAAATTGTTCTCATGAATAAAAAGTGATTTACAGTTATACATGTAATTGAATATCCTTGCATGAATTCAAGATTTCTGTGTTTTTTTTAAATGATTTAGCAGTTTCTCCCCCTCTATGTTACACTATTAGCCCACACATCCTTCCTTCATCTACCCTTCTCTAAATGTTACTAATTTCTTTGTACATGTATGTTATCATGTATTAAATTTAACAGAGGGAAATAATTTTTTTAACTAATGCATATGTATTGTACTGTAAAATGAATGTTTGATTTCAATAAAACAGCAGTCTAGTATTGTTAATTGGGTACTGATATCCCTGTTTGTCTGTTGTCAGGTGAAGCCTATGAGTTGGACTGACGTCCATGGCTGGTCTGCTTATGGAGGCTCTCTTCTAGGCACAAAAAAGTAAGTGACTTAGGGTAGTGCAAAATGGCTGTGAAATCAGTTTTAACTCATTTCTTTAAAAATGTGCACAAAAAAAGAAACAAAAGCACACTAATGTCAATCTTCATTATCTAGGAAAAGTTTAAACTGCAGAGCTGTGGAAAACTGCCGGTCATGCCAGCAAGACCGGCGAAAAATGTCTGTGACCGGTAAAAATGCTATCGATGTCTGCCCAAATGACCGACCTCTTTCTTTGTTAAAGGTTTTTGATTTTCCATTTTGATTTAGGCCATTCATCGGCACACTTCCCAGCTTAGTTATCGTACCTTATAAACGATTGTGCAATACTTTTTCTTTGCACGACTGCCACGAGATCTAGGCTATAGGAAATGAAAGCGAAACCAGCATTGTCTCGCATGACCTTTTAATTTACAAATGGCGCAGAATTAGGTAAAAAACATTAAAAAAAAATTAAGATAAGACTGGCTAAATAGCTGAGTATGTAAAACATATTGATAGAAAAAATCAAACACAGTTGAGTAAAGCGGTAAACCTATAGTACTTCTGTCGTTCCGACTGTCCCAGATTTCTTTTTTTTTTTCATCGACCAAGTTCATGATGTTGGTATCTTTATTATCGATGCACAGAGTTTCTTGGACTCATTTTCGAGGCAAAACATAATTCCCAAATGCATTAATGTTTTTTAAAAAATATGTTTACTATGCAGAATTATCATGATTATCATTGTTACTTGCTAAAAAGTGATGAAATCTAGTATTGTTATAAATGCAAACAAGAGGCCCAGGGGCTACAGCGCTCACCTGAGGACATCGGCTAGGAAAAAGCACATATCAGATCAGAACTGAAAGTTTAGTGAGGTGGGGGGGGGGGGGCTTGAATTTTAACCCCCCCCCCCCAGGGGTTCATGATTTGAACAAACTAGAATCTACACTACCTGAGGATGATTCCATATAAATATCACAAATCATGGCTTTGAAGTACTTGAAAAGAAGATTTTAAAAGGTATCTCTATATATCGCTATGTAAATATTGGGTCGGCCATTTTAGCCCCACCATAGTCCCTGGGGTCATGATTTGAACAAACTTGAATCTAAACTACCTGAGGATGATTCCACATGAGTTTCATCTTTTCTGGCCTAGTGGTTTCTGAGAAGAAGATTTTAGAAGATTTTTCCTATATATTCCTATGTAAAAATTGGGTCGGCCATTTTGGCCCCACCCTACCCCCGGGGGACATGATTTGAACTTGAATCTACACTACCTGAGAATGATTCCACATGAGTTTCATCTTTCCTGGCCCAGTGGTTCCTGAGAAGTAGATTTTTAAAGATTTTTCCTATATATTCCTATGTAAAAATTGGGTCGGCCATTTTGGCCCCACCCTAGCCCCGGGGGTCATGATTTGAACAAACATGAATCTACACTACCTGAGGATAATTCCACGTGAGTTTCATCTTTCCTGGCCCAGTGGTTCCTGAAAAGAAGATTTTAGAAGATTTTTCCTATATATTCCTATGTAAAAATTGGGTCGGCCATTTTGGCCCCACCCTAGCCCCTGGGGTCATGATTTGAACAAACATGAATCTAATCTACCAGAGGATTATTCCACATGAGTTTCCCCTTTCCTGGCCTATTGGTTCTTGAGTAGAAGATTTTAAAAGATTTTTCCTATATATTCCTTTGTAAAAATTGGGTCGGCCATTTTGGCCCCACCCTAGCCCCTGGGGTCATGATTTGAACAAACTTGAATCTACACTACCTGAGGATGATTCCACATGGGTTTCATCTTTCCTGGCCCAGTGGTTCCTGAAAAGAAGATTTTTAAAGATTTTTTCCTATATATTCCTATGCAAAAATTGGGTCGGCCATTTTGGCCCCACCCTAGCCCTGGGGGTCATGATTTGAACAAACTTGAATCTACACTACCTGAGGATGATTCCACATGAGTTTCATCTTCCCTGGCCCAGTGGTTCTTGAGAAGAAGATTTTTTAAAATGCCATTAATTTTTCTCTAATTCATAATTATCTCCCCTTGGAAAAGGGCGTGGCCCTTGATTGGAACAAACTTGAATCCCCGTTACCCAAGGATACTTTGTAGCAAGTTTGGTTGAATTTGGCCCAGTGGTTCTTGAGAAGAAGATGAAAATGTGAAAAGTTTACAACGACGACGACAACGACTACGACAACGACAACGACAGACAACGGACAAATTTTGATCAGAAAAGCTCACTTGAGCCTTCGGCTCAAATGAGCTAAAAATGAAAATGGTGGAGGATGGACCTGGAAATGGAGACTTTTTAAAATGTTTTATTAAGTAAAGTGTACTTAAGAAAATAAATGTAATGCTTTTCTTTTTAATTTTGCAACTTACTATTTCGGACTGGCAAAAATCACTTAAGACCGGCAAATTTTGTCTTCTTGCAGGTCCGAATGACTGGCTATCTGAAAAAAGTTTTCCACAGCTCTGAAACTATGACAGTCATATTTATTCTATTCTTTAAAAGAAAAAAAATTGAGATATAAATCCATATATTGGAATTCTTTAGCTGACATTTAGAAAGTGTTTATGTCACCTAAATGCAATCTAACCCTCTCGTATTAAATAAAATATTACTTTCATAGATGTGTGGGATCAAAATATGGTCTGGACAAAATTGCAGAAAAACTCAAAGAATATGATATCAGTGGCTTATTAATTATAGGAGGTTTTGAGGTGAGTTCAGATTCAAATAAAATCTTATAAAATAGCATAAAATGTAAGGAAAAAAAATTATATACTGTAAGCTACATGGAAGTATACATTATACATTTTATAATATAAGCTTTAAGAGTACAAGTTAACCTGACATAATATTTTAGGCCTATCACAGTGCCTTATAACATGTAAGCTATAACTACATGTATAACCTGACTTAATTAATACTTTAGGCATATCACAGTGCCCTACAGATGGCGGAGGCCCGGAATCAGTTTGAGGCGTTCTGTATTCCTATAGTGGTGATCCCCTGTACCATCAGTAACAACGTGCCAGGGACAGACTTCAGCCTGGGGGCAGATACAGCAATCAACGAAATTACTGATGTAAGTCAATAGTTACCAACGATTAATAATTGATGTGAGTCAAAGGTTACCAACGATCAAAGAAATTACTGATGTAAGTCAAAAGGTTACCAACAATCACCAACAATGGTTTTACTGATCATGTAGGTCAAGGTTACCAGTAATCAATGAAATTTATTTTGAGAGCACTAAATAAAACAGAGCTATAAAAGTATTATTTTCTAACATCACCTTACTTTCATCCTGTTTTGCAATGCTTATACTTCTAGATTTGTGACAGAATCAAACAGTCTGCACTCGGAACTAAAAGGCGGGTCTTTGTCGTGGAAACAATGGGAGGGTACTGTGGTTACCTAGCAACCATGAGTGGATTGGCAGGTGGTGCAGATGCTGCTTATATCTTTGAGGAAGAAGTGAACATTACAAAATTAAGGGTTTGTAGTTGAAAAAACTAGACTTTGTATTTGATGAAATTACGAGGGCCGTTCAAAAATTACGCGGACTGTGCTATTATTTACTCTTACAGACGTCATATAGTTATAAAATTTCACAGAAATATGTATCTTAAAGATTCCAATAAATTTTGGGCAAAATTTCTGTATTTTAAAAAAATTCTACTAAAATTATCGGTATGTTGATCTCGTTGATGGAGAGGTACGGCGCACGACAAAAACAATTGAAGCAAAAGCATGCGGATTCAAAAATTTAACTCATTGATTTTCTAAAATTCGCGATATTTTTCAACAATTTTCTCAAATGTACCTTTATATTGTTCTATTATTATGTATTTAGATTTCGGACGTAATATTTGAAGTACTAACAGAAATATAGCGATTTTTCTCTGATGCGATTCCCGTGAAAACGACTGTGAAAATGACGTCTCCTGAATTGACGGCGCACCACACTTTTGTTAAAATATGTGTAATGCTCGCGATATCGGCAACATAGATCCAAAATATGCATAATAAAACATGTAGTAAACTAAGGTACTCGTGACATTCGCCCACAAATAGCAAATTGAAATTTTAGACAGTTAGACCTCTGTAAAAAGGCTATACGGGAGGACGGGAAGAAGATTATAGACGAAAAGTTAACTTTATCCGGACTGTAAAGAACGTGATTGAGAGTCACCAATATCACACTATATCTCATAAGTAGTTTTTGGTTTTAAAACAAAAAAAGAAAGAATATTCTTTACTTGTTTAATAGATTTTAAGCTTGACAAGAAATGGTGTTTTGATGTTGAGTAGATAAGGTAACTCAAACTATACAGGTACTTAAGGGAAAATGTTGAGAAAATGAAAGCTCAATCACATATTTTTAATAATGCTTGTGACGTCGAAGATTTTGCTGCGCCGTGACTTAAAGGTATGTCCTGAAAAATCACTCAAAATTGATACCAATTTACAACATTTTGATATGAAATTTTGAAGACCATATAAGTAAAGATTCTTTTATATTATCTGTGAAATTTTGCCCGATTATGTCGTCAAATATTTCTTCTGTGCAACAAGTCCGCGTAATTTTTGAACGGCCCTCGTATATACATGTCAATTAAGTTTCTTCCTACTGTGGCTTTAAATTTAACTATAGAAATGATATTCTTTTAAAGAAATTAATAGAGTTCATCTTATTGATATAGGATGATGTCTTCCATCTGAAGGACAAGATTGTTAACTTGGGTGTTCAAAGAGGGCTCATTTTAAGGTAGTGTACTGTCTGCTTTTGCTCAATTAAGAATTATACTGAGGAGAATTTTGCTGTCATCGATTCTCTCCATTTGACTTTTTCTTCTCATGTACATGTATGTTCAGTACAAGTATATTATGATAAACAGTAAACATTTCTAATCAGAATTTAAAATATTTAATGTTTGTGTTTTGGGAATGTATAGATGTACATATCCAATGAGTTTTGCCATTGACAGCCAGCTTACATTTGAATTTTTTGACAATTTTCTGGTGTGAAATTGAACTGTGTCTTCTTCCAAAGCAATATGAAGTTTATAATATATAATTGGCAAAAGATTTTTTTTCCTTATTCAGAAATGAAAACGCAAATTCAAACTATACAACAGACTTCATTGAGAAGCTTTTCTCCGAGGAAGGGAAGGGGGTTTTCACTTGTCGTAAGAACGTCCTGGGCCACATGCAGCAGGGAGGCATGCCATCTCCATTTGACCGAAACTTTGGAACCAAAATGGCAGCCAAGGCCCTTCAGTATATGGCTGATATTGTCACTCACAGTACAAATGCTGGTAGGTATACCCTTAAGATACACTGAATTATAAAGCAGCAAATTATATTTCTAATGATGTTAATGGTTATGCAAATTTTTTCATTATTTTGTTTTCAGGGACTAATCCCATTTTTGTATCAAAAAAAAGTTTGACGGGACGCAAACAACCCTCATTTGTTCGTCATTATGGGAATTTAAATTCACATGTTATGAAAAATCATCACTTGACAAATTTTTCCTCAGGTTCACTTTAAATAATGATGAAATTTGACACCATTTCTGTTCATGTGTATGCAGTGGTTGTCTTGTGGTCACTACACAACATACTTTTGGATTTGAGAAGCTTTAAATCTTTTTTTTACTTGTATAACCTAAGAATGTCCCATATGCTTTCATGTATGAAAAATAGCCTAAACAAAATTTTCTCATATTATGCCTCTGAAAGAGTAATCAGAAGTCAGCAATCATCCTCTATAAATTTAATAAGTGTTATTTTAGGTTAAAGTCATCATACAACTTATGTTAAAGTATAAAACCATAACTTATTGCAATTTTTCGTTGTTATGAAGGCAAGGCGAATGAGGGTTGGGCATTACTCATGGGGTTACAAAGAATGCACAATTTCCTGAAACTAATAAAATTACAATGGAATGATATGCAATGGAATTAGATCTGACAGAGCCTAATGATTTCATTACACACAGAAATTTACACAGTAACAATATCATACAAAGTATTAAGAAACACTAGTTGTCTAAGGCCTATCATTTAGAATTCTCTTATTTTATGCTAAGTGTGAGGAGCATTCCTGATGTAAGAAAGTCAGCAATTGAAAATACTTCATGAGAATGAACAATTAAATTAAGTTGATATGTTTCTGTAATGCTGTGTTTATAAGTACATGTACATGTATTTTTCTTTAAGGAGCTCACATTTTATGTTAACCTTTTATCTTACAGCAGGTAAAGTTGTGAATAAAGACCCAACATCGGCAGTTTTATTAGGAATGCAGAGACGCCACCTGACCTTCTCCCCAGTGGAGGAACTCAAAAAGACAACAGACTTTGTGTATGGGCTGTTTTATACTATAATGTTAAAATTTTTAAAAATTCATATATCTATTATGTGTATTAATTGTTGATTTCAGGTTTGAAGCACATACCATAAACTAAAGTGGAATTTTTAGCAAAACTTAAATTTAGTGATTTTAAATCCATATTTAATTTTAGTGAGGAGTTATTACATCTTTTTTATTGTTGCATAGAAGCATAGATGGTCCTCTTATGTGGAATAAATTGTTAGAAATATTTAAATTTTGTGATTTCTTCACCTTCCCTAAAAATTGCAAAATTCAATTCTTGCTAAATTTCTGTTCATATAGTATCTTGTAAATTATCAGCCCAAGTTCATATTAATGATGTGCATAGTTATACCCCCCGCAAACGAAGTTTAGGGGGGGTATATTGGAATCACCATGTCCGTCTGTCCGTCTGTCTGTCTGTCCGTCTGTCTGTAGACAAGATTTTGTCCGGACCATTACTCAGAAACTATTGGAAGGATTTGTCTGAAAAGTTGTACACATATTATTCACCATATGAAGTTGTGCACCTGATATTTTTCATCTTGATTGGATTATTATTTTGAATTTTACAGGTGTTTTTTCATTTTTATTTTGTGGTTTTGTTTGGACCGTTTCTCAGAAACTATTGCAAGGATTAATCTGAAAATTTGTACAATTATTATTCACCATATGAAGTTGTGCACCTGGAATTTTCAACTCTTTTTGTTCATTTTTCTGCATTTTACAGGTTTTTTTTAAATTTTAATTGACTTGTTCATTTTGGGCTCATGTATAAGGTTTGAGACATAGAATCTAGAATATCTGTACAAAAACGTGAACTACAGCTTAAAACTACTCATAAAAACTTTAAAAAAAAGAAACATCAAGTGTTAAAAACAGTTTTTACATTGCACAGAAGATAATGTAATTTCATTTGTCTCTGGGGAATAATGACTGGACATGCATCCAGTTAAAGATAAATTAATGAGTTTGGTGTTGGAAGTTGTTTAGTCATATCTCTTATCAAGTGTGTGTGTGTTATCAAATCTTCAGGGAATAAGGCACAAGAATTAAAGATCTCTCTTCTCTTATTCTCTTAATTCTAATTTATGGTCTGTCAAAACACTTCATTACTGGATGACCAGTTCTTTATTTTCAAAATGCATTTCAAATTGATATATCAAGATTAATTTGATTTTGTATAATGTTTTTTTTTTTTTCAACAATCAGTTTGAAGAGTGACATAACACATAATTGCAATATATTTTTATACGCCCGTCTTAAGTCAAATTTTATTATGTTATAGGCTTCGTGTCTGTCTGTTTGTCTGTCCGTCTGTCTAGCTGTCCGTCCGTCCGTCTGTTAGCTTTTCTCGTGTCCGGCTCATAACTTTAATACTATAAGGCCTAGAGTTATCAAACTTTGTCATCTGATACATCTTGGGTAGAAGGTGTGTCGCGCACAAAAAGTATGTCGCTCTGACCTATAATTAAAAAGTTATAGCCAAATATGGAAAAATCCTGTCCGGTCCATAACTAGAAAACTATAAGACTTAGAATCATCAAACTTGGCCAGTTTATGCATCTTAGGTAAAAGGTGTGTCGCGACCTATTTCAAGGTCACTGTACATGTGACCTTTAATTTAAGTGGAATTTTAAAAAAAAAAATTAAATTTTTTCTCTTCATTTACACATTCAGAATAATGTAAAATTATTGCACTAACCTTATTAGAAAAATGTTAAATCAAGAAAATACTTATTTTTTAGCATATACTTGACAGCAATCTATAACAAATATAGAGTATGTTAGAGAAATTCCACCACTCCCATGAGTCTAATTATCAAGCACTGGTCAAGAAGAATGATAACAGAAAATTGCATGACAATTTAGAGAGAGAAATTAATGAGTTTAGTGTGAGGAGTAGCTGTAAGAGCATCGGTGCTATCTATATCCCTTGAGTATTGGGCCAAATGGGTAAGCCTGTAGGATTAAAAATAGCTCTTGTTAGGTAGCCGAAGTTTGAAAATGAATTTGATGAGAAGTAATTAAAACAAATTTGATATTGCATATTAACTATTTTGATATTACAATAATATTATTAACTTAAAAATTAATTTTATGGTGGTAGGGGTGGAATCTGCATGTCCACATGAATTGCATATTAACAATTAACTATCTGACATTAAATCCAAAAAAAAAATCATTGATGTTTTATATCTTTTAAAAATGTTTTATGGTAGATAGCGCAGATCCAATAATCTTTTGGGAGTAATGAGTAGACAAGCATCCAGTTAAAGATTAATTAATGTGTTCAATGTAGGAATCTCTTTCATTTCTTCAGAGCATGGTCTAATCTGTATCCTTCGGGAATTAGAGGAAGAGCTGTTGGTCAGTTTATATTTGATGGCCAGTCTTTTATTTCCAAAATTAATTAGGTGTAGATTAAGTTGTGAAGACTAATTTGATATTTTTAAATATGATAGGCATTTGGCAAGGTATAGAAATCTATGAATGATGCAATATTTGTTATAATTAATGCCTACACCACAGGAGATAGATAAACAAATTTTTTAAGGTGTGTAAAAATCATTGAAATCTAAAAATCAAGGTTGACATGATTTTCCTGCACTTTTAACTGTTTAAGATACATTGTAATTGTATTTTTTTGACAGGCGTATCATGCTGTGGCATGGCACTTTATTTTAATGCAGTAATAAAGTAAAATGAAATGAAAAAAATTAAAAAAAAAAAAAAAGTTACAATGGAATTACAATGTATTAGTATTGATGTTTCATTTGTTTGCACCTCCGTTTCATTCATTAAGAAACATGATGAGCAATTATATTTCACTGCAAATTTTTTTTTAAGTAAATTGTGAACATCTCTAGATCCATAAAGTATTTTTAGTCCCCTACCGGTGAAACCGGAGGGGACTATAGGTTTCCTCTGCGTCCGTCCGTCCGTCCGTCTGTCTGTCCCCATCAGTCTGTCCCACTTGGTTTTCCGCACTTTTTTTCTAAACGCTTTGAGATATTGAGCTGAATTTTGGTATTGAGCTGAATTTTGGTACATGAGTGTATCTTAATGAGTTACAGATCAAGTTTGAATTTCGTTTGGCTTCATTGATTTTTGACAGAATTATGGCATTTTGAATATTTTTCATTCCCACTTGGTTTTCCGCACTTTTTTTCTAAACGCTTGCAGATATTGAGCTGAATTTTGGTATGTGAGTGTATCTTAATGAGTTACAGATCAAGTTTGAATTTTATTTCGCTTCATTGATTTTTGACAGAATTATGGCATTTTGAATATTTTTCATAATCGCTTATTAAGATCGGGTTTCGAGCTGCACTAACTTGCGATTGTCGACAAAAATATGAAACGAGGAAAAGACGATGGATAAATGAGTTGAATTTGTGTGGTCTTAATGTTTATTATTTTATTAGATTTAAGGCATTTACAACTTGAAAATCTTTCAGTTTAACCTTGGACATGACTTTTGCACATTAAAATATGACATCCTGAAGAAAAAAAGGGGAACCCGGTAGGGGACATGTATTGCTTATGCAATACTCTCAGAATGCTTGTTGAATTGGCACCTTCTCTGAAAAACCCAGCGGGGGGTATTTGTCCCTATTGGACAGTTCTAGTTCTACATGTATGAGGTTCTAATTGACAGAAATTAACCATTAGCTCTCTGTTAGTATTGATGTCTATTTTTATTTTAAAAATTTTTTTCCATTTGTAGACACAGAATTCCGACAGACCAGTGGTGGTTAAATCTCCGCCCACTGCTGCGAATTCTCGCCAAGCACCGGGAGAAGGCCTATCAAACAGAAGGGGTCATGGCAGGAGTGGACGATGTGGAGGATGAAGACAATATTTAGATCCACACCTAAAAGATCTTAGATCCACCACTTTGTCCAGTCAGCAACCCACCCCTCAAAGATCCTAGATTCATCACTTAGTCCAGTCTGCAAATCCATCTCTCTGCTTAGTTTACCATGTTAAACATACCGTTCCCAAGATTCTAATGACTTTAATCCCACACAGTCAGACTGTTATATCTGAGCATGAAGAGTGTGATGCCACAAATCAAAAAAACAGAATGAGTCCAGGACACAGGTTACTGAGGGCTGCATGTTTATGTTAAATTTAATCTTAGTACGCAGTAGTTGGTTACTGGATTTTAATTTTGTTGACTACTTTAATTCGAGACTTCACTTCAAGAAATAAATAGATTTGTCCATCTCTGGGTACTTTTTTGTAAATATGGGGTACACGTACTAGCGTACTGTATGAAACAAGCACCTGTGGGGGTAACACAGGTGTTCCCAAATGTACTCACAATCTGAATTAGTTGTTGGATTAGTTTTGTTATTAGTGCCATTGTTGTTATTTTGCTTGATTTAAAAAGTTGTACCTTTTTAGTTTTGTTAGAGACGATTATGTTTTCTTAGGGTCTCAACTATATTATCTTTTGATAGAATGCTGTTATAATAAATAGTAGATGTAGTTGTGAACAATCCTTTTTTTTCCATCATCATTTTGACATTTATCATCATCTCCATTCTGTGTGAGTCATTTACCTTGCGATTACAGGTAGTGTGTCCATTACATAGCAGTAGGTTTTTACAGGGACATTCATTACAGATGTTATGGTTGTTTTCTTATCTAGAGTTTAAAAATTACATGTACATTTATTGTACATTTATTACTTCCAACAGCAACAAATTACATGTATATGAATTTTTCCTTGTTCCTGGTGCTTTTAAAATAATTTTGTACATACCGTATTTGTGTTTTAACATTTGTAGACATTTAAAGTGTCTAAGTAATACTAGTTTATTTTATTGTCCAGTGGTAATATTTATATTAAGTGAGTGGTTTTTTTTCTTTGTTTTTTCAATTTTATTTTTTATAATTATTTCATACACTCTGTATTTTACATTGTAAGGAATAATTTACAGTTCTTAAATGAAAAAAAATTATTAGAATAAACATGCAGTTCAGGGTTTAAAAAGTTAAATTCAATATATATGTGTTTACTATGTTTCACTTCATTCTGCTGAAATACATCAGTTGTGCTACTTGTTAATACTGCTAACTGTGTTTTTTTTATAACAGAGCTGCTAGTAAACTTTAATGTCTGGAATTTCAAAATGCATAATTATATTCATTTGTTTGAAATACATACATGTATTATTCAGGTACAGTATTCATGTTTGAACATATAGTTTTGAAGAAAGAAACTTTTGATGCTTTAAAGGATTATTGTTTAGTTTTATGCTTTGCCAGTATTTTGCCTTTTACAGATTCATGCTTTGTGATATACATGTACAAGGAAACATGTTTTTAATGAGCATGCATATTGCATAATGAATATACATATTACAAACTAAGCCAGATAATTTCACCTCAGAGGAATGTAAACATGGATTATTAACTGTGAATTACAGAAAGCATACAGGACCACTGTCTGTCCTGTAGGTCTGCTGTTGAATAGTTTATCTACAGTAGTTAGGTTGGTTTTTGTGTTCATATTGCCTGTGCTTTTTATGTTGAATGAGCATATGTTGTTGTTTTTGTCTTTTTTTTAATTACCTTCTTATTATACTATTATATTTAGGTTTCCAGTAGAAATCCTTGTTAGCTTATCTTTATGTCAACTCTTACGAGTGAACTGGAGTACCTCCCATATTTACTATGTCAAAAATGACTTTGTATAATCAAAGGTCAAGGTCAACACTGCACAAGTCACTATTCTTCATCTTAAATTTAGAATATTTCAACATGCAGACTTCGTTTTACATGTAGTTTTGGTAGGAGGCTATTATAGAAGGAAAACACCATATAAAAGATTTTGTGATGAATAGATCAAGGTCAAAGTCAAGGCAAAAAAGAAAGATTATTAGAAAAGTACTTTTCTCTGTGTGACTTAATTTGTCCATTTTCCAGTCGTTACAAGTTAGTGATGAAACTTTATGAGAAATCCCTATTTTATATTTGGTAGATCTGATTATATTCTCTTGTTGCTTCATAATTAATAACTACCCAGTTTTCTTTTAAGTAGTTTGAACCCCCCCCCCCCCCCCCCCCCAATGTCTTTAGTGATTTGAAAAAAAAAAACTGAAAGTAATTTACATTCAAAGTAGTTTTTTAAGCAGAAAAGATTACAGTGTCATTCCAATTTCATTTCACACATGACAGTTTTACAATTTGTTGTATCAGACTTAACAAGAAAAATATCTTGTTACAGATTTATGTGTGCTTTCCAAGAAAAATCCACCTACCAAAATAGCACTGAAATATTTTGAACTTTTGCTTGAATATTGCTTCACTGTAGCCTCCTCCCCCTTCCACAACTACATTCATTTGGAAACCTTTACAGGGGAGCATTCTACTCTTATGTATCCATGGGTCAATTTTTTTCCCAGATAGGGTGTGAATGGAAAGCTTTTTTATCCTAAACCAGGTATACCCTATACTCACTATGACCTGTTTTCAGTAATAATTGTTTTATAGTTAACATTCTATCTTAACCAATCTTTACATTTTTTTTTTCTAACTCTTTGTTTTGCTGTCACAGATGAAAATAAATCTTCAACAGCATGCAGTGTTCTGTGTTCTTTTCTTTTATATCACAGACTGGATGATTTGATGATAAATATTCAAAATTTCAAATCTAACACAATCAATTACATGTAATAGCCAGCTTGGCCTTACATGCTGATAAATAGGATTGAGTGAATTAACCAGTTGTATAATGATCTGAAAGGGGATGAAATACCAAATTGCCATTTTTTAAACAAGCATATAACATACTCTCAACCTGTATGTCAGTTATTACATGTACTAGCAAACAAACTGTCATTTCCTGTTGTAGGTCATTAACGTACTGATGTCGGTATGTTTGTTGCAGGTCACTGATTTAGTTTTATCTTCCTCTCAACTTTAGGTCAATGACAGACTGTCTTGGTGGTCTGAAAAAAGCTCTCCTTACATGATAGCTTCTTTTGCTAATGGCAGATGGGGAGAAATTGCTGAACAACTCAATTTAGAGAACATTTTAAATTCAGAAAACTATCAAAAGGTTTAACCATGGTGCTAAATAAGTTGTAAACCAACAAGAGAAGAGTCAAACTTGTCTGCATTAGTTCAAAAGCAAGACACTGAATCTACTACATACTTAACCTTAACAATCCAGATTTTTGAAGCCCCAGATATCCAATGTAAAAAATCCTTAAAGCAAGTCAAACTTCAAGGTCAAGGTCAAAAAATGAAAAATAATTGTACGCGGTAAAGAACTATATGCGGTATATTGCATTTGTTTGCCCCCACAAAAGTCAAATTTTGAAAACTTCCTGAAATGTGCTGAATTCAATAAATTGTACGAGAAATATAAATTAACAGAAAATATTATAGTTCCAAAGCAGTGTATTCACAATTTTTGTTTTTATGACGTCACAAACTAGTCTGATTTTATATCCTTTTTCAGAAAAAGGACAAAATGGACAATATTCCAACAATTTTAGCTTTTAAAGTTATAGAGCGCATGTGTGTTCAGGAACAATATTGACATATTTCATTGATATTATCATTCTACACATTATATCAAAATATTTATCCTGAACACACATGCGCTCGGTGACTTTTATTTAAAATATCGACGAAATATGTACATTTTTCTGTAAAATTCATAAAAAACTGAAATGTACGTCATATTTGTGACGTCATTACGTACATATGACGTCATTACTTATGAAATTATTCAGTGCTTTGAAGTCAGCATATACTCCCCTGTTTAAGGACTTAATCAAATATTACTCCATCAAAGTTTGATTTGGGGGGCAAATATTGGTTAATACCGCATAAAGTTCTTTAGAGAGATTTGTGAAAAGCCTTTGCACTTAAGAGCCATTCCCTGTAATTATTTGAAATTTTATATAGGAGCTGTGGCACGCATAGTCTCAGAATTTCTCCAAACTCTCTATGATAAAAGTCATTGATACCCTACACTGAAATCAGGCAAAAATTGGTTGCTAATGTTTTATAGTTATCATGGCAACATGTCTTAAAGTTCGAAAAATGGCATTTTTTAACATGTTTAGAGCCCTATAGTTAACATTTGCGGCAAAGCAAACAATTGGCAATAATTAATGACTGTTTCCAAAAGTTGAAGGCCAGATGTCTCAAATGCATAATAAACATGTTTGGTAAATCAACTATCACATACGTTACTATGGTAACAAAGTATTCAAAAGTAAAAAAAATATTCATTGTATTTTATAAAGTCATAAAAATAAAAAGCATGCAATTATAGAATGAAATGTGACCAAATAATAGAAAAAAGAGCCTTGAAACATATACCAAGAACAAAATATGATATTCCATTTTGGTTGGCAAATTGGTTGCCAAGGTTTTTATACCACAAAGAGCCTTCAAAGTAACACTGTGTGCTTAAATCTGATCCTATCTTTTAAAAAAAGCACATTTCCTCATAACTAATGATCAATTTTATAAGATGTTGGTGTGCTTCAAGTTTTCCCATTTGAAAAAATGCAGATTTGATTCTTTGAATAGAGTGTTGCTATGGAAAAAAGCAGAAAATATATGCTTAAAAACCTGAAAAATATTTTCTTTCCTTGGATACGTACCCTTAAATGTAGATTCCCAAAACTATTGATATTTATTAACAGCTAACCTGACTTTTAATTTTGACTATCATCCAATCTCTAAGTGGATGCAAGAAGTTGGCACACAGGGTTTAATATTAATATAAAGTTCACAAAATCGAACATTTTCCCTTCTTGGTAACCATAGCAACAGTGTTGTTTTCTTCATCAAATTTTATCAATATACGATATTCAACTTCAGTTCTAACAGATAAGTACTATCCAAGCTGAGTCCTTTAATTTGTTTCTTGATTTAATATGACAATTTAATTCTTAATGCAGCGAAAAATAATTCAGTTTTAAGCACTGGTACTTTGTTTCCATGGTAACACTGCAAAGTAGCAATTATACCCAATTTTTCTTATGGTTTTGGTGTTGCAAGGTCCTAAGGATGCATATTTGCCAGTCTTGAATTTTCATGTTTTTTTCTCAAGACAGTAGCATTAACCCAATCTTATATAGTTACTGGTTTTGCATGGTTACACTGTGTTACCATGGCAACCATAAAAGTTTTTTATAGAATAATATTGCTTATACTTATATATATACTTAAGGTCAAACATTTTCATTGTTTTTCTTAAGTCGTTGATTGAATTTGAGCATGTAACACCTACCATTAGTGAATACAGAGTGTTTTTCAGCATATTTCAGCATTTTAAATGTATTCCAAATGTACCCTTGGTTACCACTTACTTAGAGTTATATTCTAAACAGTTTCTTTACAGTATCAGTGACATCAAGGTGTGATGCTTTTGTGAGAATGGTTTGTTAATGCTTTTTCTAGTTTTTATTAAGCGGCCACAGTGAAGATTTAAAGTGGCTGAAAATCTCGATTTTTCAAACTTTTCCGGCTGTTGGCATAGCAACCGAGACACTTAGCAACAATATTTTGTTTAATATTTGTTTCTGGTGTCAAGTACTAAGCATGGGTGAAGTTTCATCAAAATCGGTGACCATGCGTGGCAACGAAGTTTAAGTGGTTACAGAAAATGGCTATAATTAACATCTATTTAGAAGTTTATCATGGGCAGTTTGTTTCGGGTTTCGAGTTTTTCAAAAGTAGGCCAAATTCCAAGGATAAGGTCAAGGTCAAAATTGTTGGTATACGAAGGATGGTCTTCTCATGGGGAATACCCCCTGTGAGATATATAAAAGCTTATTTTGACTTATAACAAGGAATATACATGTGGATTATACAAGCCATTTTATACACTTTTTATACAAGCAGTTTTGTACAAACTGTTTAAAAGTTTAGGGTGAGGCATCTCCACTAGGCAAGGGGTGACAATCTGCTCCTCTCCTCTTGAAAGAAAAGAGGAGCCAATCGTTACCCTTGTCTAGCGAAGAGGTGGCTAAGGATGAAATTAGTTAAAATTTTGCATAAAGTGGGTCAAATTCAAGGTCAAGAGGTTAAATATTACGGTATTCAAAGAAAGGTTTTATGCCCCCATTATCAAAGATTCAGGGGTATATATAGGTTTTGTCCTGTCTGTCTGTCTGTTTGTCTGCAAAAACTTTTAACCTTGCCCATAACTTTTGAGTTGGGAGGGGGGGGGGGGGGCAAGGCTTTCATATTCAACAAGTGTATTCCTTGTGAAAATACCTTTCCTCTGAAACCGACATATTTGAATAGTCACTGTGACAATATCTTTCACTGGGTATAAAATATTTTTTACCTCAAGAGTTTGACCCTCTTTTAAAAAACTTCAACCTTGACCTCAGCTTTTGACCTGTAGAGTTTGACACATCCGATATACTTCTACCCCTTGCAATTAGCTACAATTTAAGGGACCATCTTGTTTGATCTTTTGAACTTGGAAGTTTGACTTGCATTAGAGAAATTTTAACCTTTTTCATATGCTGCCATACTGGTGTTCTTGTTTAAATCATAATTATTTGTCCTTCTTTCATCCTATTCAAGCTGGTACTATACTCAATTGACTGTTAAAACCCATGGCTCTGCTCTCTTGTTGAAATACCATTTTCTTATTTCTGGTTCCTATGTCCAAGTTTTTGTGTTTGTAAAACACTGATGCCCCCCGTATGGCAGCTTTTAGTGAGGGTTGAAGTTTCTCAAATGCAAGTTATACTCTAAGGTCAACGTCAAAATTTTTGGTATCGTAAGAATTTTACAATGAACCTGTGAAATTTTAAAAGCCCAAGTACTAACTGTACAAAAGTTATGACCAAGGTTAAAGTTTTTTTAAATGTGGGTTAAACTATAATGTCAAGGTCAAATTTGGTGGTACCCAAGGAAAGGTCTTGTCACAAGGAATGCACATGTGAAGTATGAAACCCTAGCACTAGTTATTCAAAAGTTATGGCCAAGGTTAAAGTTTGGTAATTGTTTGTAAAAGTGGGTCAAATTCAAAGGTCAAGGACAAGGGTCAAATTTGGTGGTACACAAAGAAACTCTTGTAACAAGGAATACCCCTACGAAATATGAAAGCCATAGCCTTACCCACTCAAAATTTATGGTCAAGGTTCAAGTTTTTGCAAACAGATAAAAGACAGATGAATGGGACAAAAACTATACACCCCGAACCTTGGATTAAAAGGGCATAAACAGGTCAAGGAACAACAAGGGCACCCCAAGGCAGAGTATCCCCATAGAAAACATCTATAAATCAGAGCAGCATTTGACATCCGATCCTTATGCAAATTAATTCACTTCAGATTTGTGCAGGGCTTCACTGCCTCATCCACAAATGTACACGATTGTGCTATATCCCCTGCAACTCCATTGGTAGGCAAAATAACCAAACTTTTGCGACTTCCATCCTACAAATACTTGGCATATATCGAAATCATTTTTTTATCATCTCGGCACCAAAACTAGACAAATTGTTTTCCTTCAAATAAATTTATTGATATTTAGCTAGTCTTGTGACACTACTGATAGTTTAATAAATAATCAACAAACTTTTGCAATGTAAAAGTTCCATATTATCTCATATGTCATAAAAATTCACTTTGTTTCTGTATACAATAACTGTCAATATCAATAACAAAATGTGATCGAGTACATCATTGATGACTTGGAACGCAAATGATATGTTTTTCTGCCAAAAATGAACTTTTATAATACATGTACCTTTATATATAAATTTTCAACAACCCTTTTTGCAAAGTTAATTCCAATGAATTACAAATTATGTTTTGCATGATATTGTGTTAGTAGGCAAAACTGCCAAAAAAAACCATGCTTTGAAAAATCTTGCATACATGTACCTTTGCTATAACATTTCAATCGTTTTAGTCCCAATTATTCACCAAAAAAAAAAAAAATTGAAAAAAAAAATTATTTCTTTTATTGTATATTTTTTCAATGCCTTGTTGTAACAGTGATAAATTTACTTGTACATAATATATTTTTAAAAAAGTAATAAATAACCATTCAACAATCTCTCTCATCATAACAAAAAACAACTTCAAAAGCAGTTTTACAAACAAAACGTATCTATCCATACAAACATTGCTATCACTAAGTTTAAATAAGCATGCACTCTGTCCACCACAAATATGAATATATTAAGACACAACATCTGGTTAAGATGTGTCAGCACTTTCCTCCATTTCCTCTTTTGAAATTTCCCCTTTGACCTCCGTTTCCATTGGTTCCTGACTCTCCTGGTTAGTTTCACTAGAATCTGTTTTCATTGGTTCTTCTGTTTTTGGTTCCTCCTCTACAAAAGCTTTAAGGTCTAACTGATCTAGAAATGACTGCATGTCCTTCACTGCTGTCCGCCGTGCCATTCGCACTTTCTCATCATCACCGGCCTCAATTCCATCTAATTTCAAAATTCCTCTATTTAACATTTCCTCTAGATATTTATACTGCTTGTCTGATTTCTTTCCTGAAAATGCATTTACTCCTTCTTTTATATGTGCTGTATCACTCACTATTTTGTCGATCTTCTTTAAAGGACAATTTTCATTTTCTTTCTTTGTTTCTGTAGAGGCACTGTCTGTTTGATCGGCACTCTTTTGTACTGTAGGTTCCTTGGAAATCGTGTTTTGTTCACTGTCACTGGTCTCTGTTTTAGGAACGTCAGCAGTTTTCTGTGGCGGTTTGTCCTGACGCCGCACCTGTTTTGGTGATTTGGGTTGATACTGTTGTTGCTGAGGAGGCTGTGTCTGGTTTGGTTGTGTTTGCGGTGGTGTCTGATACTGTTGTGGAGGCTGGTAGTGTTGGGGTGGCACCTGATGGTGGTGTCCTGTCTGTTGTGGAGGGTACTTCACCTCTCCCTGGTGGTACACAGGTATCTCCTTAGCAGGTTGAGGTTGAGGCATATGTGGCTGTGGCATCTGTCGATACTGCTGTTGTGGATATCCTCCTTGGGGTCCTTGGGGATAACCTTGACCCTGTGATGCTTGAGGGTATCCTTGACCCTGTGATGTTTGAGGGTATCCTTGACCCTGTGATGCTGGAGGATATCCTTGACCCTGTGATGCTGGAGGATATCCTTGACCCTGTGATGCTGGAGGATATCCTTGACCCTGTGATGCTGGAGGATATCCTTGACCCTGTGATGCTGGAGGATAACCCTGTTGAGGGTAGCCACCTTGGTTTCCCCCAGCATTTCCTTTGTAGAAAGTATATCCCTGAAGATCTGGCTGTTGACTTGGTTTAGTCGAAGATGTGTGATGGACTGGAATTTCCCTCACACCTTGATATGGCTGTGGCATTTGTTGAGGAGCAGCAGGCGGTGAACTCGTCCTCTGGGGCGACCCCATGCGACCCGGTGACTGCATCCTCTTTGGGGACCCAAGTCCTGCTGGTGATCCAGCTCTGTGTCCTGCTTGGTGTGTCCATTTTGGGGGTTTGGAACTTTCATGGAAAACTGGAATCTCTCTGGAGAAAAATGAATTTTGCTCTGGGAAACCAAAACCGTGCTGTCTCTGTAATACAGAATAAAAACATTCCAAGTTTACTTTCACTGCTAGAAGCTACCATTCTATTATACAAGATCATCCTGTCATAACCAAAAGATAATAATTAATCGATCAAATATATTGATCCATCCACATTTGCTAACTAATGTTCAGACCTTTAACATTTTATTTTATCAAAGAATGTGATGCATCTGCTATTACAAATTGAATTCCTTGTTAAACACCCATCCCTACCCCCAGGGTTTACAGTTATCCTAATTTAACAGTGTCATGTCATCTCTTTTCTATAACAAAGCTAAGAATTTACATTACCTTAAAACTTTTTTCGAAACTTATATCTTTATTTAATTGATGTTCAATAAATTTTCACAAAATAGATTAGGTCCTAATTATTATTTTGTTCAGTGAATAGGTAAACAAAAATGTATAACCTTACCATTCTTATCCGTGGGTCTTCCCAGCTCGTGCTTTTAGTGTTGTGGTCTACGAAGTAAGGCCAACCTGTATTACGATCATGTAACATTTCCCAACCTTGTGGAAGATCAGAGTTGTTGTAAGGATTTGGATAAAACTGTCTGCCAGCCATGTTTTATAAATGTTTTTCTCGATTCTTCTCAAACCCTCTGGAGGCAACTAGAGCGCCACCACATTCGGGAAAGCTCGGGAATTTTCGATGGCCGAACATCGTGAATGGATAAATATAAACTGGTTCAATAACATTTTTTTATATGATATAGATATTGGTCATGAATGCATAATAGAAAATAGGTAAGAAAGAATTATATCATCAGCTTGCATATATTCATAAGCCATGACCATATATCTCCCATAGGTCAACATCCCATAGGCCAATCAGTAAAGTGTGGAGAGAAGTACAAAGTGCATTATGAAGGTGTACTTGATTTCACCTCAAAAGTGTAAGGTTAGGTCCTTAGTCTCGTACTTCCGATACACTTTGTGAGGAATATAAGGGCTCGGGAAACCAAAGCATTATAAAAGAGTACGTGAAAAAGTATATATATTTACCAAAGCTTTTTTGAAAAGGCACGTAGCCACTGGAATACAGAAAGTTTCTTTCTTGTTTTTAATGGTTTATGAAACAATATATCCATCATGTTGTACTTTATGTAGTATGCATTGAAAAATTGTGCAATTTAATGCAATTAGATTTTTTATTTATGTATATTCAACTTGATTAAACATTAATATTAACTAATATTTCAATATTTGTTTCAAGTATTTGTTTTTTAGCGATATTTTGACAAGAAAATAACATTCATGATTCAATGCATTAAAGATTATTAACACTCCGATTTCGATTACTGTTTTGTTTCAGACTTATAATTTCAACTAAATTTTATCAGAAATTAAATTAATTGCATTACGTAAATATTTTTTACATTAACAATGAAACATTTCAACATGTTCAAGTTAAATTAGATCGGAATCAAACGTAAAACCGTAACCTGAAATCAAAAATTGAAATAACTCCTAAAATAAGGAAAACATACTTATTTTAATCATGTTAATCTAAAATTTATATTCTTTATGTTAAACTAAAGTAGAAAAACATACCAAAAGCAGTTTAATTGCATTAAATTATAAATGTTTACTAGCGTACTCTATTTAGTACTCTATCTAGCGTACTCTGTTTAGTAGGACCGCATTTTTCCAAATATAATTTTTTTTAACTACAGACTCTGGGTGCGTTCAGAGTACTACCGTTGGCTGACAAAAGTTACCACTGGTAGAATTTTTTACCATTGGTAAGCCAATGGTACCAAAGTTTGCCAAAAAATTTTACCATAGGTAGATTTTTCTGCAGACGAACTAGAGCTCTGTTAGCGATGGTAACTTTTCTAATGACTCAAACAAAATGGCGGGTACTGATCGAGTTGGTCCTACTAAACAGAGAACCCGAGAGATCTCTAAGTTTATCGGGCGGTATTTGGTAAATTCAAAGAAATTTCATGCATAATTGAGTTCATTTTTATTCTATAAATCGTTTTTTATCTGTAAAATTAATAACAAGATTATTCTATGAAAGTTTTCCCACAGGAAAAAAGTTGAAAAAGAAATAAATCATTGTAATGTTTTTACCACACCTATATACATAAACTCTGTGTGTATAGGTTTGAAACATTTTTTTTAATGTGGTTTTTCTTGACTGAAAGTTTCAGAATCTTTATTTTAATAACTTTTTAAGTGTATTTAATGTAGAATCAAGATTTTATTTACTAGTATTTAATTATTTTACATTCGACAATCCGGACGACAAGTTGGAGAAAAAAACAGTTGTGGAATGGTACTTTACTGTACTAAAAAGTATTTCTGACAGCATTCTCTTGCTGCAAAATGATACACGAAGCAAGAATAATAATATTGGTTTGACATTTTCTTCAGTCTAAGAAATCTGTCATTGTTAACAATGGTATACACCAATGTCACAAATGGTACGCCAATGGTACCATTGTTAACATTGGTGAGTTTCCTACCAACTCTACCCAAAACTCGTTCAGAGTACATATGGGTCCAATGGTACCAACGGTACAAATTGTTACCATTGGCAAAGAGGCTATGGTACCACTGGAGATACTCTGAACGCACCCAGAATTTCTTCATTTAAAGTCAAGTAGCACCCCTCCCTCTTTTCGTTGCAGTATTTGGTATTGTCAAATGATTAAATCATTATGAAGTAATGTACCCAGTCTGATATATATCATGTACATGATATAGCCTAAACATTAATTGATAAAGGCAATATCCATTATATAAGGCCAGTGTTTGATCGAGTGGATAGAATTTTTTAGTTTAAACATGTTAAAAGTTTCTGACACTTTCAGACAAGAAATGCTATGTTGAAAAACATATAACATCTACATACATAAACTCTACAAGGGAAACTAATTAATTATTATAAAAATGGTCATTAAAAGCATCCCCCATTCAACATTTCAATATTGTTCATGGGTCACATGAGAACAACCTATTCCAATCCACCACTTAAGATTTTAAATCATTGTTCTTCGGACTCGATGAATATTGTACTATCAAGTTTAAGTTTCAAGTTTTTATTTAAGAAGAAGACCCCAACTGAATACAAATAATACAAGATTTTAAAATATTATAAACAAGAATGCATGAAAAAATGAGTGGTACTAATGTTATTTACAATTCACATGTAAAGTTCAAATAATAAAGTTATCAAGGTGATTAAATCATCATTCAGACCTCAAAAATAAAAATTTTGTCACATGATGATCAGACGCTTGATGGTCATGCTGGAAGAACTAAAACTCACAATCAAACGCGACTCGGGGTCAAAAACCCCATGACGTAGAGGAAAATAAACAGAGCAGACGCATTTTTGTTGGAATCATGTCTTATGCAGCTGTGTTTCGTGTGTTTTGTCGATCAGCTTGCAGATTCTCAAATCTTAATAATATCAGAAACTTTAATGCATCAAAACGTCTCTCCAGTTGTGATATAAGCTGCAACAGGGGATCAGCGTTTCGCTGTAAGTATAAAATTACACAGTTCGAATTTCCTTTACTTGCTGATAAAGAAAGCTGTTTTACGCTTTAAGGGTAATGAACGTCAGCTCTAACGATATTTTTCCCCTTTGTATTGAATAAATGTGGCAATTATAAGACTTAATTGTGCTGCTAAAATATTGCATTAAGATAATTACGTGAAATTCTTAAATAACAAGAACTTGAAGAAGGATTGTCAAAAGACATTTTATATGGCCTGTACTATATCTGCGTGTTTTCACAACTGCATTATAAAAAGATATCAACTGCAGATAAATGTTCTTTAATAATGCATATATTTTTATCTATACATATTATTATCTGTTAAATAAATTTATAGGGATGATAGGGTATCAAAAGTTAAATTGTTCAAGCAGCAACATATAAAACCATGCCCCAGGGCCATAATGTCAGGTAGAAAATGGAGTTCTAATGACCTGTATGTAGGGATGTCCCTGTTGTTGAACGTATGGGCCTATACATGCATTTCCATTATGTAATAAAAAAGAGCATACAATGTGAACAGAAGATAATTATACTTGATGTAATTTGTAACAGTTTACAGCACTGAAGTTGACCCTGATGACCCGAGAACAGTCCCAGAAAATGAATGGGAAAAACGTCTAACACCAGAACAGTATGCAGTCACCAGAGAAAGGAAAACCGAGGAGGTAAGAATCAGCTAGTGTGTAAACAATATACAGATTAATTCACACAGTCTCCCTCTATACAACTTATAACCTTGTCAGCACTGGCATCACAGTTACACCTCGGTATCTTGAATACCATGCCAGCAATTTTTATGCCCCCCCTTGAAGAAGGGAGGGCATATTGCTTTGCTGCTGTCTGTTGGTCGATTGGTCGGTCAGTCTGTTGGTTCACCATCAGTTTCCGTTCATTTTCTTTGCAGTGGTTGAACATATTGCAATGAAATTTGGTATACAGATTTATCATAAAAATATCTAGTTCAAGTTCTGTTTTTTTTGTGTTCTTCTTAAAATACACAAGTAATGAGACTAGAAGGCATCTATGTCGATTAGCATTTTATTCTAGACTAAAGCATACAAGCATATGTACAGTGTATAAGCCTGGGCATGCAATTCGATATTCCTGGGATAAAGAGCTAATGTCCGAAACCATAATAAAGTTAACATAAACAGTTCACTGGTTTGTTTATTAATGCACTTAAAATATCCAAACACAACATTTCCTCCCTTCTTATTTTTTTACGTAAATAAAATAATATTGAAATTTAACCGTTAATTTTAAAAATACTTAAGAAGAAATAATTTGTAAAGATATACAACAAATAACTTTTACTACATATCTATTATTTACAAAACTAATGTGGTTGCAAAAGAAACTTCTGTTTCTACGCGCACTACAACCACTGCTAAGTTATTGCTGTCATGGGAATTATTATTACCCACACGGTGCTACACAAATAACCATTCACAAATTTAATTTGACCACGGGCTTCCTGGTTCGCAGCGGATATCTTCGTTCGGGCGGCGCATTAATTATCGGCGGTGATTTAATCGTCTCGCCTGCTTCACTGTCAGTTGCTTTATCGTCGATAATTGGTATTACCGCATCGGAATTTTCATTGGAATCGGCCTTGAACTCGGCATCTCTGATTTGGTCGGCGTGTCGCTTCCAAATTCCTCCTGCTTGTGTTTTAATTTCGTAATTCAACGGTCCTTTGCGCTGAATGATTTCTCCGCTGGTCCATTTCTCCTTCCCGCGGTAATCTCTAACGGCCACGTGCTGTCCAGTGTTAAATTCTCTTAATTTCTCTGCTTTGGTAGTGATAGCAGTTTTCATTTGTTTATCATTTACAGTTCGTCCCAGGTCAGGTTTGATGAGGTCAAAACGGCATCTAAGGTTTCTCCCCATGAATAACATCGCTGGCGTTTCATTTGTTGTGGCGTGAGGTGTGTTACGGTATGTAAGAAGAAAATTTGCTAACTTCTTATGAATGTCCGCATTTTCTTTATCCATGGCTTTCATTCCTTGTTTAAAGGTTTGAACGAAACGTTCTGCCAGACCATTTGTTGCAGGATGATAGGGTGCTGATCGGATATGGTTTATTCCGTTTAGTTTCATAAATTTTTGAAATTCTTCAGACAAAAATTGTGGCCATTGTCGGAAAGACTGCTGTAATGTTTCTTGCAAAGATATTACGCAAAGTAATTATCGTTTTGGTTGAAATTTTCTGCATAGGAATAACTTCTGGCCATTTTGAATGTGCGTCCACGACAAAAGAAACATGTGTCCTAAAAATGGTCCTGCGAAATCAATGTGGATACGTTTTCACGGCGCTGACGGCCATTCCCATGGATGTAAAATTGTGGCGATGTTTCTGGCATCCAGCACAACCTTTTACAAGCTTTTCGATTTCAAAATCGATTCCTGGCCACCAAACGTAGCTTAAAATCAGAAGTTTATTCGCACAATTCCAGGGTAGCTGAATGGAACATTTCAAGTAGTTTTCCCGAAATCGTTGTGGAATGATAACTCTGCATCCCCACATGATGCAGCCTTGACTCACAGTCAATTCATTCTTTCTATTAAAGTAGCATTTAGGTATGGATCCTCGTTTTCAGTCCAACCATTAACAATGCAGTCGTACACCTTTGACAAACATTTGTCTTTAGACGTTTCTCTTCTAATTTCTTATGCGTAAGACATGATATTTGTTCCATTTGACTGAGTGTAAACATATCTGCCACATCAGTTAATTCCTCGGCCTATGGGGAATTGTTGAGTCCGTGTATTCGTGTGGCGCTTGGTATTGCGATATTCAATGTGGTACGTATATCCACTCAAAAATATAGCATGTCTCTGCATTCGCGCTGCGGAGGTTACTGAAATTCCTTTCCTAGGATTGAAAATTGACACTAACGGCTGATGATCGGTTATCAAGGTAAATTCGCGAGATACAGATATGTGGAATTTCACCAGAGAAAGACAATACCTAGAGCTTCCTTGTCAATTTGACTGTAATTTCTCTCAGCTTTGTTCAAAGTTCTTGAAGCGAACGCGATTGGGTGCTCCGTCCCGTCCTTCATATATACTGCCCCTAATCCGAAAGGTGACGCATCACACGCTATATGATATGGTAAGTTTGGATCATAGTGACATAATACTTGATCAGAGGTTACCAACCTTTTTGCTTCCTCGAACGCTTCCTGACATTCTTTGGTCCACTGCCATTTAACATCCTTTTCCAGGAGTTTGTGCAACGGGTGTGCAACGGATGATAGATTCGGAAGGAATTTGTGATAGTAATTGACGAGCCCTAGAAATGCACGGAGTTGGGTGGTGTTGGTTGGCTCCGGGGTATCCCACACGGCTTTAATTTTATCCTTGGTCTTGTGTAATCCTTGTTTGTCAATTAAATGACCACAATACTCGATTTGATCTTTGAAGAAGTGACAATATTCCCATCCTCGTCGCCAATTTTGTGTTCTTCTTAAAATACACAAGTAATGAGACTAGAAGGCATCTATGTCGATTAGCATTTTATTCTAGACTAAAGCATACAAGCATATGTACAGTGTATAAGCCTGGGCATGCAATTCGATATTCCTGGGATAAAGAGCTAATGTTGAAACCATAATAAAGTTAACATAAACAGTTCACTGGTTTGTTTATTAATGCACTTAAAATATCCAAACACAACATTTTTGGGTACAATTGAGCCATTTTGGACAGAGTTATGTCCCTTGGACTTAGAAAAATTCCAATAATATTTGCAGTTTCCGTTCATTTTCTTCGCAGAGGTTGAACATATTGAATTAAAATTTGGTATACAGATTATCATTAGAATATCTAGGTCAAGTTCTGTTTTGGGTAGGATCGAGCCATATTCGATAGAGTTATGCCCCTTGGACTTAGAAAAATTCCAATTATTTTAACCTCAATATTATATGGTACATATTATCTTGAATTCTCATATATCTTTGTTCCATTGAGTTTGATATTAGGAGGTCTGGCTGTATGTGTCAATTCATATCTGTTGGCTTTCGATTCAGACATTGATTCAGACATTTCTTTTTTAATTTGATATGACTTTCCAATTTTCTATAAAGGTCACATTTGCATGTGTAATATGTTTGTAAATGTATATGTATATTCTATTGACAGTATTTTTGATTTAAGTCCTTCAATTTTTTTAGCCATTCAGTGGAAGTTATTTGAACCATTTTGAAAAAGGCACTTATCATTGTGTATGTTGTGATGCAGAGCTTTTCAGGTAATGTAACAGCAAATCCAGTCATTTCTTTTCATGAAAAATATATATTTTGAGAATTTGCTAAAATTAAATATACTTTTTCATTCATATCAAAATTTTATTGATCCTAATTCAAAGTTCAATATACATGTATTGTACATATATATATATTTTTTTCCTATTTTCTAACTGCCATAAACCATTATTTTTTTTTTTTTTTTACCATTTTGCCTCCACAAAAGATTGATGGAATAAAATGGACACAAATACTGTTGGCTAATGATAAAGATTATTTATTAAATTTTAATCACATTTATCAATGGATTTTGAATAGTTCTGATGCTAAGTACGACTCCCATTGTGGTTGGCCCTCCTTCTTTGAGGCTGCTGGAACTGAAAACGGTGATGAGTCTCATACACACATACTACGCCGTCCTGATAACAGCATTGGAATGGTGCGCACAGAGGTTATATGTAAAAATGTAAGTTGGTATTTGTTTCTTTTATAGATGAGTTATAAATACAAGATAAACCAAAATGTCATGTCACGTTTATGATCTATTAAAATTGTTCTCTTCAACAAAATAACATGTAGCAGACTTATAACGGAATCTTGATTACAATCTAATTAAAATTAGGTCTTTGATATGCTTCACTTTTTGTAGCAATCTATTTGAAGTGGATCAAAGATCCAATATAATTTTAATTAGATAGATCTTTATTGATAAAATAAATAAGGAAATAATTTAATTCCGTCAATCAGATGAATTATACATGTTTGTCTTTAAGTACATGTATTTCAAAAGCTATTTTGATGCTGATTTTCACCGTTAATTTCCAATAAATTTCAGATTCATGTGATAAATTTTTTTACAGTGTGATGCTCACCTGGGCCATGTCTTCAATGATGGGCCGGAACCCACCGGACAAAGGTTTTGCATCAACAGTCTGTCTCTCAAGTTTAAGTCTTACAGACCATAAACTGATTTCTTACAAAGTACCAAAGTCTGTTTACTAATTGGGTATAAATTTCGGAGAAAATTGTAAGGAGGATTTGTTTGTCGAATCAATTTTTTAAATGTATACACGTGAAACCAACCGACAATCCAATAATTTTTTAATCAAAAAATTGTTTTTGTTATTCATGCCTGGCAAGAGAGTGCCATATTCATTGTTTTTTATGTTACAATACCGGTAATTTCAAAACAATTTTGAATATTAAGAATAATACTTGATTACTTTATTTCTCTTTGAGCTCTAAAATTGTGTTCATCTAGCAAATGGTAAGGTCACAAAAATTTTTGAATTCCTTGGCTTAAAATAATTAATATATGAAATTTGTGTGAAAAAATTGAATTTTCTTGGATATTATTTTTGTTTGCAGTATAAGATTTTCTGTACATTTTTGGGTACATTATAGATCAGATGTATGATAAAGAATGAAGTTGAAGGTTTGTCTCAATTTTAATGATAAATGTTCATTAATGTGACCATTTGGGGGGGGGATAAAAAGAAAATATGTGGCTTTACAACTATTAGAAAGAGTAAAAAAAAATTTATAAAAAGAGGGTGTACAATAAATGGTTGTATGATGAGATTTTTTATTCAGTTCTAGTTTTTTCTTAGAATCTCTTATTAATACTTTTTTTCCCATGATAATTATTAATCTCTGTTGCTATGATAAGTTCTGAAGAAAACTAATGGAAAAGTTTGTCCACATTAATTTAAGTTTTCCTGATCTATATGCTATTTTATTTTTCCATTTATATCAAAATTAGAGAGTTATACACTAAATTATTTTCTTAGAGATTATACCAGGCATGAAATATACTGATACAGTATTACATATAAACATGTGAGTGGGTAATGTAGCCCACAATGAAAAATTTGATCTTGAATTTTTAAAAAGCATTTGGAAATTTAAGGTATATTGTGAATTTGATTATATCAACTTTGTGATTAACATTAAGTAGATTTATTTGTATATTTAGTTTTTTTTTTGTTTTTTTTTTTTAGAGTATCTGGTATTACAGGTATTTACACATTTAGATGAAAATAACTACTAGTCAGTTGGACATAAATGCATGAATCGATCCTGATCACTGTTATATTTGCTCAATTAACAGATCTGACTTTTTTTCCTAAAATAAAAACATATATATTATTTGTTAAAAGTAAGGTTTATTTAATTTCTTGCCCAATACAATTATATATCGACCTTTTATTTCTTTTTGAGTGTCATCCAATGTTATGTATAATATGATCTTTGGTATATTTCTGTTCCATTATTTTGTTTTTTTTTTTACTTTGAGGTAGTATAGTTGTTTGTGCAATTAACTGTTATTTGTTTAACCAAACCCTCTTAAAATGCCCAAGCTTAGTTGTTTTCATTCAAGGGTAGACCCTATACTTATCCAGTTTTCCAGAGATTTGCTACAAACCCTATTGAAGTGCTATGCTTAAGTTGGGAACATTTTGCTTAAAGGAGTATTGGGAAATTTGTAGTGTTGTCAAATCGGTTGAAAATCAGAATCGATTAATCGGTATAGCATCGGTTGACCCTAACCAACTGATCATCGGCCAATAATCGAATCGGTAATTAATAATTATATATAGCCCTTTGCATAAAATAGGTATTATATTTCATATAAAATTTAGAATTTTCATTTTAAATAATGTAAGTAAAGGTGCATTGTACAGATCGCAATTCTAAAAACAGTATATATGCAGTTTGATTAACAATTTCAGTAATACAGACTTTTGCATGACTAGGAATTACTTGGCCTGGGAAACAAGCATTGACAGATCAGGTTTTAATTTTCATGATCATCTAAAATATATATCAAATTAATTTTTTAAACTGTTATAAGACATTTAATATTGCAAATCCTTGTGATTACGCATGAAATGAAAAGTGAATTCTCCCAGATACTGAAAACTAATATATTTCTTTATACAAGTAGTTTAGTTTCTTTAGTTTAGAAATACAATTATCATTATCTTATGATTTATTTTAAACAGATTTTAAGTACATGTATTTTAAAATAGGTAGTAAAGGACAACACTTGGAAGATATATATTTTAATAACAAGTCTTAGAGCCTGTTCTTGAAATAAAAGTGAGAAAACTATTTAAAAAAAAAGGATATGTGCTGAAATATACCAATTAATCGATTGTTAAAATCTCCAATCGATTGTCTAAAATCGACAGCCTTTCCGACCGATCATCGATTATAAATCGATCATCATGACAACACTAGAAATTTGCTCTCTTGAGAAGAAATTTAAAAATACACTGTTATCCAGACTAGTGAGTAAAAGGCTCCCTGTTGGACTAGGCCTAGAAAAAAAATATGTTTGTTTCCGCTTTCAGGCTGAAAAAATATAGGGTAGGTACAAAATGTAGGTAGGCAATTTTTTTTTTTTTTTTTGAAAAAAATTTTTTTGCTTCTTTAATCAAAACGTGTGTAGATGTAACATTAATGACAAAAGAAATGGTGTTTTCAAGCATTAGTGTGACTTAACTTATAATAGAAAGGTGACACAAACTTCTTTCTGTCTTGAAAAGCTTGCAAAGTTGGAGGCTATAATTCCCTGGTTGAAATCTTGCACATCATGAGACAAAAGCATTAAAAAAATGTTTAGGATCGGCACTGTAAATTAGGGTCGGTCGGGAAAGCGGAAACAAACATATTTTTTTTCTAGGCCTTAGAAAGGACGTTGCTATCTGGATTAGTAAGGGAAACTGTGCTGTCTTGAGTATTTAGGGAACTTTGCTATCTGGATTAGTGGGGGGAACTGTACTGTCTGGAATATTTAGGCAGACTCAAATGGGACATATTGTGAGTAGTACATGCATTGTCTGATAGAGTGAAGAAGAAGGGGTATGCAGCACTGTTTGGTGCTAAGGGCCACAAATCTGAGTTGTTGGGCATAGTAACTAGGCTTTCGACAGAAGGGGGAGTACTGTGCCATTGAAAAATTGATACTGGTGCTTGCATATTTGATGAATTTGAATATACATGTATATTAATTTGTCCAACTGTTTTTGTTGGCCAGTCAGAGTCATATGCTAAAAATTTGAAAGTTGTTAAAGATGTCTTATTTTAGTTATTTTATTTTGTGTAACACTTATTTTTTGTGTGGATTTTAGTTGGGTATATACATGTGTATATCAAATAACTTAAAAAGATGTAATGACTTTTATGTCAATGTATACCATGAGTGATTAATTTTTTATTTACATTTTAGAACTTCAAAACATTCTGTAAATCATGAGTATTATGATTTTTGAATTGGTGACCTACCTAGCTGCACAACTGTAGCTCTCAATTTTCGCAATCCGGGAGCTACTACAGTTCTACAGCTAGTGACCTACCGAGTGAATTTTCTTTTTTCTTTTTTTTTTTTTTTTTTGCAGATTTGTGCACCTTTTTTTAATATCTTTAAAGGATTTTTGACATGTGGAAAGTTTCAAATCAAGCTGTAGTATATGATGATTATTACATGTATTATTTGTGATTTTGTAAAATAAAGACCCAATCACATTTTTGTCTATTTATAATTTTATTGAAAAGAATAGAAATTGCCCTAACTCAAGGAGAAGATGGGGGGGGGGGTTCCAACTTCGTTTCACAACCAAAATTTTTTTATCAGGGTAATACATTACCAAGTTACCCTTGATTCATCTGTATTACAACAAATGGGGGGAGCCAGTCATGGACCGTCGGAAGGGGGGGCGGGGTGTTTTCCTGTTCTCCAGCTTCTGTTAATTTTTGTTAGATAAAAAAAAACGATCAAAATTACATGAATTCCTATTCTATTGTTCCTAAATTTCGATATCTGACACCAAGGTACCATCATTTTCTTCTGTTTGTTAAATATTAAAGATTGGTCTTTACAGCATATACATGTAGTACATTTAATATACCAATATATATCTGAAACTACATCATTACCCTTACACTATAATTAAGAACGATCAAAATTAAAAAAAAAATAAATCATATATTGCATTACAAAAGTTTGCAGAGGAAATGTTATACATACACACATACACAACAGATGGGCTGGTCCCTCCCAAATTTTTTCCCAAATATAACTTTTTACTGTTGAAACTAGAGGTACTGTTGGCACTGAGTTCACTAAATGATATATATACCCCACTTCTCGTATGATTATAATTGCAAAGTCCATGTTTTGCTCTGGGAGACCCAAACTACGCGTCAGATCAAAAAATAAATAGGTGGTGCACAATGGTGACTAGGAGGACTACACGTGTATCCCCAGCTGCGTGTACTAGTATACAAATACTGATCACGTAAGTTTTACATTCCTTAGTCAAATTCAAGATCAAAACGAAAGCCTAAAAATTGGTATGAAACATAAAAAAAAAGATCCAGTGCTAGAATAAGTAGGGTGAATAAGGGGAAGCACAGTGATCGATCTCTAGAAAATTTTAAACACAAATCTGCGAGGAGGGTATAAACACGGACCCCAGGATATCCCAGAGGTGGGATCAGCTGCCTAGGAGGAATGAACATCATCTGTCAGCTGGTCACACCCGCCGCGAGCCTTTGCATTGATCAGGAAGACCGAACATTCCGTAGTCAAATTCGTTAAAAAAAAACAAAGGCTTAACAATATGGTATGAAGCAAGTATGAATCTACACTAACTACGGATGCTTACATATTTATTTTGACTACCTGTTACTTTTTTCCTACAAGTATGAACTCTTATTGTGGCCCCCAGGGTCAAGATTTAAACAAACTTAAATCGACACTATTTGAGGATGCTTCCACGTATGACTTAGCTGTACTTGAGTAGACGTTTTTGAAGATTTTTCCTATTTAAAACTTTGATCGTCCATTGTGGCACTACCCTACCCCCAGGAGTCATGATTTGAACTAGGTAGGCCCAATCGTTTCTCTGAGCACAGTTCTTGAGAACAAGATTTTTAAAGATTTTTGTTATATATTCCTATGTAAAACCTTGAACGCCCATTGTGGCCCTCACACCCTACCCCTGGGGGCAATGATTTGAACAAATTTGAATTTTACAGTCCTGACAATGATTCCACATGAGTTTCATATTTCCTGGCCCAATGGTTCTGGAGAAGAAGATTTTTCAGGATTTTTTCTATATATTCCTATATAAAACTTTGATCATCCATTGTGGCCCACCCACCCTACCCCTGGGAGCAATGATTTGAACAAATTTGAATTTTACAGTCCTGACAATGATTCCACATGAGTTTCATATTTCCTGGCCCAATGGTTCTGGAGAAGAAGATTTTTCAGGATTTTTCCTATATATTCCTATATAAAACTTTGATCATCCATTGTGGCCCACACATCCTACCCCTGGGGGCAATGATTTGAATAAACTTGAATCTACAGTCCTGACAATGATTCCACATGAGTTTCATATTTCCTGTTCAACTGGTTCTTAAAGAGAGGATTTTTTAATTATGCCATTCATTTTTCACTATTTTAATTATTTCCCCTTTGAGAAGGGCATGGCCCTTCATTTGAACGATTTTGAACCTTCTTTACCCAAAGATACTCTGTGCCAAGTTTGGTTGAAATTGGTCCAGAAGTTCTAGAAAAGAAGATGAAATTGTGAAAAGCTTACAACGACGAAGACAATGACAAACAACGGACAGATTTTGATGAGTAAAGCTCACCTGAATCTTTGGCCCAAGTGAGCTTAATTAAAAGGTCTATATAGCGACCACAGAAGATATGTTAATGCTGACTTTTATCAAGGTTGCTGAAATCCCTGTAACACGAACTTATCTGTCAGTAGCCTGCCTCGGCTTAAAAAGTGTTCGTACTCGGAGCATGCCCTCGAATAATATATAGAATCAGAGATGCAGACACTATATGCAGGTAATAGGGGACATAACTTCACAAATAAGGAAAACTGACAATGGAAAGGATGAAAATGAAATAAAATCGTTTAATACACAATTTAGTTGTTAGTGAGTCCTTATCGTCTGATTTCAAATAAGAAATTTAAAACCTGTTTTCTATTTCAAGTTCACTGGGATAAGTTCCTCAGCAACCTGATATTAAAATTAAGTGTGTTTATTTGATTGAATAAATCATAGTTATGAATTTCAAATCATAAATATTTGTTCATTATGCTGTTGAATTTAGAACCGATTTACCTGGCTTAATTTTCAACGGGCTAAGGTCTAAATTCAACACCTTTGGTCTCAATATCTGAACCCAGGTCAAAATTCTAACCAACCCCCCCCCCCCCTGGAATTTACGATCTTGACCTTTTACCTTTAAGAACTCGTCTTTCCTAAGCCATAGTAAGTATATGCTGTAAAATTCACTACAAAAGTTCATAGCTTCTCGAGATATCGCGCGAAACGAAAGTGTTATTTAAATCAGACATAATTTGAGAATTTTTTAGCTTGACCCTGAATGAAAGGAATAATTGTCCCTCGCTTCTCAAAAAGTCGGGGATATTAATATCAGTCTGTCTGTCTGTCCGTCTTTATTTTTATGATAAACATTTACTGTATACAGAGAAACTCATATGAAGAAATGACGTATAATTATTTTCTTAAACAAAACTATGACTGGGCGAATTTAAAACGGGGCAAAATTGTTTGCAAGTGTGAAAGGGCGAAAATAACCCTGAATACAGTATGACGAACTTTGAAGAAATTACGATTTTCAGAACCGGGGAACCGGCCACAGGCATTTGTTTCGGAAATAAATTTTTAACCCATAGTTATACTAGGGGTTAAAAATTTATAACCGAAACAAGTGCCCGTGGAACCGGCTCCATTATGAATGCAGATAATTAATAGGTGTTCCAGGAATAATTTCTGTGTGAGGCTGTAAGGAACTGTTGTCGACAGTGGCACATAAGTATAGTGAAAATAACATCGTCCGCTTTCAGGAAAGGTTAAAATTCGAACACATAAAAGTTTTTTCTACAACTTAATTAGCATGTTAACGGTGAAACTAACAAAAAAATTCACTGAATATTTAATAATTATGCAATCCTGAATCCTTTTTCCGGAAATTTCTTGTTAAACATCATGTCCAAGAAACACCAAAAGAGAACTGCGGAAATGTCCTTATGTCACGTGTTACAAAAAATTCTTTTAATCTGTCAACAATTACAGTTTAAAATTAGTCCAAAACAACAATACATAAAATTTCTTTGTAGGTGTGTTGTGTTAAGAATGCAAATGATCTGATTTCGTGTGAAAAGAGAAATGCATGAACGATAATGATAGAGGCGTTTGTCAGTCCAACGCCAACGCGACAGTGATGCGTAATAAGAATATTTTCGCACTTTTAATATCATTGCAAGTTATAAGAAGTTTGGCACAATATGTGATCGAAACTCGAAATGGTAAGATTCAAGGACTGGCAGACCGATGGGTGACGTCATTTCTTGGAATACGCTACGCTCAGGCTCCTGTAGGAAGCAGACGTTTTGCTCCGCCTGTACCGATACCAGCATGGAACGGAACTTTAGAGGCATTGAATTATGGTCCTATTTGTGTGCAGGCTATGGATATTCTAATGCACAAGTTTTTGAACAATCTGAAAATAAGTGAGGATTGCCTGAATTTGAATGTTTTTGTTCCAGAACAAAAGGATAAGACAAAACGTCCAGTCCTTATTTATGTACATCCTGGCCAGTTCCAGTACGGTGCTGGGGCTATTATTAATGGTTCCTTTCTTGCATTGGAAACAGGATCAATAGTGGTCACAATCAACTATCGTCTGGGAATTTTTGGATTTCCATTGATTCGATCTCTTAATTTTAAGAATTTGGGAATACAAGACCAAATTCTAGCCATCAAATGGGTCAGAAACAACATTGTCGCTTTTGGAGGTGATGAGGACAATATTGCCTTTTTAACAGACTCTGTCATAGCTAAGATTCTTTATTCAAGCACGAAAGAAGCTCTATTTTCCAAAATTGTCTCTCTGCCATTTGATATTCCCTATTCACCTCAGAAAGCAGACACAAGGCAGAATTTTATCAAGGAAACTAAATTAAAAACTCTTTGCAATTCCACTGGTTTACTGACATGTATTAAAGAAATGAGTCCAGATTTTCTGCTCAATGTGAGTTTGAACCAGTCCCCTTGGACCTTACCCCAGTTTCGACCAGTTCAAGATGACGATATTGTGAAAGGTAAGGGCAGTCAAAACCGTAGGTATATTGAACAACTTCACCTTAATGTGGTTGCTCCATCTTACATCTATCGAAAAAAGTCGGTGATAGTTCAACAGCGACAGTACCCATGCACCCAAGAAATTCTTAAGAAGGCCATACATATGGTCTCATCAATGACATCATCTAATGCAAGTACCTTGCTGGAGACATTTTACTTTCCTGATGATGTCACTGCAAATAGTATATGCAACGAAGTTTTACGTCTCCTCTATGATTACACTTCTGTATCCTCTGTAAACAATCTTAACCACCTCAGTGGATCAGTCCTACTGTTTCTAGCTTTGTTGGAGCCATACTATGTGTTACAGGGTGGAACCAGTGATCCATTGTGTATATTCAGTGGAGGAGGAGAGGGGTGCGATTCTGATGCTAAGTCCGTCTTTGTGCTGACAGCTGTTAAAAATTTTTTGCAGCATGGGTTAGTGGGTTTCTATCAAGTTTTTTTCTTCTTTGTGAACTTTATCTTAAATATTTATTCTTTTATTACCAGTTTCATACTGCAAATATGCATACTAAAGTACAGTGTATTTATGCCACAGGTGCTTGGGAAACAACCCCCCTTCGTTCTGTACCCTGACCTTTTTTTAACTAAAATATTTTTCTATGATATATTCACAAAGTATAACAACTGAAAAATCCAAAATTTCAAATAAACAATCATTTTATAAGAATTATTACTCTCTGAAACTAAAATTTTAGTTATATCAGAGAGTACTATGTATTTTTACGGAACAGGGAGGGGGGGGGGGTCCATTCCAATGCACGTTGTTTAAAATTACAAAAATTACAAGCAAGACCACTATGCCTGTTGTTTCTTTCCTTCTTTGACACAGAAAATATCTTTAATTTTTTAACTGCATAATATAAAGTATGTATACAGGTGTCAGTAAGGGGGGGGGGGGGAGGTTATGCAAAAGATTTGTACTTTTTAAAGCTTATTTAACTACCTTGACACAAATTCCATGTTTACATTTGAATAAAATGGTCACCACTTCAGATCATAGAAGGTTAATGCACCATACTTACCATCATGATTTGAAAGGTCCATAAGCCAGAAATCCCCTATTCGACAAACTTGTTTTTCATTTACTCCAGAGAAGTTCAAAGTCCTTTTCCCCCAAATTAGTAGCTATTGATATTGTCATGTCCCTTCTAGGGAAGTGTTTATTTGTGCTCTTAGTATATTAATATCCCCCCCCCCCTAAAAAAATCAAAAAATTATATTATGATAACTCAAAAATTAAAAAAATTATACCGGTATTATGATAACTTTCCTGAAAATTCCTGTAAAAAGAATTCACCCAAAAATGAGCAGACTTGGCTATTTTAAAAAAAATCATAAAGAAAATAACAAGACTAAGTTTAAGTTTCTTTGATCATCTTAACTGATAAGTTGTCAAAACAGGTCAACATCTTTTAGAACCATTCTTATCTACTGCAGAAATATGAACTGAACACATAATTCTTATAGAATCAGGGAGAGAGAGAGAGAGAGAGAGAGAGAGAGAGAGAGAGAGAGAGAGAGAGAGAGAGTTTTATATGGTTTTTAAATAGATAAAAAAAAACAACTGTTTAAAAACTTAATTTTTTCCAGCTATCCCAGTTCAGATATTCAAATAACATGGCGTCCATATACCAAGCAAAGCAAAAATCACTTGATATACAATGGTTACAAGACATCAGCAGCCAATAAAAGCAAATGGCCTCTAGTTCAACAAGAAAATATATGGTTGAATTTAGCACCAGAATTTAAAAAGACTGATTACATCCAAAGAGAGTCCTGTCAATGTGCAGGTAAGATACATGGTTGAGTATACATTAAATCATAGAAAATTAATCTAAACATATATACTTGAAAATCAAAACTTTTGAAATGATGGACATATAACATATGACTGAATTTTGAGTAATGAAATGTCTGAGAATTGTAGCCCAAAGGCCTCTTGTTTTAGATGCAATTGGTTAAATTGGTAAAATGCAAATCCATCTTCAAATTTCAATTGTGCATTATGTCGAATCTGTGAGTCTGTGACAGATGATAAACTATTAAGAGGCAGTTATCATTTCATTGATATGCATTGCAAAAAAAATTGATAATGATAATGATAATCAGATTTCAGAGGAATAGACGATTGATTCATTAAATTTTTCTTTGTTTGATTTGTTTTATTTCACAGCCACAACAGATTGGGGGATGTCAGAAAAACAGGTCAGTATATAATTCTTCCCACAATAGTACCTCCCATTCATATATGTTTCCCCCAATCTTCTTTGACTTGACAATGTTTTGTGTCTACTGATAACCATCAACATCACTTTTTATTGTAGCTGGAGATTTTGCTGTACTGCCTTGTGTTTTGCTGTTTATTTCTGACCTTTGTAACACTGACGTTGACCCGAATTCTGTGCTACATAAACAAAAGGGCAGTTAAAGCAGCGAGAGCTCAGAGAAATCTAAAGCCGGTCAGTTCTGTAGATGTTGGTCATCATAATGGTGCTTGTCACCAAGAAGTGGAGGATTCTAAATTTTAATTTCCCTTCTGTACAATGTTGAAGTTAATTCATGTGGTGCTCACATAGGGAAACTTTTAGTCATTGTTAATAGTAGGCGACAATATTTTCGAAATGAATAAACAATACTTAGTATTTATAAATGTTATAAATAAATACTGATAGATTATATCCCTTCATGTTCTAAGCATTAATTTCTGCAGTAAACAGATAACATTGGAGATATTCTGTGCAGTACGATATATTAAGGTGGAATGCCACACCAACTTTTTATTTTATAGATCTTTGAGTCATCCTTTTTAAACAATGGCAATCAGCATTGAAAGGCCAATATTAGCTCTTGATTATTTTATATGAATTTTTTTGTATTTTTTCGAAGAAAATGAAAAAAAATTATTTACATCCAAATAAGTTGTTTTTGAGTTAAAAGTTTGCTGTAAATGAATGCATCATATGAATATCTAATATAATATGTAAAGAAAGGCTGGTTAGACTTTTTAATTTTTTTTATAAAAAAATTATTTATGAAAATAAAAGACATTATTTGTGAATATTTTTTAAACCTATGGTTAAAAACACCATAAAACTAGTCACAACCGAGGAAAACATGTTTGTCAATCATATTTTAAAAAGAAATTGAAACGAAATTGAGAAATTTTAGAGAAATTAATTTTTTCAATATTTGGACCTAACCCGATCAAAATTAAATTGATCCCGATCAAAATTAATACAAAATGAATTAAATACTAATTTATTGCCTCTTCATGTATTTACAATGAAGAAATCTATTTTATTGTCAAGTTAATAATGTTTTAACCCTTATTACACCCAATCAGACTAGTGTTCTTGGGGAAATATTTTTTCCAATAATTGTACAATTATGGTTGGGATCGGTTTAATTTTAATCGGGATTGGCCAAAATTTAAAAAAATTAATTTCTCTAAAATTTAGCTATTTCGTTTCAATTTCTTTTATAAACATGATTAACGAACATGTTCTCCCCAGTTATGACTGGTTTTAAGAAGATTTTAACCACAAGTTTAAAAAATATTCACAAAGTATGTGTTTTATTTTCATAAATATTTTTTTATTTAAAAAAAGATTAATATCTATAGGGCTTTTCTTTACATACTTTATTAGGTATTCATGTGATGCATTCATTAACAGCAAAATTTTTACAAGAAAGCATCTAATTTTGATGTAAATAATTTTTTCCATTTTCTTTGAAAAAATACAAAAAAATTCATATAAAATAATTAAGAGCTAATGTCAGCCTTTCAATGCTGAAACCATTGTTTAAAAAGGTTGACTCAGAGATCTATAAAATAAAAAGTTGGTGTGGCATTCCTCCTTAATCATTATTGTTTTTTAGGTCAATATTGTATTTTGAAGATGGTTAAATCCAATTCCAAATTTTATTTTGGAATGTAGGGGGAAGTTAGTTTCATTAACAGTGAGTGGTAGCCTTTCAATGAACATTTTATGGTAAATTAAAGGTAAAAATTTACAATTACATGCAAAAGTGTGGGAAGGGGGGCATCCCCCCTTACCCCCCAACCCACCCCATCTTAGATTGTACAATTTTGGATCTCAGCCAATCAATGATCGAGATATGAATTCTTGAATGGTACAAAAAAATCAATTTGCCCCCCCCCCCCTCCTAAACATTACATCTTCTCTGTTCAAAGATTTGTAATCAGACTGACGATTTCCTGTCTCTTGGCTTTGTGTTTATGAAACAAATAAACACTTTAGTTTAATTCTCAGATATATCTATGAAGTACATAGGGCACTGAACAAAGGTACTGTGATATCTTAAACATGACAGATCTGATAAAATAACTGTCATATTTGACTAATAGGATACAGAGTACCCGAGAATGCAGGTTCTACTGACATTTCCTGGATGTGACAGTCATTAATGCTTATGATATGTATCAAACCAAAAACACGGATAAATTTCTTTTAATTTTTTTAGCACAATTTATCATAGATTCCTTCTTTTGCCTAAAATGAAAGAGTTTGGTGAATTTGTTAATACTCGTAGTGATTCCTTCATACTGCTCTGAATACCGCTAATACTGTCTTCATTTAGTCTGCATATAATGTCTTCATAGCTGTTAATCTCACCATTCGTAAAAGGATTCACAATCTTGTTATCAAAGAACACTCTTTTTGGGATGACTGTACCAGTTTCTAAACAGATTTCATTGTGATGGAAATCAAACTGTCCATAAAATTTAAAGTAGCCATAGAGTAAATCTTCTGGTGACACCCCAACATCACATTCCCATTTTCTGGACCCCAATGAAGGTTCTGAAATGTTAAAAGGGAAAAAAAACACTAGACATATCAAAGAAGGGAGTCAATTAATTTTGAGTATTCATCCATCAATCAATAATAATTCTACAAGAGCTCAAATCAAGAATTAATGTTCATAGTTCTTACATATTCCCATCAAGAATCAAAGTACTGATAGATTTTATCAAATGAAGGCTCTTGCCATTCAGATACATGCCACATACAATAGAGAAATAATTACCAGGTTCAATCTTGAGACTTCCTACTGGTGGAATGACCTGGCACTGTTGTAAATAGAACAGAGCTAGGGCCGTGAAGACAAACTTCTGAGGGAACCAGTTCACATAGTGTGTCGCCCATTGCTTGACTGTCAGTATGAATGGTACTACACTCGGTGAAAATACACTAATGGCATTCAGATATATGGATGCATTTATTCCAGTATTGTTCCTGAAAGATAAAATGAAATACTCTTTGCAGCAAAATATGATAAATATACATTTTTCATTTGAACCACATTTGATTTGAGTACATGTATATCTTTGACATGGTAGGCAAAGACAGTTGTTAACAATTCAATGACAGGCTACATGCTGGGTGTAGAGTGGGGCAAATTAAATTTTAGCGGAGTTGCTAAATGTGTGAATTGAGTCTGAGATATTTTTGAGAAATGTTAACCTAGGAAATGAGCTGCAAGACAGGACAATAATGTTTCACAAACACATCTTTATTACATTAGTAACTTACCCATAAGAAATATCACCGTGAACTCCTGTTACAGGATGATGGAATTTGATAATTGGAATTCGAGCATTTAATATAGGATTGATATTCTTATATGAGTGAAGTCTCTTTAATGCTGTATGTATTTTCATCAGAAGTTTGATTCCTTCATCTTTTTTATTATGGCCCTATAATACAAGGAATAAAATAAGTTCCAATTTTATCAACAACATGCACTGTACATACATGTGATATAAATGGATTAATTTACTAGATGACAGTATAAAATAAACTGACAAAATCTGATGTGGGGATATGTAATAATGTAACAGACACTTGGCTAGCAAATATGTACCCATAAATCATTCAGAAAACATAAGTCAAATCTAGTATCTGAAGAAAGTTTTACAATGCACTTTTGTTCAGCCTTATAGTTTTTTGGTAATGGACCTGGTCAGTTCCAGCAATTGAAGCAAACCTGACAGTGTGCATCCTTAGATGCATCATTCAAGAGAGTTTGGTCAATATAGGATTTATATATACATGTACTTGGAAACTTGACCTGCTCTAAAAACCTCAACCTGCTCAAAAAACATTACCGGAAATGTGTTCATTCTTTCACTGAAATTAGAGCATCTGAAAACTTGACTGGTACAATAAAACATACAATAAGCATAATCCATGTTTCTCTGATTAATGTTGGGCAAAGATGTACTTGAAAAGAAAACTGTCCCTAAAACTTTAACCTGAAATGTCAAAGCCAACATTGAACACAAGGTAGTACATGTTTTTACATTAGCCCCCCTCAAGCTTTCTGGCTCGACTGTTCTTGAGAAGACTTTCAGATAACCCAACCTTATATTTGCCTTTTCTTGATTATCTCCCTTAAGAAGAAGGGAGGGGTTGGATGGCCTATGTTTCAAAAAAATCTGAGTACCGGGGTAACCCTTTACCAAAAGATGCATTGTGCTAAGTTAAATTCAGTTGGCGCAATGGATCTGGAGGAGAAGATGAAAACGTGAAATGTTTACACGCCAACAATGATACCAAAGGTGATGGAAAATTAACAAATTTTGATCAAAAAAAGCTTACTAAATCCTTTAGCATGAGCTCATATAATGCGATATCCCTACCTCTTTCACTACAACCAGATCTAAATCACTGTTTTCTGTGGTGAATCCATTGACAACTGATCCAAAAGGTAACACTTGATGATCAGGATGAGTGAGGTCGACAATGTCTTGTATACACTGGGTGATAAAGAACCAGACTCGTTGTCTGTCAGTTATATTACCCCCTCTCTCTCCTAACACTCTCATCTGATCTCCAAGCTGAAAAATAGAAAGTCAAATGTAAGGTAAATTCCAGTGAATCACATGTTCTTAGAATGATACTCTTAGTCAATCATACCATTTCAAAGAGCTAGGTACTGTGTCCTTACGTTTTTATTTTTTAACTTTTCGTAGAGATTTGTTTGTGACAGCTCATTCACATTCTGACATTTTGGCTCCTGATTAGTGGCTTTCCTTAGTGTCTTCTTTGTAACCTTAAATACCCTTTTCTCAAGCTGCATCATATTAAAAGTGTTGGGCTGAAGAAAAAAAACAAAACTGCCTTTAAGGCAAGAGAGAGAGAAAGAGAGAGTTTTTTTTTTTTTATGAAGTGCAAACCAAAGGAAAAATGACAAAAAATTCAGATACATAGATTTTCTTAAATGATTTTTAGATGAAATGAATAGGATACAAATTACTCACATTTTTATTAACTTCAGAAATCATTTTTGTGACATCACTCGCATTTTCATAAGTAACTAAAACAGTCTACAAAAGAAAAGAATATTTATCCTGTTTTTAAATAAAATAATAATAAAATAGTGTATGGCAAAATACTCCGTACAAGTACCTATATTAGAAATAATGTTCAGCTTTCACACTTCAAATTTCATTGAAATTATTAAATTTCTAGGATGAGTTTGATTCTTTTCTTCACAAGTAAATGAAAAAATATGTATACTTGTATCAATGCAGTTTGCTTCAGGTCAATTTCTTTCATGGAAAAGCTCTTTAAGTCTTAAATTTTCTTTAGAAAATGACAAGTTTCATAAATCTGAATTCTTGATACTGACTTTACGGTTTACGATGACAGCCCTGGACACTGTACCCAGTCTCTCACACATTGCTATAAGATGGTAACACGTATCCGGATAACAGTGAATCAAAACAGAGCCCTGGGCCTCGGAGATAAATGTCTGAACTTCACTGGACCTGTAAACATTGGGAATAGACCAGATCTGTTTCACCTGGGGCCTGTTGGTCTGAAAATCTTTACCTACTGAGAGAAGACAAGAAACTTAGAGATCACATTGCTCGATGGGTAACTCCACTGTAATATAATTAAGTTAGTAAGTCCAATGCAGATCAGGGAGCCATAGAATAGTTTTATACTCTGTTTGTATAAAAAAAAACGTGTCAGAAAGATTGAAACAGGGGTGACATAAAAGAAAGTCTTTAAGGAAGTAAGTGAAATATAAATTCACTAAATAGCAACAGGAAGGTTGGTTAGTTTACTTTATATTTTACACCTAAAAGTCAATACATATCAAAATATAGACTAGCAAAATGGTAATCTGAAATTTAAACTAGATTGAACTTTCACAATGTATTCATATTAACTCCTAATTTTACTTACTATCTGTAGAAGCTTCATCAAAAGAAGATGACTGGACGTTCCTTCTGACCCACCTTCCCTGACCATCCAGGACCCAAACTTTCAATGTGTGCTACAAAGGAAGGAAAATAAAAAGCTTTCATTCAAGGCAATTGGAAAGTAAAATTCACAAGAGTTGTTTCCCTTATGAAAGTTGAAAACCATACTGAGTCCAGTACTGAGTATTACCTTACACTTACATAGAATGTGACCTGGCGTGAGGGCTTTTCCTGAGACACAGTTCAATTATTCTAACTGGCATACACTGTGGATTGATGCTGTATCATTGTCTAGTGTGTGATATACTCACTGTTTCTGTATTGGACAGGGAAGAATTTAGACTTTCTGTACCATATTCTTTAGTAGCTTCTAAACCATCTGTGATGCTCATTGACTCATCCATGTCATTTCTGCTTTGTTTAGAAGTTACTGGTAAAGAGATAAATTTATCTTTAGAAATTGAGCATTCATTGGGTAATTTATAATTGATGCAGTAGAATGTCTTAAACTGTCACCATCAAATAGGATGCTCAAAATAGTATAAACTTCATGTTATTGTATGTCACAGTATGAAATCATACCAGTCATATAAAAGATAAATACCTGTAGATTGAGTCTCATTTTTGTTGGCACTTTTCTTTTTCCTCTTTTTTGAGCTAGATTTTTCTGCAGTCTGAAAATAATCTCAATATGTAATTGTTTGAAAAAAATCAACAACAATAAAAAAAAAAATAAATAAAAAACAAAAAACCAACAAAGTAAAAAACAAAAACAATTGCACAACTGAGGACAACCTGTTTCACAGTATGAATAAGCATAATTTAAATATGTCTCATTTACTTGAGAGTCTTATCTTTTTTTTGTACCTTTTTAGAACTTGGTATTTTAATTTTAGAAGATGACTGGTCTCTAACTGTGAAAGCAATAGTCCTAAATGTCACTGTTGTGTTTCTATGAAACAAGTCCATACCATTTTCTACAATAGAAGTAGAACAAATTTTGAAAATCAAATATTTGCCTTTGATGGTGGTTACTTGCACAAAGGCATACTTACATAGGGTCCCGAACTGATGTGGTCTTTTTCCTTCTAGCAATCCTTAAAAATACAAGATGCCAAAGGGTCTTAATTGTCACCTGAGTATCTAATATGCAACGTATTGTACAGGATCCACCGAAGTATCAAACTGGAGGTACGGAGAGTGAGCTCAAAGAATAATACCCCTGGATACAAATGTCCAATTAAATTTTTTGAATTTGCCAAAAAGACCATGGTTGAAAAAAAACACCTCCTCTAGTAATAAGTATTTTATTAGCGAAATATGGACATCTAATGTTTCTCCATTTGCCCCACATGCTCTGACACTGATAGTATCTCTACCTCAGAAGGGAGACAATGTGATATTGTAAAATACATGGCATCCTATTAAGTGTATTAGCCCAAGTTAGTAAGTTTGATCAGCAGAGCACTGGTTTCCCTTGCCAGATATTCTGGGTTTAGATTCATTTGGAAGCACACACTTGTCTCTCTTTATATACACAATATAATTGTGATGTTTTTGGGTTTATCTTGGCAATATCTCTTGGAATTGGTCCCTAATAAGTGACTGGAAATTATTGAAAGTACCAGCTTTACAGGATATTGTGGATCCTGTGTTTTAAATTAAGAACTCTGGATCTTTCATCTTTATAATCTAATACCAAATTTTGATTCAATGAGCATATTAAATGTTTCCAGTCACAGTTTAAATATTGAGTACAAGCTATATCTTTGTTCATTATCTCTCTCCTTATATAACCTGTCTGGAACCTAACATCATAAGGTTCACCTCACTGTATGGGCATTAGACTTCAAAGTTATGGCACCTGTTATCAGTGTAAGGGAATTAGATTACATAGTGAGGGCACCTGTTAAGGCATTAGACTCTGTAATTTAAATTAATTAGAGCACCTGTTAGGGCATACTTAGTCTAACCTTCTAGGCAATAGGCTCCAAGTATTAGCATCACTACAGCATTGTTAGGTGTCAAGGCACCTAATACACTTAAGGCTTCTGTTAGGCTCCAAAATTAGGGCAATAACTGCATGTGCTCCAAGTTTATAGCACTAATCAAGCTCCATGTTAAGGGTCTTTCATACAACTATGGCGATCAGCCAGGTATTGATCGCTGGTGGCCAGAGAGCTCAGTCAGTAGAGCACCTGACTGAAGATTCAGGGAGCCCAGGTTCAAATCCCAGTCTGGTCTGCTGCATTTTTCTCCTCTCCCATTACATTTGGTGCTGTGTCATGCCCTGTAATTGACAGGTGAGAGGCCTGCCGGAGATGTAAGGGTGAAACGATTACACGTGTAAACGGCGACGTTTCGATTAAATGTTCTAAACGTTTACAAACTGAGTAAACGTTTACACGAAGGTTAATATCAATTCTATCAGAAAAAAACCTTTCATCCAAACAAGTTGTTTTATTTCATATTTACCAAAGAAAACACACTCTGTGTCTGTTACAAACATTTTTTTCTGTTATAATCGATACCCGAAACATAAAACAAAACTATCTAGAAACCAATATGGTCTAACATATTTAATTCCGATTTACAAGTAGTGAAAACTAGCGATGTATTATTTTAATTTTTCAAGTATATGTTCTAAAATAAATAACCACTGTTGTTGCTTTTTATTGATTAGGAAATAAAAAGTATCATGCTTATAACGGTATAATGATGAATATAAAGCTTTGAAAAATTGAACGTAAACCGAAAACCCTCAATGTTATCGTATTATATTTTTATATTACTATCGTATCATATTTGTATATTACTATCTCCTTTCAGTTTTTGACACTTCCTACTCTTTCGTCATAAAAACCAACAAATAAACAAAAATGACAACTCATACTTACATTAAAGAGAAAGAATGGTTTATTAAATTAGTGTTTCATGAGTAAGTAGCCATAAAAATTCAACACATAAAATTCTCACGTTTAAACGGTACCGTTTCGTTTACTGCTGTTCGTTTAAACGTTTACAAAATTCAGTAAACGTTTCACCCTTACGGGGATGAGCCTCGGTTGGGGTCTTTGAGGGACCAAAGACCTTTGAGGAGGGAGGAGTGGGATTTCTGGTGGCCAGATAGCTCAGTTGGTATGGGTAGAGCACCAGACAGGAGATTCAAGGGGCCCAGGTTCGAATCTCAGTTATGTTTGCTGCATTTTTCTCCTCTTTCGTTACACAACAAACTTGTTAATCCTAAATTCCTTTGAGTCTATCCCCTGCTTTTTATGTTTTGACATGTGCAGGGGATATCCTACACATGCCACAATATAAAAAGCAGGGCCTGGGGATAGAGTCAGAGGAATTATCTTGGATTACAAACTTGTTAGAGCCATAACATATATTACATAATCTTTTTAGAAGTCTGAACTCTATAAGTTTTATAATTTTTTAAGTTTGACATTAATTAAATACTAACGTCTAAATAAGTCGAAATTCGAAAATACAAAGTGAGAAAATAGAATCTTGATCTTTTGAGGCAATCAAATTGATTATCCTTAACATTGTGTAACTCGAATTTCCTCTATGGTTAAAGGCATAATTTTTTCAATATTTGACAGGGTGTCAATTTGTTTCACTGAAGAATTAGGTATTTTAACGTACTTTTATTGGCCTTTGGTAAACTTTGAATAAAACCTCTCAGGACATGCGGTAAAAGCCATGTCGTTTGACGAACTTTTCCAATGAGGGCCGCCATGTTGCAAATTAATCTAGAATCCAAAAGCCTTTCATAACTTAAAATTCTTAGGTACATAGGCCCCCTATATACTTAGTTGAGGGGATAAATTTGAGGGTATAAGTTGATGTTTTATGAATTCGTCTTATTAGTAATCTGAAAATATGAAATCTGTTTTCAAGAAAAGAAATAAAAATCGTTTGCTTTAAGGATAAATTTGACTGAACATGGCCGCCTGATCATGGCATGAATTTTACTTTTTAAAATTTTACTATTTTAGCCTTAGTGAGGAGTGCAAGTTGCCCTACAATAATATTTAGTCAAGGAGTTTGTGAAAAGCTTCCCTTAATTAGAAATGTTTGTTATTTGCGATATCTGTCAGTGTGAAATTTCGTCAGGTAAGGGGAAACAAGATCCTTTGGTAGAAACTGAAAGTTGATTAGTATTCTAAGAAATCATGTGTAAAATGAGAGTCCAGACTTCTTATTGAGCTTATATTACTTTTTAACACATCATGTGTGATTTGCATTCACACCACAAACTTTTTTGAGAGTCCATTCGGACAAGTGACCAAGATATTTACTTGTCCGAACTTCAACTTCACTTGTCCGAAAATTTTTCAATGAATGTCTTGTTATGTCAACTTGAAAACAATTAAAAAATTAAATGTGCTTGATTTATAAGTGTTGTTATTGATAAATAAGACAAACACATATAAAACAAAATTTTATCTAGACTTCCTGTCCTGACAACAGCATAAATGTTCAAAATGTAATATCAATCAAATATATTACTTTTTAACACAGCGAAATTCAGGTTTATTACTGCTTCCATTGATAAACTTTACAATAGTTGTTTCTATGATTATTATTATTTGGTTAGAAAAATCAGTCAAGTACCCAGCAATATTCACTTGTCCGAAATTTTTTTTCATTGGTACCGGACAAGCGGACAAGCGTTAATGTCGAGCCCTGCACAATGCCAAATAAGTAGCAACAATTAGGAAGTAAATCATGTAAATCCTGTATAAAATCATGTAATATGTTGAAGCTGCGACCTTTAGGGTGAGCACAGATACTAATTCAGTTTAAATTCAAATCAGGCTTGTCAAACAGCACATGACATTTGGTGAGTGTAGACTCTGATGTCACGTGACAATGTATTTAATTGCATTACCAAACAAAAGCCTGGAAAGTGCCGACTTTATCGAACATTTTATTAACTATTTAGGAACGACTTTACTTTACCGGTCCCCAGAAAAACGCGCTAATATGTAGAATCGCCGAAGGCGACTTCAGTATATATATGAGATCGCGTGAGCGATTGAAAAAAATTTAAATACGAGGTTTTTTGGCCTTTTGACCCCAAAATTGAATTCTACGGTTAAAAGTTTAGTTTAAAACTTTGTTTTTAAACAAAGTTTTTAACCTCGTTCATTGAAAAAAATTAATAAATAGTTGTTTGTTCAAGGAAAAAATTGACAAAGAATAATTCTGAACGAAGCGCATGCTTAGTGTCATTTCTTTCGGACTTAGCCAATCTTCCATGTAAACAAACGAAGGAAATGCCTATGAATCTGAATTATGATCTTGGAAAAATTACAGAAACAACTGAATTTCTTAACTTAACTAAAAGAACGATTCACTAACCCTAATCCATCGTATGGTATGCAAGGACTAAGACGTTCAGACGAAATCTCCCGGGCGGATGCTAAAATAACCCTAATCAGTCGAATAATGTGCGAGGACTAACCCTAATCTCTCGGATGGACGCGAGGCTAACCCTAATCAGTCGAATATTAGTGCAAGGACTAACCCTAATCTCTCAGGTGGGTGCAAGACTAACCCTAATCAGTCGAATAGTGTGCAAATTTTTTGAGTTGAGTGACGTAGTTGTTACGTCATAGTCCAATGAGCGCGAGGATCTTGCGGACCTGGGGACCGGTAAAGTAAAGTCTACCCACTATTTATCTGCAATATTTCCATGAAATCAAGGAGATTTTATTTTTCATTGAACTTTTGTTGTTATTCTTGCTAGAACATAACTTAAACAATCCATGCAGGATACTGCGGAAAAAAAAATGTTTGAATGGATGTGCAAATCTGAATTTTATCTTTCACCCAGGTGTTGTCATTAGAGCTCACTATTAAGTATATATTCCGTAGGTCCGTGGTAAATACACTAAACATAATTAATTCACAACTTTATGATGAAAAAACTGATTTAATACCATCAGCAGTTCAACACTCAATTTAATTACTTCTCCTGAAGCTAGGATAAGCCTTACTGTGAGACCATAATAAAGGTTCAAAGATTTAGACAGGGATAAAAAATTTAATTTTCTTTACAACAGCAGGGCCACAGTTTATTTTTATAATAAATGTGTACATGAAAAATCTAAAAATGCTCTCTAAGTACATAAAGGCTTAGATTGTTTTAGAGAATATTTTTTGTAATGGGCCTCTTATTTTTCACAGCTGACCTGTATGACTACCACATCAATGGTAAGCGACATCAGGTTCAGCTCCGACGATACCAGACCCGCAGAGATGAAGCCCTGAGAAGTGTGTATGTCAGGGGATTCCCACCCGCTACACAGGAACATGAGCTGCTCGCTTATTTCTCCATGTTCGGACCAGTGGGAAAAATTATCTATGATGAGAAAAAATCCGCAAAGACGGTATTTACAAAATAATTGCTCTTCAAATTGACTAATAACTGCATAACAGCATTCTTTTATTACAAGAACTTATTTTTTAGCTGTGATGTTAGATAATGCTTATAGAATTGTACTAGTTGAATTCATATTATGATCTTTGAGTGCACTAGTCTGAAATCTGATAATAATGCAAAACTAGCCAGGTTTTCTCTTTTTAAAGGATGATTATATTTGCTTTATTGATACTTATTTCATATATTTATTATTAGTGATGGAACGATTGTCGGCGACAATCAATTGTCGGTCGTTAGAAGCTCTTCGATGCTACTAATCGATTATAAAATAATTGTCACCGACATCGCTAACAAAAATTAAAATTGTCAAACTTTAATTTTATTACCAAATCCAAGTGCAAAGAGCATAAAATTAGTGATGAATGTTGAAAACATGAAAGGATCCCGTGCCTTGTTGATACTTTTACCGCCATGATTAAATATGGGGTTAGACTAATACCAGGAAACGGTAATATTGCAAGTAAAGGAAAACATAATTAGTCTAGTCAATCTTTAAACGTAATTATAATCATAAATACAAGTCTAACATGAGGATAATTACTTTTAACACTTGCAATTTTAACTAATCAAAACTAATTTTAAGAAATAAATACGTACATGTATTAAATGAAAGGTGGGACTAATATCAGTAAAATACCCATTGCATGGACTTTATAAAAAAAATAAATTCCCATTCTGTTTCAATAGTCCTATATTGTTTAAAGTAGACAAAATACTATTTTCCACTTTTTAAAAAAGAAATTTCAATTAAAATTTTTGAATATTTTATGTAAGTAAATGTTTTTTTATGTAAAAGTCTGACAGAAATCTGAATAAGTTTTAACTTTTCTATATTAATTTTATTGAAGTTCAAAATTTCGATTATAATCGATTATTAATCGATTATGCCCAGCCGATTATTACCGATAATCGATTATGATTTTTTTCCGATTCCCCATCACTATTTATTATAGGGATAAATCCATATAAAAAATGTTTATAAACAGATACATGCATTTTGATTATTTCTTTTAGTTTTAGACATGTAAAGATTATGAAAATTTAAAATACATTTATGTTGTTTATTTATTGTTTCATGTTAGAAAGTACCAGCCTTTGCAATTGTGGAATTTGTGTCACCTGATACAGTTAAAACCGTTACAAGTTACGGACAACACGTCTTAAACAGCCAACACGTAGAAATCCGACCCCGAACATTTAAGGAGCTGCGAACAGAACCTTATTTCCCATGGCAGCGCCAAGAGAATAACAAGGACATGCCATGGAATAGGTACCAAAACAATTTTGAAAAGTTAGCAGCCAAGAATATACAGGTGGGTCCATATGAGAGCTACAATACCTACCAGCCCAAAGGGAAAAAAGCCAAAGGTCCCAAGCCAACCAAGCAGGGTAGAGCCAAGGATTCTGAGGGTCAGGAGATAATCCCCATACAGCTGGAGGAGTTCAGGAATTACTTAACAGAACATCAGTGTGTGGGGGTAGGTACACCTGGGGGTTAGTAAACGAACATTCAAAAAATCACAATATAATCTTAGTAATTAAAGCTGTTCATGATCAAATTTGTCAAGTCGTAATGGGCATGATCAGATTTGTTCTGTTGTTATATATCTCCTCTATTTTAGTGTTAAAGTAAAATGATTAAACACTTACAACAAAGTATTTTAAATGTAAGTTTAGCATATTATACTAGATGAATTTCCTTTCGTTTGGATATCCACTCTTGCTTGAACCTTCTTTGGGTGTTGACTTAGTGAAAACTTCTTTGGCATATTGGTGTTTGAAAAGACTGAAAAATTGAACATTCAAGGGAAAAAAACTTTGTCTGTTTTTATATTCCAAAATAAAGTACCATACAGTTAACATCCAATGATCTCAAGCAATCTTTCCTGTCAATATCTGATCATCCAACCATCCACTTGATCTTCCAAGGGTGTGACTTATATTCAGGGCACATTAAAAAAAGATGTGCAAAACACATAAAAAAAATTTAAATGAAAAAAAGGGGGATCTGGTGAAACATTTAAGTTACCACCCCACAGTCTGACTCAGGAGGATCAAGTGCCATGTCCAGTGTTTTATATGTCCTGTTACTCTCTATTAGATTCAGACTCAGATGATGCTGTTAGTCGAACTAACACAGGTTACGGCTCTAGAGTTCCAGTACCGCTATACAATATGTAAAACTCTCGAGGACGCTCTAACACCATTCTTCCCAGGTTTGTTCAACTTGATCAAAGGAGACAAATTTACTTTTCAGCGCATTTGTATAAACATGTATTTACATTGTATGTGGTGCGAATATCGTTCAGGTTTGTTTGTAGTGTCATTGACTAAAAATATTGTTTTCTTTTTAATCTCATTCTGTAGTGCAAAAATAATTTTAAACAAAAATGTTGTTTAAAAAAAAATTAATGAATCTTGCAAATAAATGTATAAATTTAATACAAGTTCATGCAAACAAATGTGGATAGAGGATGTATGATGAAAAAATAAGACAAGAAAGCTACATGAAATTTATTGCTCATTTATATTTCTTTAAAAGAAAAGGATCTTAAATTTTGGAAATAAAATATAACCTGTGTATTAAATGTAGGGATGACAGTAAATCAGTTTGGGTCATCTGTGAATGGATTTGGAATCAAAGGCTGTGACATGGACATCTTTATTGACCTGAGTAAACTCGGAATTCCTTGTAGAACGGGGGTGAGTATGGGAAGAGTGGAACTACTCTAGAGACGCAAATTTTCCTGGGGATCAAATTTGGTTGATATATAATCTAAAACAGTTTCATGGGCAGTAAATTTCATCCATTTGAAGATAACAATATTCAATATATAGTCATTTAAAATTTCGTGTTGGATTTAATTTTGTTGAAAATTGTAAACAACGAAATAAACCAAATTTAATCCCAAATGAATTTTTCTGCTTTTGCAGTATATTAAAATTGACCAGTAAACATTTATTTTGTAATTTTAAGTGGAATTTAATTGTTTATGCTAAAAAAAAAGGAGTGTGTGAGTTATGGTAATTGCTAAAGAAATGATGAAAAGAAGTATTTTTCACTATTTTGATAACATTTAAATACATGTATATAGTCACACCTTGTTATCTCGAATTTGATGAGAACAGGAAAATACTTTGATATATCCAAGGATTTGAGATATCCACGGTAAGATACTTAAGAAATAAGCAGTTAGGACTTCATTGAGGTTCTTTAAATCATTTTTTATTCATGAGAACTTTCTATTTGCACAATTACGCAAGAGAATGTGCAACAGTGTTTGGGAGGAATGAAACATGAGTAGTAATATGGTGATCATGTATATAAATACACAATAATTAACTTTATAGCAATACACTGACAAGTGTTTCCTTTCAGAATGTGACCTTGCCCTTTGTGAAGGATCTGTACACCCTGAAGAAGAAAGCTAAAGCCCCTCTGACCCAGGTCGATGTGGACGGAATGAGGAACCTGGACAAGTTGAAGCTGATCCAGCGGATTCTGACTGAGCATGCTCCTACCTGTATGGAGTCCCAGATTATACCAAGTCAGCGATGTCCCATCTTACGCTTCACCGATTACAACTCCCAAATCAAGTGTGATCTCTCCATTAACAACAAGTACAATATATTTGAAATAAATTTTTATATGCCTTTGATATTTAAACAGTAATATTTAGCTACCTTTAAAGGAGGACGTCAACATGCTGTCAGAAAGGTTCTGTGTAAAAATTGGTTAATATAATCAGTGGATGCGTATCCAATAGATATATCAACCATGTCCTGTCTCTAAAATATAGCAACATTTTTTTGGTTCACTCACACAGATTGGCCCTACAAAACACCAGGTTACTCCAGACCTTCAGTTTGTTTGATGCAAGGATCAAGCCCCTGGTCTACACCATCAGGTATTGGGCCAAGGTCAAGGACGTTGCTGGGAATCCCAAGGCCTCTAACAGACTGTCCTCGTATGCCCTGACCATGCTGGTCATTTACTACCTGATGAATACAACGCCCCCTGTGTTACCCCCAGTGGAGGAACTTGCCCGAATGTGTGGTAGGTATAATCTTACCACTGGGTACTGTAAAGTCATGTGCAAAATGTGTACTCGTATAAAAAGATGCAGGCATAGGGTTTTTGGATGATGTTCCGAAAGAAAAAACCCACCGATCATATGGATAAAATGCATCTGAAAAGGCTATTAAGAATGAAAGTGATTTTTTTAAGAATTTATAATCCTCAAGTGTAAATTATGACAAGTAAAAAAAAAAAAATTATTAAAAAGAAATGTCAGCAATATATATTATGAAATTCATTACAAATATATAAAAACCACAAAAAAAATTAAAGGACAATGAAGGTGAATTAAGATAATATAAATGAGTAATTATAATTGTGTGATATATTTTTCAGGTAGAGAAAGAACTATTATTGACCAATGGGATTGCTCCTTTGTGTCATCTCAGTTTATGCCCCCTACTACCAACATACAAACCATAGGTAAAAGATATTTCTGTATACAAAGTAGGTTACTCTCAGTGCCAGATACATGTACATCTGTATTTTCAGTTTTAGAATTTCATGAAAGCTCTGTGTCCATTATGAACCCTGAAACCTTATTCATTTTCAGAGGAGTTGTTACACGGTTTCTTTCAATACTTTGGTAATTTTGATTTCCTGTCAACCCCCATGTCTGTGAGGACGGGAAAACCCATGACCTTGGCCCGGGCAGTTCTGGAAAAGACCCTCAAGGTAAATAACTGCTTTAACCACTAGAGAGGGAATTAATATCTTGCAGTTTGATTTGAGTCACAGTTACTTAGATATTAATACAAATGTTTTGTTACCTTTCAGTTTTACTCTTTACAAAAAAATTCAAGTACTGTAGATTCCTAATTATACATGAGGAATTAATTATTGAGTAATATCCCGAGATGCATAACTTGCTAAATAAAATTAACTTGTTTTTATATTGTACAAACATTACTTTTACATGTAAATGTTGATATCAGAGAGTTCATATGAAAGTAATAGTTTTTTTAATTTCAAAATATTTCATCCCTGATTTAAAGGATAAATGGGTAAATTTACCCCATTTCACAAGATCATTTACTTCTTTGTAGGTTGGATCCATGATTCTTCAGGATCCATTCGTCCTAGACCACAACATTACACAGAATGTCAATTCAAACATGGTCATCAAAATCATCAAAGAAATGAAGCTTGCCGAGGCTAAAGCACAGCGCTGGTTTGATGTGGCTTGTGCAGAGACAAAAAGCATTATGGACATACTAGATAACGAAATACCCCAGGGGTTTGATATGAAGAAAATAAAACTTAAGAATCCTATGTCGGAGGAGCTTGGTACTTACCAGATGCTCATCAGAATGAACATGGACAAGCTTTCCCGCGCGGATGTCCAGGCCCTGGAGGCCGGGGGAAACATGCAACTCAGCTGGTGTAAAAAGATGATGGTGTTCTTATACCGCCTGATAGAGAGAAGTCTCATGTTTGACTGCGATTTGGCAGACGTTAAACTCCCGGTCAACCTGAAGTCTTCTAGAAACTACACCATCTACAGATGTGTGAACAAACCATTCCGCCCAACAGCTATGGGTGAGGAGGGACAGGAGTCTCAAGAGTATATGGAGGGTCAGCAGGGAGATGGGGAGGGTCAAATGACAGAGGAAACCAGTCAGGCAGCTGGAGGAAGCTTGTCAGAGGGTCAGGATAAACCAAGCACATCGGGGGGTCAGGATAAACCAGGTACATCGCAGGGTCAGGAGAAACCAAGTACATCAGAGAAGTATCATCAGTCTACTGAGTATGATGAAATGGGAGACTATGATGAAGACTACAATGATAATCTAGGCTGGGCACCTGCAGGGAAAGGTCCCACATCTTCCAGCACTGTTGATGGAACAGAATTAGTGGCAGTGAGGGATCCCCTCCAAGAGGATGAGGAGGACGAAGAAGATCGGAGGAAGCAGGAGGAAGAGGAAAGGCTGGCAGAGGAGGAAGACAGGAAGAACGATCCTTCATACATCCAGTACGATTTCCAGGACTCCGAGTACTACATCGACATGGATGTTAAGGTCATGTGCAGGATTTGGGTGGAGAGAAAGAATGTGATGAAGGAGCTGAAGGATAGAGGATTTAGAGAGAATCTGCAGTTAGAACAGACTGTTTCTGAGAGGCTGTTCTATGAAATCCACGGTCCCATGAAGTGGCCTGTCACACAGTTCCGCTGTGTGCTGCGATCCATTGTGACGGACAACGGAGCCTCAGTGTTACTGGACTGTATGGCTGATCCCCGACAGAAGGAGTACGATTGTATTTTCCACTACATGAAAAAGTTCATAATCAAGAGTGTTGATAAGTACTTTTATGCATAGACTGGCAGAAAAAAGGAACATGATATAAACAGTGTTTTTTGTTGTTCCATTTTTTTGTTGTTGTGGTGTTTACAGTTGTAAAATGTTTCTAACAATGTGTTTGGTTATGATTGCATTGCTTTTATAATTGAGATCAACAATTGTATAAAGTACATATACTGAGAAAAAAAAATATTGTTTTTGATATATGGATGTTAGATGATTCTAGATTCAAAATTCTGTTTTGATTTTCTCTACATGTAGTAGTATTTCTAAATGTAGATATATTCACTGAATATTTAATAGTACATATAGTACCGGTACATTAATACATTTGCTTTGTTTTTCTATAGACTAGTTACACAGCATAACAATTCATGGTAGCACAGGTATTCAAGTTGAACTGTGTGAGAGAACTGGATTTTAGTGTGAAGAAACAGTTTAAAACCAGTGCATGTACATCATATGTCCAGTGCTGCAAATTGTTCAAGGAAAACTTTATTTAAAGTACATGTACATATACATGTATTGATTTCATTAAAATTTTGCCTGAAATTGCACTTGACTTAGTTAATTGATAAAAATTTAAAATTGATGGTGTTGTTTTTTGAATGATTTGGTTTGAACATACTGTAACTTTAGTTCCTTATTTTGAATTTTTTTTTTACCCATATGGTTTTGTTTGATGTTTAGCCAAGGTTGTTCCAGCGAGTTTAAGGACACAGGCAGAAAATATCCAAGATTTTGTGTCCAGTCTCAGAACTTTTCTATGAAAAAATGCTGGGAATTCATATTTCAGACAAAGAATGCTTATAAATTACCTGTGTCTTGACCTTGACTGAATTCAATTCATTAGATCAAGTTCTAAGTCACCTTGAGAAAAAATGTATAACTCCTTTCCTGACCAAGTATAACTTCATTCTATCAGGCTTAATAGCCACTATGAAAGGAAAAAAAGTATAATTTGTGTCTGGTCTATAATTTTCATATGAAGAAATGTTGCAAGTTCATAAATCTTGCAAAGACTGCTTGTTACTTGAAGGTAATTTTTTATGACCTTGATCCAAAGTCATTCAACTGTAGAAGTTCGGGCTTTATGGACCATGAATGTCGGCATGGAAAGTTCAATTGTTAGAGCATCTGAAGGGGCTCAGGTTCAATTCCTGGTCCAGCCATACATTTTTTTCATGTGCATTTCTCCTTTCGTACAACATTTGGTGGCCAGAGTGGTGGGGGGGGGGGTCTTGTTCAGGTTACAGTTAAATTAGTAATTCCTGGCAGGGCACTAGAATTTGTGTCTTCGAAGTCGAATCCTGTCTCAGGAGGGAGGAATTTAGAAGTTCAGGCTTTTACGGAGCATGGACATCAGTCTGGATAGCTCAGTAGTAAGAGCACCTGACAAGTAATGCAGGGGTCCTGGGTTCTATTCCTGGTCCAACCATACGTTTTCTTCATGCATTTCTCCTTTCCTAGTACAGAACCAAGTTCAAGTTTTTTTAAATTATATTTTAAAATATGTACGGTATTTATGTATATATAATATAATTCATCTTCTAACCATGTCATATAATGGAGAAAAGGAATGTCATACCTTACACAAGATATTGTTTATAGGTCACTGGAAGAAAAATTTCGTAATTCATGTGTGATACATATCTTTTTTTATTATGGAAAAACTTACTTTGTGTCAAGTTCTAGTCAAATTTTGTCATATATCACCTTGGTCATTGTTTATATAGAGAAAAAAAAACTGTATTTTCAGTTACAAATCTTTCTAATCAGAGACATACAAAAGATGTCTCTGATCTAATGAAGAAATATTTGAAGAATGTATTTGAAATAATTATTACTTATGATCCAGGGTTGTATGATAATCTTGATCCAAGGTCAATTTTGCAAGATCATGCAAGGTCATTGGTAGAAAAAGTGTAGAGGTGTATTGCTGTTTTTCTTATGAAGAAATATTGAAAATTTATGTTGATAATTCAAACAAAAGATTACTTATGATCTGAAATTAATGTATCATGCAGCAACCTTTTTCTGATTTTTTTTTTCAAAATATTTTAATAAAAAAAATCAGTGTTTTTATGACATCAAGAGTTACCTCGCTTTGTCAATAAACGGAAGTAAAGAAGTTGTAAACATGGCCGATGAATATTGGTGGGAGGACGGAGGATTTCTTATCAATTCTTGAAGGAATGCGAACCAGAAGAAATGTAAGAGTAAGTAAGTACTTAAAGAAAAACAAATCAATTATCCATATGAAATCATAACTGCAAATTGGTAAATATTGAAAATTGTAAGAACGCAGAAGCGATAAATGCATTGATTTATTTTTTTTTATGTTCATTTATAACATCTGGTCAGCTGATTGCTGAGTCCATTGGAAGAAGTAATAATTGCGAGGTTTCTCAAGAATGACCCCTTCAATGTTTTCAAAGCTCAATTTTTAAGACTAGTAAGTGTTGTGTCGCAGTAAAGAAAGACACGCTAAAAAATCGAGAATGTTCATCTTGATCGTGTTGATTGTGTCATGATAACTTGAGTAATATCTTTAAATTTTACTTTAGATATTTATAATCTTGTCACAGAATGCAAAAGTCTGTAAAAAGGGGACATCATAATTTGTTTGTAGCATACTGTCACTGTCAGTTCATTTTGAATTTATTTACCATTGAACTTTCAGAGATCCATTTCACATGTTTCAATATGAAATATAGGTCTTATTTGCATTTTCACTGTTGAAATTAGTAATGAGTGCTGAACTTTTTTCTCATGTAGCTCAACTAATGAGAGACAGTACACTGTGTCGTTAAGCAGTCTAAAGCTTATGAAAGGTTTCGTCAAAACCCAGTCCTCTATGATTAAATATAGAGCATCACTGCCTTGACAGATTAAGTTTTTATATATAATATATACAGAGAGATTAAAAAGTTTTTAATATATAAAGCAATTCGATACTTCTAAAAAGTGTTAATCTCAGCAATTTTTGACATGTGTAAAATACACACAATGTTTTCAATTTTCAAAATTCACCATCCTGAAACCAAACATTTTATCATTTTATTTTACTATCATTTGATATCTTGATTATGACAGTTAAGCATATTTAGTGGAAAATGGGTTTTGCTATAAAAATAATTAACATGATTAAAACTTCTAACGCTTAAATGATGGAAATGTAAATGTGAAATCTAGCATTTTCCAAAAAATTATATAACCCTATATGTAAAATGAAAAAAATGCAACAACATGTTCGTTTAAATCAAGGCTGATAATGCATATATAAAGTGGTTAAACATTCAGGAGATGGAGAGATATGTCGTTTTTACTACTAAAAACATGAGTGATTAATAAAATATTAAAACAATGAAATACAGAATTAAATGTGTTGATATATAAACAATATAATTTTGAAAAATATAACTTTAAGAATTGTCTTTTCCATAATGCCATTCTTTGCAATTATAATGTCATTTTGACTACATGCATGTGCATTTCCATAATATGCTTAAATTGAATTAATGCCAGTCATCATAGATGGTTATCAGCAATATAATGGTGCATTATAACAACTTGATCTAGCTATTATAAAGGTTAACATTAGGTAAACTTGAGTTCATTTATTGAGGAGGGATTTACTTTATTTGTACAGTTGCAATACATTGACTACTAAGTGAAAATCACCATATATTTCATGTATATACTAGATGGTCTTTCTAAGTTCAAGATGCATAATTTGTCTTATGGATGTTACTAAAAAATGGGTCAAATATTAATAAGATATTTTACTGTTGGTAGGAGGATGTAGGAAAAATTATATTCAGACCATCAAACCAATGAATTTGAATTTATGTAAAATGAATATATGAGGAAGCTGGGAGATTGAATTTCAGTTCATTGTTGTAAAATAAGAAAGATATCTTTAGGGGATTTTTTTGATATTAAAAGAAAGTTATTGCTGTAAGTTCGTTTACTATGTAGGAATTTACACGGATTTTAAAATCTGTACATATGCTATAGTGGATGCGAAAATTTAACCAATTGCCTATAAATACACTTTGTGGGACCCCTATTACATTTTGATTCTATCATATTACAAATATTGAAATATGTTGTTTCAACTTCCTTACTCCAATTAAACAGAATTACAGTGACAGCAGATTTCTGCTGGAGCAAAGTACATAAAGCCGTAGCATTCCTAATGATATCACATATTGGGTGTGTTGCTGTTCTAATCTTAGGTAGTTCCATTTATTAAGTAGAGGGAGTGGAGAAACAAACATATTTTTTTCTAGGCCTAATGATATCAAATATTGGGCGTGTTGCTGTTCTAACCTTAGATAGATCCATTTATTAAGTAGAGGGAGTGGAGATAGTAATACTTAATAATACTAGAAGACTCTTTTTACTTTTTCAAAAATTTATCAAACTTTGATAAATGAATTTGTTAATTGTTAAATAGCCATCATTACTGATATTGTGATCTGCATGTGTATGCATCTAGTTCGTATGTTAGTCTTCATGTATATGGACAAAGTTTCTAACTACTGATGGGAGAGGGACCTTATTTGTTAATTTGATGTATGAAATTACTTATTGAGATGCATTGGGCAATAGCCAATAGGTATGTAGGTAATTCTAACATATATACATTATTTTTTTTCCACTATGTATTACATGTAATTGTAATACTTTTGACACATAATGGTATTTTACGGGTGTGAAGGGACTAAAAACACCATCAATACAATGTTTTTGCTAATGTTACTTGTTCCATTATGAAAAAAAAGAATAATAAAACTATACAGGAAGTAACATTGTCAAATAAAAAAAAAATCACCCAAATTTCTCTACTTACATGTAACAAGGAATGAATTACACACTGACCAATAAGCCGATATTTAAGGTAATTTATATAGTTATTAAGTCAAGTAATGTATCACAATACTCTTCCAAAAAATAAATTTGAGGGGAGGAGGCAACAAATTTTACTAAAAAATTTTGCTTATTATAATTGTTTATTGATGTAAAGTGTTAATAAAAATGATATGGTGCATGCCATGCTCTATCTATGGGCAAGTGAGGTGGCAAAAAGGCATGAATTTGATGTCTTAAACCTTTAAAGTAATAGCATTCAAACTCATTTTTTTTTCTTTTTTTTCAGATGGGGAAGAGGTGAAGTAAAAGAAAGAATTGCAAAAGTGTTGCCATGGCAACCAAACGACCAAGTTTGAAGGATCGAATGATTGAGAAAATCCACTCTGGTACTGCAAGGTAACACTGACAGCAGACTGATTTATTTCATAATACATGACTGAATTAATTGATATTTATTACATGTAATGACTCTTTGTCATTTGGTATAGTGACTGCCTGATGCCTAGAAATCTATAGCTTCTTTTTATCCACAAGGAATATTGAAGCTTTAACGCTGGAAAAAATGACAAGAATAGAATTGAGACCTTCGACTTGTTTATTATTTCTATAAACAACTAGGTAACAAATTCAATTTAAATATGGACCTGGGGACTGGTTTGGCACTGTGCATGTTAGGTGAAAGACCTATGTGCCAGGATAAACATGGTCCTGACAGAGTTTATAAACTCAGGTAATATAAACATGATAATGTATAATGTTGATGTTCAACAACATCTTATTATTATAGCCTATTAGGCATATATGTGATAGAGCACAATGTAAACTGAATTGGTGTGGCAAAAATTTGGTATCATTAGTGTTATAATTATGTTTTGTTTTTTTTTTGGAAATAGTCCGTTATCCTTTTCCTCTCAATTATCTGTCAAGTGCCATTCATTTTCTTCTTGACATCTTGTACAGTATAATATAAGATGAAATACTTCACACTACATCCAGTTTAAATGTTTCCAATTCTGACACTAGGACTTACTGATATGTTATATGACCATAGGGTAAGCTGATATGTCATCAGGCCTCTTTTTTGTAAGGTTTAAGGTTTTTTCGGTAATCTTTATTATACATGTAGATTGTGTTTCAGATAAACTTCATGACTGTTTCCGGTAGTCAGTGCTTGGTCTGTTGTGTTGTGTAATTGGTTTACTCTGGTAATATTTATTCACGTTATACTGTTGGTCATGTGTATTAGTGGTATTTCAGTTTGTCAGTGGTTGCTTTATACTGTAGGTCTTTGAGTTTTAGTATTGGTAGACATCATATGTACTGCATGTTAATTTATGCTAAAATTGAGCCTTGGTCACTGTAAAACCATGTGTGCAAAGAGGCATAAAATTGAAACCACTAAAAAACACATAATATATGAATTTTTAAAGTGGTTAATGCAACAATTTGAAGGAAGTTTGTCACAAAGTCAAGGGAGCCAGAAACAATTATAGAGAATGGTCGTAGTCAGCAACAATTGCAGATCTGTAAGCTGATGATCATGCAAATTGTACACACCCTATAGAAAATATAGTTACTGTATTAAATTGTGTCATATGATATAACCGTTCTATGTACTATTAGTCAGTATAGCTTTGTGTCCATTATATCCTGTTTTTCTGACCTAAAGACAATTATAGAAATTTAACTCTGTAGATTATCCCTTTGAACATGTTGAAGGTCTTTATTCACATATTAATTTCATTTCCCATCAAATCTCATGAATATTTAAATTTTGAAACTCAACTTCATAATATTTCAAACATCATCTGGTTTTTGAACATCAAAAAATGTCTTTTGTTGACAACTTCTTCCATGGATGTCTGACTGTCTGAGCAAACTACTTTTTTGTTGGTGTGTACAGTAGCTTCATGCAGAAGAGAGTCTCGCTTAATGGAAATAAACCAATGATTAATGTATCCCCTTGCAAGAATATTCAGACTTCAGAGATTATTAGAAATTTTCAGGGCATCTTGTGATTGGTTTTTATCTAATCAATAATCTACAAATTTTTATGAAGTGGGATAATATGTGATACAAGATCTTTGAAAACAAATATACCATATATTCAGACTTCAGAGATTATTAGAAATTTTCAGGGCATCTTGTGATTGGTTTTTATCTAATCAATAATCTACAATTTTTTAATGAAGTGGGATAATATGTGATACAAGATCTTTGAAAACAAATATACCATATAAAGGATTATTGGTCAAATGACCTTGAATTTCATCTTGGCTTATTTTAAGGGAAAATTTTTATGCGCCCAAATCGATAGATCCAGGGCGTATATTGTTTTTGTCTTGTCTGTCTGTTCATCTGTTTGTCTGTCTGTCTGTTGTCAACTTTAAAATTCGCCATAATTTTTGAACCATAAGAGATAAAGACTTCATAATTGGTATGCATACTCCATTATTAAAGTCCTTTTAAATGACATCAAGGTAAATGACCTTGTGACCTTGACTGTGAACTTTATGCTAAAATAGCTTTTTCCACTGTTTGTCATAACTTTTGAACCGTAGAAGATAGGGACTTCATATTTGATATGCATACTCCTCTAATAAAATTCTTTCAAATGACATCAAGTTCAATGACCTTGTGACCTTGACTGTGACCTATATGCAAAAAATAGATTTTTCTACTTTTTGCCATAACTTTTGAACCATATGAAATAGGGACTTCATATTTGGTATGCATACTCCACTAATTAAGTTCTTTCAAACGACACCAAGGTCACCTTGTGACCTTGACTTTGACCTATATGCTAAATATAGCTTTTTCGAACTTTGTTGCCGCCGGGCACATAGTGTTTCACAAACACATCTTGTTTTTTACTACCCTTGTTACTTGTATATGTATATATTTCTAAATGCGAATTAGTGTCAATGCGTATTAGATGTACCGGTCACCTATAATCAACATATGTTACTTTTGATCATATTAAATTACACCTTTGGTTTTCCCCGGTAAGCTATAAGGCCCATGGAATAATGTGTCGGCTCAATAACTAATTCTCAGACAAATTGTAGGATTTTATCATCATATTGAGAAATTGAGCTCTCCAAATTCATTAGTGCTAAGCATAAAAGAGAGAAGATTTACGTACCGATATTGCTTAAATTTGTGATAAATGGTTGTTAATCTCTGAAATTTTCTACAAAATGGACTGTAAAAGATTGACGTGGCAAGTAAAGCGGCTGAAAATTTATCCAGAGATCAAATTTAAGTACAGTGCTCATTTTTGAGGAATTGTATTGATTGTTCCCCCATACTATGCCTATTATCTGTCGAGTTGAGCCTTCTCTCCAAAAACATGGAAGATGGATGTCTTCTCATAACTTGATTAACTCCTGGCCAATTCACTTCATTAGTCATATGTCAGTCAATCTAGCATGAAATCAAATGAAATTGAAACAGCTCTACAACATCTAGATTGCTGGAAACCCAAATCTGGACTAGGCTCTGATAGGGAGAGAATCAGATGTGGGTCTGTTTACTGTGTCCATTGATTCTTATGTTAACTGATGGTGCCATTGGATATTCTTTTGTGAAGATATGCCAGATGAAGTTCAAAGTTGATAAGTATACAGTTATACTTACTTGTAATACCCCCTTTCCAAGACAAGAAACAAGAGAAAGAGAAGTGAGAACCTTGAACCTTTTAGAAAACAAATGTTATTACACTTTTTCATTAATTTGAGGCAAGATTTGTCAGATATTGTAAATTATGCAAAAGTCAAGCACTTCTTAATACATGTTTCTGAAACATTTTTTTTAAAAGGGGAGATAAATGTTAAAACATTAAAGGGGAGATAATTCTTAATTTAAATAAAAAAGTGCCAATAACAGCATTTTCAAAAATTTTTCTTTTTCCAAGAATAAGTAGGACTGTAGTTCCCCACCCCACCAACCTCCTTTCCACATTTGAAGCACCTAGGTGAATTTCCCTAGCCTAACTCCTTTTGACCAATTTACTAAATTTCATTAGCAACATACTTCATATTTCATCTAATTATAAATAGTGGATCAAACTGAGTTGAAGAACCAAAGCCATAAGGAAGAATGAGAATATAGAATTTCATTAAGATGCTGAAATCAACATCTTATTGTCAAAGCTAGGCTTTTTTACAGTCATTTATACATTGTACTAGAAATTATAGCCATCGTTCATGATAGTGGCTGATTTGTTTTGGAGACTCTGATATTAAACCATACATAACATTGCATGCTGTAGTCTATTGACTTAGCTGATGATATATTTAATGGTCACAAGATGCATGTTATGCCTGAAAATTGCATAACAGATAATTTTCTTGACTGGGAAGTGTAGGGAATGGGAGAGTAATTACTGGTTTACTGCATGTGAAATGAAGTCATGTCTTCTCTTGAGGGTTATCACTATGATTATGATTGCAGTTTTATCAGGCTTTATATGCACATTGGTGATTAATGGCTGAAGTGTTAGACAAAACAATAATATCAAATACTCTTTTAGAGGGTAATGGAAAAGAAATCCTGAATACATCTTAATTGTTTCCAAGAAAAGTATTTTGATTTTTTAAAAACTAAAATACAGTGTACACTCACCTATACAAGTAAGATTGAGCTGAACTTTGGTCCAATACACAATGTCAAGCTTATATTAGGCAAGTCTTAGAAAATTTAGTATTTATTTCTGGAAGGGGAAACAAAAATAAGATCTTATATTAATAGAAATTGAAAATAAAAGAATATTAAATGACTGCCGTCACGAGAAAAGGGCCCTTAAGGTCAAATTTTCATAAATTGACTTTTTGGTAAATTTTGATAGCCGGACTCTTTCTAAATGCAAATATACATAAATTTTGAAAATATCTAATTTTTTTCGGTATTCTATGAGCATTTTAGTGAGGCGCTCAAAAAACAACTTTGACGTTACTGGCTGAAAACGTAATGACGTCGCCTGCGTCTTATTCAATTTTTTTTACTCAATTTTTTTGAGAATTAAAAACTTGAGAACGTATATCTTTTTTCTTCCAAGCGACTGGAATGTATCTATTCCTAAGGGATTTCGTATGTTATTACTATTTTCATGCTATTTTAGAGCAGATCTAGTAATTTCGTAAAGGGGGGGGGGGTCTACACAGAATCTAGGTACGGTTTATAACACAATTAGTCGGAAAATAATATTTGTTTTTAAATCCATACAAATTATTCTTTTGATATAAAATATAAAATAATTTGATTCAATTTATAAAATATATAAAGCATTTCTTACACTTAAACATTAAAAGAGAGAGAGAGAGAATCCCAGAAGGACACTGCGCGCAAAACGGGGCATCCCCTCAGAAAAAATGCACTTCGATCCCGATGGAAATAATTTTCTTATCAGTCGTCAAAATTCATCATTCACTCACCATCACATACAAAGGTAACTTTTTTTCCCTATAACTGTTATGATAGGATCAAAACACCATATACATGTATTTTCTTTATCACCGAAAAATGAGAAATAAAGCAGATACGCAAAAATGTTTATTCCGTTTATAAAAAATTATGACTGCATGAATTGAATTCATGTTCGCTACTTCCATGCAAGCGGATTTTTTACCTCTTTGAATATTTCGTTAAAAATGCTAGCTTCAATTGTTTCATCGTCGCAAACCACTGCCAAAATGTACGTTCCTCTCCCATTCTGTAGGAGAGAGCTATATGCGGACCGGACCGTGGCTGGAGACGATGCAATTGTTTATGAAAATCATTTTCTTCGTCTGTCTTATCAGATAGTTACGGTGTAAACATATAATAAAGAGGCAAATGGTGTCAAAGGGTTGTCTTTGAATGGTTTATGTACCGTACCTTAAATTGAAACTTTCTTTGAACTTATACCTAAAATTGAAATTGTATTTTAACTTCTTATTCTTTTTTAAAGTAAATCACGATTAAAATCTGTCACAAATATTTCTGCACATTCTACTTTTTATTTTTAATTTAGAGGCACCATTAATGGCATTATCCCCTGTTCCACTTGAACATAACATTTGTATATTTTTACGGCCAGGAAAGGTCATCTATTCACCTTCCTTTGTGACATTGGCTAATCTGACACCTAATAAAAGCTTTTCACATTTCGTTGCGACTGTAATAATGAATAACGTCCAACACACGTTAATGTATTTTGCATGATGTTATATTGTTATGTTGAGTTATGATCTATAACACTAATCCATTTTTTTCTTATTTATTAGTTCAATAAATACATGTACTACTTTCTCGATATATCGAAATAAAAAAAAAATATTTGACTCGATTTCGCCTGTTCCCTACAACTCAGTGACGTATAGCATCGTTTGAAAAGAGGGTGGAGGACAGCTAGAATAAAAATTCAATTTACCACAACCCCACAACCCCCCCCCCCCCAAAAAAGTGGGGTTTGTCCAAACTCGAATCCAATATCGCCTTTGGGGGGAGGGGTTTAGATCAGACTTTTTTGACCTATTGTGCACTTTAATTTGACTATGCTGCAAAAAAAAGTAGGGGGGACAGGACTTTCAATGCAGCCCCCTTCCCGATGCTACTTGCGTGCGACTGTAATATAGACAGTGTTTTTCTTTCAATGCAGAAGTATTTGAGTTTTTTTATGATTCCTTTCCTTAGAGTCATTTTAGGATTATGATATAAACTTCAGTATTTCGATTTCAACGGAAATTTAATAAATGTCGAGATATGCCGGGTATTTAGATTCATGTACATGTATCAGAGTTGAAGATTTTAACGTAAAACGAGACTTATTTACTTCATATCATGAATTCAGTAGTCAGTGAAATATATTTCACGCTCATTAGTTTTGCACGAATGTCATTTTTTTTCCCACAATGAACATCACAAGTGCTACAATTTATTTTTTCATCATTCTAAAATTAAGACTTCTTTGTTGTCTAAGGTTTGAAGTGAATTATGATTTTAAAAAATTTCATAACTTTTGGAAATTACACCTATAACCACTTGTCACTCATACTTTTTGCTCTATCAGAGATTTTAAAAAAGGTGTCGCCATATCTGACATTAGCCAGAAATTCGTACGTCTTTTCGCTAGCTGCAGAACTGAAGCTCCCCGAATAAAATATTTTGACAGAGAACTACAGTTCAAATAACTGTATATTTATTGCGCACAAAAAAGTGCGTTGTTTCTCTATTTATTTCTCCATGTTTTCAAATGCCATCTCAAAATATTTCGAACTGTGTGCTTCTTACATATTGATTCACTGTTTTCACAACAAAACATCCCTTATAATTGTTGTTAATAGCCCTCCTGGCCCTGATATTGAGATCATCGAAAATTTCGTTTATTTATACTGCCATTTTGGTTTGAGAGATATTCCGTCCACACATTTCGTGCAGATGTCAACTACGATAGCACTTTATAGAGGAGTGAGGTATTTTCTTTTAAATCTATCTTTTTCGCGATTGAGGTAAGAATTTGGAAGAATAAATCCAGAACTAAGCGCAACTTTTTGAACGCAATAAATGTACAGGTTTTACCATGGGTGGCACTGTAGCTCTCCGGTCTTCCGTTTTTTTCGGAAAGCTACACTTCTTCAGCTACCTTTTCGCTTAATCTATAGTTGGTTTTTTCTGGTTTATAAATTAATATCCTCATTCACAATATCACTGTCGATGTAATATTGTTAATTTCTTCAAAATTTGGTATAAAGTTTTTGGGAAAAGTCTACAATAGCTGTATTTAATTCCTAAACATATTGCAATTCAGTTTCGAGTGGGATTTCATTCATTCATTTCATCGAGACAAATTAAGAAAATTGAAACATGTATTTATAGGATCGTTTTAAATTAGTTTTCGAAACAAAATTTATTTTTAGCAAAATTTTCATGGCATCCCCATCCTCCGTATTTTTTCCATTTTTTTTTTCCGTAGCATATTCTCTTACTGTTGATTTAGTAAAGAATTATTTATTGCTGGTTTAGAAGGTTTAATTGTATCTCCCATGTTACCAGAACATATATCCAGTCAAAGAGGGGTTATGTTTTTTTTAGCTTGAACTTTAACCGGCTGTCTTTTTATTCGGAGATTTTTTAGGCTCGTCTACTTATCACTCCCACCCTTTTTACACACATTTTAAAATCGAGAGTTCATAGTGGGCTGGCTATTGGGGTACATCAGTATGATTTACTATGGATTAAAATTAAAATGGCTAAATACATTTTAAATTATGGTATATATTTTTCAGAAAAAAGAAGCGCTTATAAGAACGGTAATACTATAAGTGCATAGACCGCTCACTCACTCTTTCTCTATCTCTCTCTCTCTCTGAAAAAAGTACAATGACGTGTATGGAATATACCTTTTGACATTAAAACTTCCTAACATGAATTCAACTTTAAGCATTTGGAAATTTCTCAAAAACAAATTTGCAGCATCTTTAATTTAGTCATGAATACACTGTATACGCTGTTCCTAGCAAGGTGCATGTCCAATGTCACGTATCAATCAACATCAAGATAAATACATGTACTTAAACAGATTAATGAATAAATTCACGTATTATTAAATAGTAAAAATATCATACTATATACCTATTAAAAATGTCCGCATCAAATTTTAAATTTTTGTCACACTTTGAAATCTAATTTTATTTCTTGATCAAGAAGCGCAGTTGACAATTTTATTTTACTTCCGTGTTTACAATACCACAACTTTGACGTCGTTTTCTGAGCATTGTGACGTCAAAAGATAAGGGCCCTTTTCTCATGACGGCGGTCAAATACTTTAAAAACATATCACACAGGTAACTACAAATAGAATATTAATATGAAATATGCTAAATATTTTTAAAATAAAAGGGTAAATGGCAAATGCTTTAAAAAAATATTGGGAAAAAATTTGCAACTTTTATAAGCAAAATGTTTGTAGTTGTAAAACTTTTTTCTCTGCTAATCTAAATATCTTGATAAATGATTCTGTAATGGTGAACACTGGACAATAAGAAGCTTCATTAACTAGTGCTGTAGCACGGGAGAGTATTTTATTCCTTTTACAGATGTAATTCCACCATTGATCATGACTTACATTGCTTTTAGCGAGTGTGACCTTCCTGGCCTGGATACATTTACTCCTGTCATAAATCAATGTACTCACTCAACAGACGTTAATTTTAATCAATGAAATGTTTTATTTGATTGAGGAGTCCTTGCTGGGCTATCCATTGTCAGTGTGAGTGTTTTATGTTCCAGATTCCGGACTGGCAGTACAGAGGATCTGTCCACCGGCTCTGACTCAGGTGAGATAAGGACACGAAGAGTAAACAAAATATTTTGAAATCTTCACCCAAAATCAATAAAATCCCCTGTTCTTTATCATGTTTTTAGATTTATCTTTTGCACTTAGAGTGTTAGGCATTTTTCTTTGTTCATCAGTTCTATGTTTACTTAAAGGTCATTCCCCTTAACTGAGACAAAAACATTACTCTAAGGAGATTTAAGTGTCAAGTAAATGTTATTTCATTATTTTGAATAAAGAAAAATAAAAGAGAAAACTTTTTTTTTTAAAAATGCTTACATGAAAATTTACAGAAAGAAAAAACCCACACACTACCAAATGGTATACACATCCTCAGTCAGAGGCCAAGACAGGTGAAGGACAGGTTGAGAAGGTCAAGGCCACAATAGAGTCAGTCAGTAGCGATACTGTCAAGAATGGAAAGAAACCAAAGAAAGTGCAGCCTGAAGGCACAGTGGAATATAAGGTGACCTGATTATTTAAAGCATATGGAGAGTAGATTTAGAATTATGCTAATCATTAAGGAATATGTGTCTTGTTTGGTTTTATGATATGATCAAGCAAATGGCTTGCATAATAATTTGCATAAATGCTGAAGGTGTTTATGCATAAAATTATCAAACAAGTCAATTGTTTGATCATCATCGGAGAAAACCAAAACCAAAACAGTTATTCCTTATCTTATATTTCAATCTAGTAGAGCTACAGTCTTGTTAAAAACATGCATGTAGTTAAAAAAAAAAAAAGCAGAATATCCCATTTGAAAGCTGAATAGTTTTTGTTGTAGAATATTGTAAATTTAAGAATGGCTGTAAAAGGAACTTTTTATTGCAATAGGCAATGTATTTCATTGACCAATTGTGTATCCTAATACTTGTATTTGTTTAAAAAAATGCCATGAGTACTTTGAAATTAAAGTGCTAACAGTATTGATTTGTTTATATGGGACACTTTAATATTTTATAAAGCTGTGATGATTAAATGACTGCCATGTTGAGAATTTTGTTGTAGGTGTCAGAAAATGATACTCTGGTCTCCATCGCAGCACATTTTGATACGACCCCTACAGCGCTCCAGAAACTCAACAAGATGTTCACACGAAATGTGTTCGCTGGACAGGTAATGAACATTGTGGTCTCTAATAGTTAATAGATGAAAAAAAAAGGTTTCCCTTTTAAGGTCAAGATCTAGTAAATAACTTTAGACTAATTTTTTGGTGCTAGATCCATTATGACGTCATAATCAATTTCAACTTTCTTTTTCCCACACTTTACGGCTTTAGCAGAATTATGTAGAAAAAAGGGTATTTTCATGACATTCAATTTGAAATCGTATGAAAAGTAAACCGGATACCTATATTAAATTTGATATTGGTTTAAAGAAGAGGCAATGAACATACTAATTACCGTTTTCTGAGAGACTGTAGGCAATCTGGATACATTTCCTTTGTCGAATATGATAAAAACTCCCATATTCATGACTGGTTTTCTTAATTTTTCATTGTAAATGACAATTTAAAATACAGTTTTACATCTTGTTTACCTACAAATTATGCCCCGAAACACCTTATTTGACCAAGGTAAAGTTGTAAAGCATCAATAAAGGAATTTATTTCTCAAATTTGATAAATCTCTAGGCACCTTTCATTTACTAGATCTTGACCTTAACGTTGGTTTATTTCTATTTCGAAATATAATCTCTAATTTTAAAGAATTTGGTATTTTAACCATAGGGAAGGGGTTGGGGAAATTGTTAGTGTGGGACCATAATAGATCAAAGTATACTTATAAATGAGAACAATCTTTAAAATCCTTCCTAACATGAGAAGCAATGCCATGATTAATCACACTGATATACAAACTTTATCAGGTAGTTTCCATTCAAGTTTGTTTAGATCCAGGTCCTATAGAATAGGTTGAGAGTACTATATTGGAATGGAGTTTTACAAGGGAGTAAATGTAGGGGAAAATCTTCTCAAGAGTTGCTAAACTTCTCTCATTCATTGTATACAAGCTTTTAAGATAATAATTGTTTTTAAGTTCTGAGCTTTAGCTGGAGTTAAGATTGGACTGAAATCTTCTCTACGTTGACTGTACATGCATTGATTTCGAAGTATCCTATTAAATGTTGTGGATTCAGCTTAGAATAAAGCATAGCTCCCTAGCTTTTGGCTATAGGTTGGTGCACAATTTGAAGGCATTTTTCCTGAAATTAAAGAGAGAAATAAGCCTGATCTGTTTCATATAAAGGTAGACTTTCATTGATGCATTTTAAGTGATGAGGGCTTACTGTATATACTCGCCTATAAGTCAGTTTTTCGGGAGTTAAATTTTAGTCCAAAGTCTAAGTCTGACTTATAGGCAAATCATAAAAGAATGGTATTTTTCTGGACGGCCAAACGTAATATTCTATAAATATTTTCAACAGTTATCGGTGAACAAAGTCTGGATTTATCATATCATGTTTGTATTCGAAGATTAAACATTAATTACATGTATTTATATAGTATATGTATATGTATTTAATAATTTTATTTGTTAATCTTAAGAGGGCATTATCTATTTTGATCAATAATTTAAAGGTAAAAATATTAATTGAAACCAGGTTAAAATATCAGATCATTCATTTGAAATTGTCATCTGGTTCTGGCAAAAAGTTGTACCGACTTAAAATTATAAGCAGGTCAATGGCAAATTCCTTCAAAATATCCTAAAAAAATACAACCGACTTATAGGCGAGTATATACGGTACTTATGCTAGCAAACGCAAGAGTCAGCATACAAAAGCATTGTCATTTCTTCACAGGAAGAGTGTTATCTATAAATGCTTATAGAATATGCACACTTGATATTATATAATGAAGTGTGTTCATTGCAACATGAAGTGAGAAGAATTGACCCAGTTTTTAAATGGAATGTTTGTGTAAGAGTACCAATGTCTGATTAATGCAAATGGAAATAGCTTGATCAAGTAGTTATTTAGTCCGGCAATAACCATTTACTGGGGGTAATGTTTTCACATTCCACGATCAGTTTAAACAATTACCCACAATGTCTGGTGTGAAAGACTGTAGTTTCATGTGCAAGTTTCACTCCTTCACAGTTATTTAAAGAGTGATGTGATCTGATATTGGTGTTGATTAAAATGGTATTATGAATCCAAATAATGTTTTAAAAGAAGGTATATTTTAATATAGCATCATGCTTAAACATTGTTTTTTAAATTAAAGTAAAACAAATACACCATCCACACTGCAGGATGATGGGAGATTGATTTTTTTTCAGCAGGAAATTTTGTTTAAATAACAATTTTATTGAATAATTTAAAAACAATGATGTAATTAATGAAGACATTAATTTTTTGTTGTAATGAATATATGACTGACATTTCATTGATGAGGAAAATCAATAAAACAGATATCACTGATGAGTATATATCCATTGTTCAAAATGTTTTAATGGTCATTTTTGACTTCATTTGAAAAAATATTAGAAAATCTAGAATAAAAACAATGTCTATATTGCTGTGTGTGGATCAGCTATTACATTTCCTTGACTTTTGTAGACTCTGTATGTACCGGATGGTTCAGTGAGGTCGAAGGTGGAAGAAAGTATAGAGAAGTCACACACTCAAGTGGCAAGTCCTAAAAAAGACCTTCCTAACATGGTAAAATTATATACTGGTAACACAAAAACTGAAAAAAAACGAAGAGAGGATATCTTAAATCACAAAAAAGCAAAAGCAAAATGTGTATAGATAAAGGAAAAGTGATGTTTTTATGTAATATTTTATAGGCATCAGAACTTGGGATGGGAGGGGGGAGGGGCTTAGCCTCCTCACTTGGACTTACCTTTTTTTGTTGGTTTAGCCCCCCCCCCACCCCCTTCAATTTGCTTCTGATGCCTATGATATTTATTGTATATGATAACAATAGCACAATACTACCGAATAAATACCGTATACTAGTATATACCAAAAGTACAGATAAAAAACTGTAATGGGAAAATGTCTAATTCATCACAGTAGCCTAGACAGGAATATACCACATACCATATTCTACTAGCATCATTTGTTCTTCAGCAAATTTGGTTATATCAGTGATGACCATATCATGTGGAAATGCAATTTGGCACTTGAAAGCAGAGAAAAATGTTAATGAATATATATTACATTGTGACATCTTGAGCTGTATTTAATTTATAAACACACTGGAAACTCATATTATTTTATTGGCAGTGATAAGTAATAAAGTGAAGAAGGTACAGATACATGTATGTATGAATTTTGTTTAGGATCTACCCCTGATAAAGATGGCTGATAAACCTCCAGCCCGAGTACCTGGTCACGTGGAGCGAGTACCTACCCCTCTCTCCTCACCCACAGAGAAGGCAGAGTTTGAGATTCCACATAAACTGTCAGAGGAGGAGGCACGGGAACTCGATCAGGAATGTTACGAACGCTTCATCAAAGTCAGCGCCAAACATATTACAGATGGACAGGTTAGTAGGTCAACAGGTTAGTAGGTCAAAGACATCTTACATATCACAGGATATTTAAAATACTCTTGCACCAGGAAACAGAATTACTTGTGAAGCAATTGTCATTACTGGGTGAAATAATGTTTCTTATTATTGGACAGGTTTTACAAAATCGCATAAGTATGATTGATGTCTGTACATGAAACATTCCTAGTAAAGAAATATATTTTGCATATCGATGGTATAGACTATTACAAATTGGATCAGTTTAAATGTATTGCAGTAAGATACAGTTGTATGTTTTATCCTATCTCACTGGCAGTTTATAATGTACATAGCCAATCATCTAATTATTTGTGAACTTTAAAACAACATTCTTCTTGTTTACTGATCCATTAAAACTGCAAAGTGCAGGAAGCTATAAATTGTTCCAAGATTTGCATGAAAGTGAGAGATTGTAAATTGCTCTTTTTATAATGTTTATCATTATCTTGTAAATGTCAAAAAAATTGTTAGTGAAATTAGGCTCTGGGTAATAGAATAGGAGATTGGAATATTCTACTTTCTTGTAAAAATTGTTCAAAATACAGTAGTTGGACTGAAAATAACTTGCAGAGAAAACATTTCAAAATTTTGCTAATAAACTTTTGTCATGTCATTCTTATACTAAAACAAAAAAGTGTCTCCCAACTTATTCACTACTCAAGGGCATGCTGTGGGTACTATCCATTTTTAAACATAGGCAGATTACTCACGCATAAGTTAATGTTACAGTGATTTCAACCTCCTTTTAAGTCTGCATTTGGTATTAAATTCAATGGTCATTATAATGACTGCATTTGCAAATATTACCCATCTCTGAGTGGTATTTTGGCTGACGTGTTTCATACCAGTTGTTAGGCCTTTGTTTTTGTATTAAATTTGATTATGGAGTGTTCCATCTACTTGATCAAATATAGGGCTCATGGCTGGTGTGACCAGACAACAGGGGATGCTTACTATTTTGAGGCACCCGATCCTGCTTCTGGAATTTTCAGCGGTCCTTGTTTATGGCTTTATGCCCTTTTCACATATTTGTTTTGTTTGTAGTTTTTTAGCTCAAGTGAGCTTTTCTGATCAAAATTTGTCTGTTGTCTGTCGTTGTCGTAGTAGTCGTCGTCGTCGTCGTTGTTGTAAACTTTTCACATTTTCATCTTCTTCTCAAGAACTACTGGGCCAATTTCAACCAAACTGGCTACAAAGTATCCTTGGGTAAACGGGATTTTTGTTCAAATGAAAGGCCACACCCTTTTCCAAGGGGAGATAATTATGAATTAGAGAAAAATTAATGGCATTTTTAAAAAATCTTCTTCACAAGAACCACTGGGCCAGGAAAGATGAAACTCATGTGGAATCATCCTCAGGCAGTGTAGATTCAAGTTTGTTCAAATCATGACCCCCAGAGGTAGGACGGGGCCACAATGGCCGACCAAAGTTTTTCATAGAAATATATAGGAAAATTCTTTAAAAATCTTCTTCTCTAGAATAACAAAGCCATGGTTGGTCATATTTATATGGAAGCATCCTCAGTTCGTGTAGATTCAAGTTTCTTCAAATCATGACCCCCGGGGGTTGGGCGGGGCCACAATGGCCGACCAAAGTTTTTCATAGAAATATATAGGAAAATTCTTATAAAATCTTCTCAAGAATAGCAAAGCCATGATTGATCATAATTATATGGAAGCATCCTCAGTTCGTGTAGATTCAAGTTTGTTCAAATCATGATCCCCGGGGGTTTGGCGGGGCTACAATGGCTGACCAAAGTTTTTCATAGAAATATATAGGAAAATTCTTTTAAAATCTTCTCAAGAATAGCAAAGCCTTGATTGATCATAATTATATGGAAGCATCCTCAGTTTGTGTAGATTCAAATTTGTTCAAATCATGACCCCGGGGGGTTGGGCGGGGCCACAATGGCCTACCAAAGTTTTACATACAAATATATAGTAAAATTCTTCAAAAATCTTCTCAAGAATAGCAAAGCCATGATTGGTCATTCATATATTTATATGGAAGCATTCTCAGGTAGTGTAGATTCAAGTTTGTGAAAATCATACCCTTTCCCCTTTAAGGAATGGTTTGGACTACTTTTGGGTTTAAACTTTTCAATAATAAAGTAATTTCTGCTTTTATGCTAGCCACAGTGCTCGGGTGAGGGATGTGGCCCATGGGCCTCTTGTTAAAAAAAAATATATAAAAGCCAGTATGTTTTCTGTAGATCATTCTTCTTTGTTTACATGTACTTCATAAATATTTATTGCTTTAAATCTCCATGCAAGCTGTCATCATAAACATCATATTATTATAACAGGCCTATATCAACTCTGCTGGAGAGAAGGTAAAAAGAGGAAATGGGTTTTAAAATTTCATCTTTCCTGGTTCGTTGCATTCATTAAGCTTATTTTTAGGGAGTCTTAAATTGGACAGAAACAAAAATGGGCATCCATAGTGGGCATGTTTGTGCTTACCAAATAAAACCTTGTTGTTAACAAGACATAGCAAGCTGTTACTGGCAAGATGAATTACCCGATTAACTGAAATCAATTTATCCTCAAATTAAATGCTTGAAATCGTGAAACACAAATGGTCTTGTTTTATGATTACCCTTTGATAACACTACACAGATGTGAACTGTGAATACATTAAAACACACCATTTCTAGTTATTTTTCTATTTAAACAAGCCATTTTTCTCAGACTTCTTTTCTTTTACATTAATATTTTTGTCTCATAACTACAACTAAAACAAAAGTAATTGTTTTGAAATGTTATGAAAATTTGAGAATTTGCACAAATAATAAATGCTGAAAATCTCAAAGGATAGTATATACATATACAAAGTTTTTAAATTTTTATCCATATTTATTGAGAGGGATAAAGAAGATTTGATGCTAACTGTTTTACTTTTAAAATGATATTGGTACAGTGTATTTGTATGTCTTAAACTAACTTCTCTTCATGGCATGGATAAATTGTGAATGTTTATCACCATGAATCACTTGACATTTTTTTGTTGTTTTTTTTAAATCTCATGTCAAAACTTTTCACTAACCATTCAGAAAAGACAAGTCAAAATGTCCTCAAGTACCATTAACTATTTTTTCCTTAATCATAACAGGGGTTTAGCATGATTTTAAAAAAATCAGTACTCGTTTCTGTTGCATGGACATTCAATAAGGTCATTCTCAACAAATTGCTCTATCTCTTTACCAGCATATTCTGAACATCAAAGAAAAAAAGAAAGAATTAAAATAACTTTCAATTTTTTCTTGTCATAACTTGTTGCAGAATTGATTCCCTTTATGGTTCTTTTAAACAGGGAGTTGTGAGTGGAGTCTTGTTGGTGACCCCTAATGCTGTCATGTTTGACCCCAATGTATCGGATCCACTGGTTTTGGAACATGGAGCAGAGAGATATGGCGTGGTAGCACCGATGGATATGGTGATTAGTGCCGCCATGTATCATGACATTGCTGCCATGAAGGCCAAAGGTCTATGGTCAGTGAATTTATTCAAGAACTATAAATTTCTGCACTTGCAGGGCTATTTATGAATCACACAAATATGTTAGATTTATAACATTTAAATACAAGAATGAGTTAAGTTTGTGTACTTTATAAAATTCCAGGGCTTATTTTTTTGAAAACTTTGGTTCATTTTCTTAGTGAAGGGGGAAAGAAGCCTGAAGTATACCATGACAAGAGCTGTACTCTTTTCAAGTCTTGGTGCGAGGGTCATCCAAATTTTGAGGTTGCCAGAGCAGCATCTGATGCTGGATTTACGAGTGACCGATTGACCATATCTGACCATGTGTCCACTCCTACCAAAGTCACTGCGAGTCCTCAATCCGATTCTGCAAGCTTGTGTTCATGTTCTGCTAGTCAGGGAGAAGGAGGGGCTTCAACAACCAGCTCCCCTGTTAAAGGTGACAATGGTCAATCCAGTGCTGTCAGTAACACACCTGGCAGGGATAAAAACAATGAGGGTGAATTTGAAATTACGTCAGCTAACGATTTTGGAGAATTTGTTTCTTCCGAGTCTGATTTGCAAGAATTTGAAAAAGTGAATAGTTCCTCCCCTGGTATTGAGTCAAAGAAAAATGGTACAAATAAGTCAAATAATGTTTCACGTCATTCTGAAAAAGAGAAAGATTTGATAACATTTGGTACAGAATCCGAGTCTAAGCCCATGTTTTTCAGTGGAAATGAGAGTGATAGGATAAATGACCCTAGCCCTGTCCCTGGGACATCACCAAATGAAATGAGAATAGGGAACATTGTGTACCATAACCTCCCCGTGTCGGAAAGTTCTAAAGGGCAGGTAACTGCTAAAGACATAGAAAATGCCCAGGTAGCTCTCTCTAAGTTAAGTGTGGAGGAATTTGAACAGCAAAGGTCTCGATCCACTCCTGTAGATATTCCAGTAGTTCAGCAGCCCAGCCAATTAGAGAGTAGGTCAGCTTCATTTGGTTCATTTAACGTAGCTCCTCACTTGAACGCTTTTGTAAATTACGCAACAGGACTGTTTAAAAATTCTGAAGTTAAAGACATAGGGGAGGTAACTCAAGATAATGAAAAGGGGAAAACTGATATACTGGATATTAAGGGGAAAAGTGACATGATAAAACAGAGGTTGAGGTCCCTGGGTTCCTCGCCTAAAGAGAAGTCAGATCCAATGGGAGCGGATCTTGAAGTGGAGGTGGAGAATGCAGTAAAGCTCGCAGATAAACCCGAGTTATTCCAGTCCTTTGATAGTAAGCTAACTATTGTCTCTCTACTTCGTAGAATAGAATTGCACACTAGAAAAATATTCACAAACCTGTCTCGTGATTTTAAATCTTTGCAACTAAATGATATATTTTTACTTATTCCTTGCAAGTGAAAATATTTATAATCCTGTCTTGAAGTTGATATTTGAAAATATTTGCAACTAAAAAATAATTATTTTTGTTGAAAATATTCAAATAGCTGCATGTTTTGAGGTTGAGGTTGAAATTTGAAAATCTGTGCAATTAACTTTTTGGAACTTATTCCATGCCAATGAAAATACTAATATAGCTGCATGTCTTAACATTAGAGTTGAAATTTGAAAATGTTTTGCAATTAAAATATATATATTTACAATTATTTTCTCTCTTGGTTAACTTAACAAGGCTTGGGTAAGTGTTTTGCTTTTCAGAGCTTGAGTTTTATTTTTCTTGAGTCTTTTTCTTTTATTGACATTTATTACATTTTAAAAAAAATGCCTTTCATATTGTTTAAATCTCTCCAAATTTTGTCTAGTGACTTGCTTCCTTTTTAGCTCACCTGAGCCGAAGGCTCAAGTGAGCTTTTCTGATCAAAATTTGTCCGTTGTCTGTCGTTGTTGTCGTCGTCGTTGTCGTCGTAGTCGTTGTCGTTGTCGTTGTAAACTTTTCACATTTTCATCTTCTTCTCAAGAACCACTGGGCCAATTTCAACCAAACTTGGGACAAAGTATCCTTAGGTGAAGAGAATTCAAGTTTGTTCAAATGAAGGGCCACGCCCTTTTCCAAGGGGAGATAATCATGAATTTGTTAAAAATTAATGGCATTTTTAAAAAATCTTCTTCTCCAGAACCGCTGGGCCAGGAAAGATGAAACTCATGTGGAAGCATCCTCAGGTAGTGAGGATTCAAGTTTGTTCAAATCATGACCCCCAGGGCAAGGGTGGGGCCAAAATGGCCGACCCAAGTTTTACATAGGAATATATAGGAAAAATCTTTAAAAATCTTCTTCTCCAGAACCACTGGGCCAGGAAAGATGAAACTCATGTGGAATCATCCTCAGGTAGTGTAGATTCAAATTTGTTCAAATCATGACCCCCGGGGCAAGGGTGGGGCCAAAATGGCCGACCCAAGTTTTACATAGGAATATATAGGAAAAATCTTTAAAAATCTTCTTCTCCAGAACCACTGGGCCAGGAAAGATGAAACTCATGTGGAATCATCCTCAGGTAGTGTAGATTCAAGTTTGTTCAAATCATGACCCCCGGGGCAAGGGTGGGGCCAAAATGGCCGACCCAAGTTTTACATAGGAATATATAGGAAAAATCTTTAAAAATCCTTCTCAATTATCACTGGGCCAGGAAAGATGAAACTCATGTGGAATCATCCTCAGGTAGTGTAGATTCAAATTTGTTCAAATCATGACCTCCGGCCCTGGGGATAGGGTGGGGTCAAAATGGCCGACCCAAGTTTTACATAAGGATATGTAGGGAAACCTTTTAAAATCTGCTTTTCAAGTATTTCAAATCTATGATTAGTGATATTTATATGGAATCATCCTCAGGTAGTGTAGATTCTAGTTTGTTGAAATGATGAACGCCTGGAAGGGGGGGGGGGTAGTAAATTCAAGCCCGATGTGCTCAGGTGAGCGCTGTGGCCCCTGGGCCTCTTGTTTATATTGTTGGTGAACTTATCTTTTGTAAAATTGTTGTACATTATTTATTTCTTCCAACATTTGTGTTGAGAAAATTCTTTATTTTGATATATGTAATCAAATTGAAAACAAAAGAAATTTTCTGATAAAAAAAACCCTTATCCATTTTATGATTTTATGAAGTATATGATACTAGTTGACAATCAAAACTAAAAGTGTCACTCCGCACTCAGATGGCAGCCTGTCAAATTTAATTCAAGGTAATGATTTATCTCCCCTTTTCTCTCCACCACAGTGCATTTTGTTAACACCAAAACAGATTTTTACCCTTTCACTAAGTTTACCTTCTTGTTTAATTCATATATTACATTAAAAATTTGCTGATTGAAGATAATTTTAAAATTTTTAATGCTTAAATTGTGTAAAAGTTGTCAGTCAAATTTCATAGAAGTTGGTATTCAATGTTAATTTCAGTTTTATTGCCACTGTGGTATTTTCTACTATATCAAGATTAAACCTCTCAAAAAGAAATACAGTATATAGAAGACTAGCTGACACATATAAGTTTTGATTCTCTTGTTGTTCACTGTGTGTCTTCTTACAACCATGTTTTGTCAGTGACCAGTCATTGTTAACCAGTGTGTGTGTGAGTTCATGTGGCGTTATGTTTTATAACAGAGCTTATACAAAGCATTAATGACCAACTTTCATGGAAGTACAGTAAGTTTACTAACCTAGCTATTGCAAGATCTGTGTTAATGCTGCAATACCTTGAAAGCAAATATGCCATTGCATTGATTTCATGCAGGAAAAACTTCCATATAAAAGCAGAAAACTTTGTACAAATGTATAGTATTGAGGTATTTGGCAGTAGATAAAGGCTTGCAAGCAAAAAATAATACTATATGCAGAAACTGCTGTATGATAGTATATACTTGCTGCATTGCAAACAGGCACTGGCATGAGTACATTTTATTATAGTAAGAAATTCCTGTTGGCATGTTTTATCCCCATCTTGCATTTTTCAACACATAGGTTGGCTAATACTACTTGCTTGTTATTATGTATAAATCATGAAGAGAATGTGAACAAAGTGTTCCTAGAGTCAAAGTTTGGCCATATGTGTAAGGTTAAAAATGCTGCATTATTCTGCATTAGCAAGGAGAAATCTCAATAGGTCCTTTATATTCAATATTTGTCATTCAAGTGCATAATATCAATGTGCTGAAAAATCTTCAAACAAAGTTTAAAGCATGTTTTGTTTTGACCTAGGAACACATGCTTAAGTTATAGAGGTTAATATTGTTTTATTTAAATTTAGTACTTTGATTTCTATGCCCCCCTTCGAAGAAGGGAGGGCATATTGCTTTGCTGCTGTCTGTCGGTTCACTTAGTTTCCGTTCATTTTCTTCACAACCGTTGCACGTACTGAAATGAAATTTGGTATGCAGATATATGAGATGAATATCTAGGTCAAGTTCTGTTTTGGATACAATTGCGCCATAGAAAAATTCCAATTATTTGCAGTTTCCATTCATTTTCTTCACAGAGGTTACACATACTGAAATGAAATTTAGTGTACAGATTTATATCCAGGCCAAGTTCTGTTTTGGTTACAATCACACCATTTTTGACACAGTTATGCCCCTTGGATTTAGAAAAATTCCAGTTATTTGCAGTTTCCTTTCATTTTCTTCGCAGAGGTTGCACATACTGAAATGAAATTTAGTATATAGATTTATCAAATAAATATCTAGGTCAAATTTTGTTTTGGGTACGATCACGCCATTTTTGACAGAGTTATGCCCCTTTGACTTAGAAAAATTCCAATTAATTGCAGTTCCCGTTCATTTTCTTCGCAGAGGTTGCACGTACTGAAATGAAATTTAGTATATAGATTTATCAGATATATATCTAGGTCATGTTCTGTTTTGGGTACGATCTCGCCATTTTTATACGCCCATCTTAAGACGGGACGTATTATGTTATAGGCTTCATGTCCGTCCGTCCGTCTAGCTGTCCATCCGTCCATTCTTGTCCGCCTCATAACTTGAATACTATTAGGCCTAGGGTTATGAAACTTTGTCAACTTATACTTCTTGGGTAGACGGTGTGTCGCGCACAAAAAGTAGGTCGCTCTGACCTTTAATAAAGATGCTATAGCCAAATATGGAAAAATCCTGTCCGGCTCATAACTAGAAAACTATTAGACCTAGAGCTTTCAAACTTGGCAAACGTATACATCTAAAGTAGAAGGTGTGTCGCGGCCTATTTCAAGGTCACTGTGACCTTTAATTAAAGTGAATTTTTAAAAAAAACTAAGTCTTTTAAATTCTAAATTTCATTATCCTAAACAATGTAAAAATATAGTTGTATGCTTATTAAGAAAACGTTAAATTAAGTAAAAACTTATTTTTTCATTATATACTTACAGCAATCTGTAAAAAATGTTTATGCTTTGAGAGGAATTCAGTTTGTCCCATGGGCTTAATTATCAAGCACTGGTCAAGAAGAATTTTGATAGCAGAAATTTGCATGTCAAATTAGAGAGAAATTAATGAGTTTATTGTCAGGAGCTAAGAGCATCTCTAGATCTGATGCAGATGTTATCTTAATTTATCTCTTGGGAGTTGGGCAAAAAGAAATGGCCTTATAGTTGCTTGTGCTAATTAAGAGTTCTTGATGGCTAGTCCAGATAAAGATCTTTCAATTGATGTAATGTAATTAAAACAAATTGACGTTTTAGAGTATGATTAAAACTAAATTAGTATTGTATAATATGATTAAAACTAATTATATATGTGTTCATTGAAAAAAAAAATTATATTTCAGTTTTTATATATTTGCAACAAAGATGCTATAGCAAAATATGGAAAAATCCTGTCTGGCTCATAACTAGAAAACTATTAGACCTAGAGCTTTCAAACTTGGCAAAAATATACATCTAAAGTAGAAGGTGAGTCACGGCCTATTTCAAGGTCACTGTGACCTTTAATTAAAGTGAATTTTTTTTAAAAAAACTACAGGTATGTCTTTTAAATTCTAAATTTCATAATCCTAAAAAATGTAAAAATATAGTTGTATCCTTATTAAAAAACGTTAAATTAAGTAAAAACTTATTTTTTCATCATATACTTTACAGCAGTCTGTAACAAATGTTTATGCTTTGAGAGGAATTCAGTTTGTCCCATGGGCTTAATTATCAAGCACTGGTCAAGAAGAATTTTGATAGCAGAAATTTGCATGTCAAATTAGAGAGAAATTAATGAGTTTATTGTCAGGAGCTAAGAGCATCTCTAGATCTGATGCAGCTGTTATCTTAATTTATCTCTTGGGAGTTGGGCAAAAAGATGCTTGTGTTAATTAAGAGTTCTTGATGGTTAGTCCAGATAAAGATCTTTCAATTGATGTTCTAGTGTATGATTAAAACTAAAATAGTATTGTATAATATGATTAAAACTAATTATACATGTGTTCATTGATAAAAAAAAAAAAAAAATTATATTTCAATTTTTATATATTTGCGACAAATTGCAGTCATGTCTCACTAGTATTATTTGTTATAATCAATCCCTACACTGTAAGTCTCTTAGAGATGTATAATAAGAAATGGAAATTAGATAATTGAAATCTGTGTCAATCTGTTAATCAAGGCTACCTGATTTTCTTGCATCCTAACCAATGTATGATTATTGAACAATATTTGACGGGCGTATCATGCTGTGGCGGGGCACTTTATTGACAGAGTTATGCCCTTTTGGACTTAGAAAAATTTTAATTGGGGGGAGGGGGGCATAAGTGTTTTACAAACATCTCTTGTTTGATAAGAAATTCAGTGGTACATGTAGGCTACTAATTTCTGATTTATGGACATTTAACATGAATGTACATGCGAAATATATTGATATTGTTTACAAAAAAAATCCAGCTTTAAACTAAAATCTATCAGTAAATTTATTAAAATTTCTTTCTCCTCTGATTTTCAGGATTGTCAACTTTAAGAAATACATTTCTTAATCAGTGTAGAGAACTTTGACACTAAGCTCTTCTGACACCCTCCCTCCACTATTTCAGAACTGATCCCCCGCCCCGCTGTTGCTGCGGAGGATCCACCCCTGTACCTCTGTCTACATCTTGGTAAACCCGTCAATAAACACGTCTCTGAGACAGCACCGATCCAAGCCTACACAAAAAAGAAAAAGAAGCCCGAGTACTGGTTCTCCATACCCAGAGAAAAGTAGGTCATTTAGGCTGATCTCAGGAGTAAGAGAGGCCAGGATTTACTTAATGAGCTAATGATAAACTGTTATAATGATAATGCTTGTAAATCCTCTCTCATAAAATTGCCTAAAATTTGGAGAATCATAAAATTCAACATTTTTTTTAGCATCTGAATTTTATACAATACCATATATCCGGGTTTTTTTCTCTATTTTTCACTTTTTTGTGATCATATATAATCGCAAGATATAAAACACACAGAAATTATGTCAGCTATAATGTGACATAAAATCATTACCATTTGAAACAAAAGAATCTTCAATCGTAAAAAATAACTTAGGCAAAATAAAAACTGTATGAATCTACCCCTCTTTTGCAAAATTTCCAACTTGTGAAAAAAACGGATACGGTATATGGTTTGCTGACAGTAAGATTGTTATTGAGATTATCATCGTGTCAGCTATCAAAATTATTTTTAAAAATTGCTCTAAATACTAGATATTAGTATGTTAAATTGTAATGCCTAGCTATGTTTGATTTCCTTATATTGCTACTTTCAAGAAAAAAAGGTCATTTAGATAACTGAATAATCTCCACATACTGGTATATTTTGCTTTGTAGGGTAGACCAGCTTTATGCATTCTTCGTCCAGTGGAAGCCAGAGTTGTATGGGGATGATGAGGAGATTTCTGCTGAGAGGAGGGGCTTTGTTGTCCTTGATGAAGATGACCCAGATGAAATGGAAGTTTTTGAAGAGTACTTCAGCAATGGACTGACTGCTTTACAGAAAGACTGGGAGGTAGAGACTATGAAAATTAATTAAAGAGTTAATCTTGATACCTGCAAAACAGAAGTAAAGAAAATGCTATGTCTTACATTTAATTTTTTAGATAATCAGTGCAGAAGAGGCCAGTAGGAGGAAATCAGAACCCGAGGAGACACCCATCTTACCAGAACTTCACGGACAATCCACCATTGTACAGGACTATCATGTACTCATGGTAAGACAGGAAATCGGACCTGAGGGCCATAAAACTAAATGAGCTCACTTTTGATCTTAGTCTCATTTTTTCCAAAGGAATAAAAAAGTGAGACTGAGATAAAAAGTGAGGCTCATCTTAGTTTTATGGCTCTCAGGCCTGATCTCTCAGTGGATCTGCACTCTGCCATTGTAGAGGACTATCATGCATGAATGGTAAAGCAGGAAATCTGAACTTTAAGGGTATATCTGTACAATGAATAAGAAATTATCATATGGAGCTTATTGTTTCCAAAGAGTTTCCTTAGCAGGAACATGAAACTTGATTTAAAAAAAATAAGTTGAGGGCTTCAATTTGCTGTGGTGTTTATGAAACGTAAGATGTATCTTTTGTATTACAGCTCAGTCGCCACATGCCTGCCCGGACTATAGGTTACCCCTGGACTCTGATCTACAGTACAGAACAACATGGCTTTAGTCTGAAAACGCTGTACAGAGATATGCAGGGTGTGGACAGCCCGGTCATGCTACTGGTCAAGGACACTAATGACAATGTAAGTAAACAGGTCAAGGACACCAAGAACAACGCAAGTACACAGAGGTCAGGGACGTTCATTAGAGACCTACATACTAGTATATAGGTCCCTGGTGAAATTCACTTTAATTTTTGACATGACATGAATTTTACTTGAGTGCTGATTTCACATAGATTCTAGTGAACCATATTTGAATTTTACATTATACACTGTACACATAAGCTTGGTTTCCTATCTTGTGAAAGCATAGTGTACTCTGCAGCACAAGGGGTAGATGGACTAAAAATGATACAAGGCCATGTATGATTTCTACTAAATAAAATAACATTGACATTTTACTGACAACAGGGTATTAGGTTTTTAGCTCACCTGAGCCGAAGGCTCAAGTGAGCTTTTCTGATCACATTTTGTCCGGCGTCCGTCTGTCCGTCTGTCTGTCTGTCTGTCTGTAAACTTTTCACATTTTTGACTTCTTCTCAATAACCGCTGGGCCAATTTCAACCAAACTTGCCACAAAGTATCCTTGGGTGAAGGGGATTCAAGTTTGTTCAAATGAAGGGCCACGCCCTCATTCAAGGGGAGATAATTGGGAATTAATGAAAATTTGGTGGCATATTTTAAAGATCTTCTCCTCAAGAACCACTGTGCCAGGAAAGATGAAACTTATGGGGAAACATCCTCAAGTAGTGTAGATTCAAGTTTGTTCAAATCATGACCCCCGGGGGTAGGGCAGGGCCAAAATGGCCGACCAAAGTTTTACATAGAAATATATAGGAAAATTCTTTAAAAATCTTCTTCTCAAGAATGACAAAGCCATAATTCATCATATTTATATGGAAGCATGTTCAGGTAGTGTAGATTCAAGTTTGTTCAAATCATGACCCCCCGGGGTAGGTCGGGGCCAAAATGGCCGACCAAAGTTTTACTTAGAAATATATAGGAAAATTCTTTAAAAATCTTCTTCTCAAGAATGACAAAGCCATAATTCATCATATTTATATGGGAGCATGCTCAGGTAGTGTAGATTCAAGTTTGTTCAAATCATGACCCCCGGGGCTAGGGCGGGGCCAAAATGGCCGACCAAAGTTTTTATATAAAGATATATATAGGAAAATTCTTTAAAAATCATTTTCTAAAAAATAGCAAATCCATGATTGGTCATGGGACTACTTTTGGATTTAAACTTTACAATAAAAAGCCATTTTCTACTTTTTCCTACCCTTAGTGCTCAGGTGAGCGATGTGGCCCATGGGCCTCTTGTTAGAAGTGGTTCCAGAATTTTGTGACATACATGCTCATACCATTCCTTTGCTTACAAGAGTGCTTAAAATTACACGAGTTTGAGTTATCTTCCTTTTTACATTGAATGAATTTGAAGTAGTCTCGGAAACTCTTGGTTATACAGTTTATGTAGAAATTTTGAAATGATGAGCTATTTCCTTTGTTGTATAGATCTTTGGAGCAGTGACATCCTGTGAACTGAAACCAAGTGACCATTTCTATGGAACAGGGGAATCATTTCTATTCACTTTTTATCCAGAATTCAAGGTATGTAGAGATGTCTTAATACTCTCTATATATGTATCAGAAGCAAATAATATTTTACAAGAATCTTGTTTCTACATTTACAGTGCTAAAGTATTACATTAGGTTAGGCATTGTATAGATTAATGACATTTATGCTAGCCATGCTTTTCCTCAACTTTCTTTTGTTAACCCACTGTCCAAGTCCTTTTTGATATTTGTAAACTATAAACAATATATGTGTTAGAATAATTTAATATTATTACCTAAAACTTTATGTTGTTGTATTTTAAAATTTTCAGGTATTTAGGTGGACAGGTGACAACAATTTTTTCATCAAAGGCAACCAGGAGAGTTTATCTATAGGAGCAGGCCAGTTAGTATATATACTTGTCTGATTTAACCAGGTTTGATAAGAAATAAAACAATACAGGTCTTCTAGGACATATTGATTGAAAACTTTTAATAAAGGATTATTTCCTCCCTATTGATAACTATTTTGGAAACTATCAAGGATTGCTTTATAAAATATTTTTCATGCATGAGTAGTTCATCAGGAAAATAATTGTGATTTTTCCCATTTAAGTACATCCTGTTGATATTTCTAGAGGCCTGTTTGGTTTGTGGTTTGACGTTGATCTGTAAGCTTGTCCTGTTTTTAGGTATAGTTTATTTTTATTTTTAGAGGCCTGTTTGGTTTGTGGTTTGACGGTGATCTGTACCACGGTCAGACTCATCACTGCGATACCTACGACAATGATGTCCTCACCTCATCAGAAGATTTCATCGTCAAGGTGCTGGAGGCCTGGATATTTTCTCAGGATTAGCTCAGTGTGGCTCCTAGTCTGGTAGACGTTTTATGTCTCTCCGATTCAGCAATAATTACAGAGAAGACTTCACCAGTTGTTGATGTTTGTACTGCTGAAGCGTCAACTTAAAATATTGACATGTCTACAATAAACCTGTCATGTCTCAATGTATATAGATCTTCATTGACTCCAGTCTCAAGGTCGTTCACTCAAGATGATACAGATTGATTGTGATGTCATTTGCTTAAGGTTGCATTATTTGAACTTTTATGCCAGAGAGGAAAGAGAAATTGACACTTCATCTGAAGTCGTTTTCTAAAATATGAACTTTTTCCAGAAGAGTGAATTAATTTGCTAGGTATTCAATTTATGGTATTTGATTGATTCATCAATAAGTGTGTAATTTATATATGCTTAATGTCTATATGCAATAAAGTCACCAATTTTAAATAAAGTCAACTTGGTAATAGAGAATCAGAGATAAATTTTGTGTTCAGTTAATTGTGCTTGATTATATAGAACATGATATCTAGTCATATTATGTAGGCTTCCTGTGTTAATATTATACATTTGCTTAGAAAATAGTGCTTGTTTTATTGTTGACCACAAATATTGTGATACACTAGTTATAAACTTATAGCGATGTTTGTGATTGAGTATGTATGAATTTGTGATGATATAACTTTGTAAAGAACAAATAAGCAGAGAATTATTTACAGTGAAACCTGTCTAATCCAACATCCATTGGGAGATTCACTCTTTGTTGTAATAGACAGGGTGTCAGATTACAAAGTGTAAAGAACAAGGAAAATAGTGAAGGTCGGAATTCACAATGAAACCGATTACACAGATGTTGGATTAAACAGTTTTCCCTGTATTTATGTTCTCTTTTCTGGATATTTAGTTATACTGGTTCCTAATGTGTTCAATGAAAGGGGTAAATTCTGTGAGAAATAAAGTGCTGTTTTGAACATAAATGTAGTTTTGTTTAACTCTAAGTGATTTTCTAAAACATTTCATTAAAAGATATACATGTATCAATCAACTAACGTTTCAAATAAGATGTAAAATCAGAGGAAATGCTAAGTGTGCATGTGTGTATGTGTGTTATGTGCAAATAGAATAAGAAAGAATGGTGCAAAATCGAATTTATGTATCAAACTTTGTCAAAAAAAAGTGCTTCAGTATGTATACATGTATATGTTTTATGCTTGCAAGTTTTTTTTGTATTGATTAATATTAAAATGTTGTTCAGAATGTTATTTCATCCTGGATTCTGTGATATAACACAATGTATAAACCACTTAAAATGTCAGCATTTACATTACGTTATCTTTGTTATCAGTACTAAAAGTATTGTATGTAATTGTAAATCACTCTGTGTTTTTGTGATATTGAGTACACAGGCACTTCACATTTTAGAGATGTTGTTTTTCAGACTTCATCCTTGTCAATTTGCAGGCAAGGAGAAATTATGTGTTTGTGTTGAGAAATGCTCATACATTCAAGTGTGATAGAGAAATTGTGCTTATTGTTTATCAGACTTGTTGTTTGTGATACAGAATATTGATAAACTGTAGGATTGTATTAGGTCACATTAGAATCTGACAAAGGAGAGAGTACTGGGGTGTTTTTCTTTCAAAAATTATTGAAAAATTCCATGCATTTTTTTTTTCTTGGAAATAATACACTGTAATTTTAAACATTCCTCATTTAGGGTTTTAAACTTGTAAGACATAATGTTTTATATGAGTTAATATTGAATATAGTATGTTATTTGAGAAAATAAAGAATTTAGTAAGAAATGTTTTATGCTGTTTCATATTTCATTAATCCAGAAGTAGTATTTTGCTTCTTTTGGTAAATATTTTTACTACCTTGACCTGTCCAGCAAGTCTCAGAAAATAAATCTTTGAGTAATTTGAGGAACTTTGACCTTCAACAAAAGTTGTCACACTGGGGCATCAGTTTTTCACAAACACATTCTTTAATAAAAGTGTTCAGACCAGTGTGAAAGTGCCATTTATAATTGGTTTTGTAAAGTAGATGTCCTAAGATGGCTAAAAATAAAAAAAGAAAAAAAGTCTGGTAGCAAGTTTTGTAATAAATTGACACTTCGCCCCAAGACAGTGCACATTTGCACATTCCAAATCCAACCAGAAATAATTACGAATCGTTCAGAATGAAGAGAATAAAAAACGACTTTTCTTCCTTTTGTGGCTCTACTGATCAGAGACCAGAAGGGCTTTTTTGATAGTAAGGTGTCCATCTGTCTGTCTAACTATCCACCTGTAAACAATTTTTCAAAAAGGATACTCCTACAGTTTTGACCTGATTTCAGTTTAACTTGCCATCAAGTAGACTTCACTTCTCTAATTCTTTTTAATAGCTAGGTACAAACAAGTAGAGCTGCAGTCTCATTAGAGACTTTTGGTTCTCTTTATGTTGAAGGTCAATGAAGGTCTGTTCCATGCAGTGGATTTAGTCTCCATATGTTTATGTTGAAGTTTGATTATTCATTTTAAAGTAGTAAACGGGCACGTAGCATCAGGGGGTACCCCCCCCCCACACTTTTTTTTTCCAGAAATGAGTTCTATAGGAAATTTTCATTGAAAGTCAGGTTGCCCACCCCCTCCCCCTTCCGTTTTTGTTGCAGTTTTGTCAAAAATGGTTGTATAAGGGTAATGCAGTGTTTGAGTTAGAAATTTAGTACTAAAAGAAGTTGGAATTTGATCAATTCATTGCCTTCGAGTATTTTTCTCTGGAGAAATAATTTTGAGGCAAATGTATGCACCTTACGTTGAAAGTGAACTACATAAACTCAATGTGTACAACTTTATATAAAAACACGTTTTTTTTCAAAACTTTAAAGATTTTATTTTCTTAGTGGTTATAGCTTCTTAAACACCTACACAAAATGAGAGATAAATGTTACATGCTTCCCAAGGCTTGATCCTATTATTCAAGTTTTAAAAATACATGCCTAAACCCAAAGTGATTGAATTATAGCTTTTTTGCTCAAGATAAAAGAAGGAAAGAAAAGAATAGATATTCGACTGTATCAAACATTTTCATCAGATGGTCTTCCCTGTTTCCCATCTCCTATTTTCAGTTTTCTCGACTGTTGCTTTAGAAGCGTACGTTTGTGCAGCAGGTTTAAAGAATTAAATCGGCATCAAAGAGATAATCCTGGGAGAGCACGATGTGCAAACTTCATCACTTACTATTTTTAGAGAATTTTCTTGTTCTCGGGTTTGTAAATAATATTCCCCACGTCTGATCTGTAATGACGTGATGGGGGTAGCGGCTTTGCTTGTTTTACCAATTACAAAAGATCTTGATAGAAGGTGGTTTAAGTCAGAATCCAGAATTTGTGAAGAAGAACGCTGTTTGACGCTTTATCGAGGTTTTATCACTACTTTTCACAGTTTTCCGGTGATATTAATTTTTTTTTCTGTTCAGTGTAATAAATTTAAAGTCTTATCAAGTTGTTTCATTTATGTAAGAAACACCCTATACCACAATTAAAAGTATATATACATGAATGTGTGATATATGCCAAACGTTATCCTTTCTCAAAAGCATACTTTGTTATATACGTACTTTACTTTAAAATTTACAAAAAATTCTTTGAAATATGCATATTAAAAACATAACTATTGATACCATTTATAATATAAAAAGAGATACTGTTTGAAATTACCGTGGCACTGAAATATGAAAATATTGGGTTAACACAAAATTTACAGACATCCTTAAATCTCGTAAAAAACATGATACTGATGGACATAATTAAATTTTTGCCAGTTATAAGAATACATAATTATAACTGAATGTAAATTTGTATGACTGCTTATTTCTCATATTTAAGTTGGTTCCTTATGTAGTAATGAGTACAGTCATTTTAAAACTGATACAGGTTACTGGCAGATAAGTTGATGTTACCAGGAATCCAACATTAATTTCGTAACACCTATGGTCGCTTAATTACATTTTTAGCAAATATAATCTATCAATGAATGTGTCTATTTTGGTTTACAATTTTTATATCGATTATTAGGCCTTATTTTTGTACTAAATTTGATTACGCATTTTTCTGTTTATTTGATCAATACATAGGGCTGACGGTGGTTGTGACCGATCGACAGGGGATGTTTTCTCCTCCTAGGTAACTGATCCTAACTCTGGAATTCTGGGAGATATTCCTGAGATTGATCACTGTTCATTATTTTCTACCTTTTTATTCTCATTTTATTTGCTCTCCGATCCCTTAACTTTAGATATGATTCTTGTTTTCACTCATTGAGATTTAAGCTTACTTCAAAGAACTCGTAACTGTTTATTAATTCCCAGTATCAAACCTTCTACACAAATAAAATCCTTTCATTATAACAAAACCCATCGTTAGCTAATAATGGCATGTTTTGTGTCTTTAATTTATTTTCAAAAACCGTAATATTATGTACTTTATGATTTCTCTCTTGCGTTTACTTTATTTTAATACATTAATCAAAACTCGAGGGGCGGGGTGCAGATGTCTTGCGCAATTGTTGCTGATATACAGTCTGAGAATACAAACCACAAATCTCTAGAGAAGAATTTGATTGTGCATTTAATTCTTTGAGCACATGTACAAATGATGCGCCTTTGCGAATCGAAATCATAAGAAATGGAAAGTAATTCTTTGTTCCATAAAATCCAATCTAGAAGATAACGCCCGACAACTGCTCTTTTATCAAAGGATGTTTTTTGCTTGGATCTTTTCATAATTAGATTTTCAGTGCTTCATACTTTAAAAAATTCCCTGTCTTCATTTTTGAAAATATATATATGTTCATATTATAAGAAAAACTCATTACTTTTGTAAAATGGAACCTCTCCAACTCATTACGGTCTGAGGTAAAGAAAATGTTTTACCGAAAATTAAGATGTTTATTGTCTAGTACTGTGCGTCTTCAGCTAATTTTTACGGTATTTTTACAAATGATTTTTTAAGAAGCTACAATGAATAATGAAGCAGATGAGTATAACATGATTTATTTGTTTCTTGAGAGCCTCATTTTTGCTTCAATTTTGCTTCAATACTGTTACATCATTAGACAATTTTTTTCTATATCGTTTAGAAATAGATGCATGCATAGCAACATATGGTGCTTAAGTATATGGTTTTTATCAGTCAATTATATTTCATTTTTTTAGACTACCTTTGAAATAAATTTGAAATCTCTGACGAGACTGTCAATCTATTCGTCTGTAATTACTTGAAACCCTTTTGTTATTCATCATATTTTAGAACTATCTAGCCAAAATTGAAAAGGACGATTAGAACTTTGAAAAAAATGCGAATTTTAGTAACCAGGGCAACATTGTTTGGTGAAATAAAAAAGGTAACTTTGTACCTTAGTATGGTAAAACTTGAACGAAATCCCATTGACTGTAGAGATTATAGTATTTATTTCTTTTAAAAGATAAATTCGCGTTATCTTATTTTTATTAACCTTGAACTAAAATTATAATTGAAAAATTTTAAAAATCTATATGATAATATTTAAAAACAAAAAAAAAACACACACACCCCCACACACAAAACAAACCAACCAACCAACAAAACAAACAACAACAACAAAACAACGTTCATATACATTCAAAATTCATAAATGTAATTGCTCAAAATAGTATAGTTTTCTTGAATACACATTTACCAAGTTTTATTGAAATTGGACCAAAATCTATACTGTGATGAGCGCCATTTATGCTTTTGCTATTTCAAAACTCAAAGAGAAACTATTTATTCTTTTGTAGCCTGTCAAAACCAGAAAGTGAGTAGAATCAATTTTTAAAACAGTTATGCTAGACCTAGGGTTATTTCCGCTCGACCAACACGTGGTTGGATAATGCTTGTGAAACAAAAACATTTTCCATGTATTTTATTGAAGGTCATATAAAATGTAACCTGATACGTTTCTTAGGTAATTAAATTTTGTAAAACATATAAAGTTCCTAATAAAATATCAGACTTAAACTGCAGGTGAGTATCATTTTTGAACGATTTTCACAGATTATTCTATTTCAAATAATCAACTTACCACCATTCAACAAATTAAAAACCGATAAACAGAATATTTCATTTTGCTATAGACGTTTTTCGTTAAAATGAAAGGTTCAAATACAGATACGAAATGCTGTAATCCATTAAACATCTTTAAAAAATAAAATTGGCACTTGTATAAGTTCGAAGTCCCAAACCTTATTTTTGGATGACGGTTATAGGTTTGTTTGAAGTCTGGGTAGTGCTAAGACTTGACAATTCAGACTCTTCACAGATAGACATTCAGATGGTGAAATAGTCAGAATATAAGGAGTTTTAATTAGATGTCAACAATAGTCATTTAAAAATCAGCATCGCAGCGGGAGAAAATTACTAGAAATACGCTCAAGTCGTGGGATCCACTCACCGAAAAATGGAACCATCTGTAGAGAACAGTTTTAATTAGAGCATAACAAACGCTTCTCATTAGATCTTGCATAATATGTTGATCTATTGGTGAAAAATATAGGCATTGTATGAATTCTTTGCTGATGGGTGAGAAATATTGCGTCAAATTCTGCAGCACTATTTAAAATGAATCGTTTTTCTTACAATTTATTTTGGTATATTCCAAAATTCCATTTAAAAAAGCTTTCAATTTAACAAACCAAAAATTGAATAACTGTTTTAAGGAGCATGGCTGTTTTCTTTTAATATTAATATAGAATTGCTGTCTGTAATCTTGGGGTTAAAACCTGTCGATTGTTGGCCTTTACTCAAAAACTATGTCTCACAATTTTTTTTTTTTTTTTGAATTTATCTAGGTAGATATTATCATAAAAATCTAATTTTATATAAATTTACAAGAACCAAGACAAATTACAAACTTCTTTATCTCAAACCTGGTGATCTAAGAAAAAACTGCAAAACGTCCGATTATAGAGATATGGAGTTTAAAATACATCTATAAAGAAAAGATTGTTAATTGGGACTTCAAACACATTTGTATATATTCGAGATACCCCTGGTTATGGTGTTCGAAATAACGAAGTTAAACTGTAAAAGTAATATTGATGTTCAAGATGACGAAGTTCAACTAAAACAACCTCGACCCGCAATTTTAAGAAAGCGAGGAGACATGTAGTTTTATTCTTCCGTATGTCCATATGTCTGCCTGTCACTCACAAATATACGAGGGTTGATCCAAAAGCAATGTCACAGTGTACATATCTTTTGTGTTTGGTGTCATATTATCAAATACAATAAACCAAAATATGCACATATATACTAGTAAATCTAATTAACATCGTAACTTTTTTAATAATGTTAAATTAAATGAATTTTATAGATGTTTAAAAAATCAAACAATAGGGGTGTCGCCGCGTCACATCTAAACGTCTCATTAAAAAAGAAATTTTAGGATATAAAAGACAAACACATTAAAAAACACTTCAAGCGTGTCTTATCGCCCAAAAATCTTCAAAGACAAAATTAACTTTGTATAAACATGTTTGTCTAATGATCGAATAAGATTAAATGACGCCATTGTAATTTTTTTATTTAAAAAATTGTGTTTGACGCTGATGCATTGAACAAAGGAAGTGTCAAGGGGGGGGGGGGGGGGGGGTAACGAGCTGATATGCATTTTTATATATTCAAAGAGCAAATGTGATCCTGTTATATATCGCCATTTTAAAGTTACGTGCAAAAACATAGTTCTTACTCTCAACAGCTTTTGAGATAATACAAACGCTATATAAAGCAACAAAAATAAAACGAAGTTTTATCCACATAAATAAACATTAGTAATAATGACTTTGAAAACTTAAGTCCTAAGTCAAAGAACATACCCAGTAGTTCAAGGATTTTTTAAAAATCAGTGTTATCGTAGCTCTCTACACATACGAGGTAAAGCAGGAGAGGGAACCAGACTGGCCTCTTTGTTTACATTCAGCTGCGGTATCAGATTAATTCTGATTCTGACAAAATCGGACCTTGGTATTAGTATTGAAAAACTCACTGTCAGTGTCTTATCATTTATATTAATAGTTTTAAAATAATTTTTTCATTAGAATATAAACGTGATTCATGTAAGAAATTCTTTACTCTGTACTGAAATGAGTACTTTGATTACTTCAAAATGGGGAAATTACCAGTATAGACAGTTACACTGATTGATAAGACTTACAATGATAAAAAAGTAAAGAAGAGTCATGTTTATAGATTTTAGGGAGTGTTATAGATCATTGAATTATTTTCAGAGTACAGGAAGGCTGAAAGAAGAGAGGTCGGAAGGAAACGTTTCACACGGTATCTGATGTTGTCAAAAGACATCGTGTATCTGTTATGTAAATGTATTTGGACACTGTCTTATTAAATTGTTCGAGGAATTTTGACAAAGGACTTTGTTATGAAAAGAGTGAATGCGCAATGGCTACCAAGAATTCATTAAAGAACAGAAATTTGTGAACATATTCCGAGAATCTCAGATAATTATATTGGGAAACGTTTTTAGGTATGACGACGAGTTTCCATAACATGGCGTTATTTAGATGCGGCGACTACCAAATTTGCATATTGTATATAATTCTATATTTTTAAAAGTATTATTTACCTTGAATTAAAATTTTCAGGTCCGATTTGAAATAAATATAGCTTCCATCATTTATAATTATGTTGTTGTACGTCGACCAGTAGCAATTTATTGAAGTTGTGACATTACTTTTGGATCAACCCTCGTATATACATAAACGTTGTTCAAATTTCACGGTGTAAATAATTATTTAGGAGAATACAAATTCATGTATTTGTGTATGCTTAAACAAAACGTTTTTCATTAATTTCCCGAAAAAATCCCTTTTTTAAAACAAGTTTCTACATGTAATATTAGTAAACTTTTTATTGTTAAAAAATGCATATATGATATATAACATTTTTGTATGCATTATATGTCATTTGTCAAGAAATTTTACGTCGAGTAGTACACAGATTTAAATTCGTTTTACAACTAAGTGACAAAATGTCAGTTTGCCAGATCCACCACTTTTCGAATTATTATTGCTATTAACTTTAACTCAAATGGCATATTAGAAATTCCAACAACAGATGAAACCTGTCAAATTAAGTATTTTTCGTTTTTGAGGACTGATGAATATCTTTGGATATTCTTCTGCTCTCCCCCAGTATGAATAGATCCTAAGTGTTTCCTCCATACTTAATTCTTGAATAACTAATGTAAAGCATCTAGAGCAACTTAGGACACTTCTTATACATCTTCATTTCACCCTTATGTCATGCCTTCTTCACCACCTAGACTTTTTTGTTCTCGCTGGCTCTTTTCACCTCAAGTGTTGCTGTTTGTTCACCTAGTAAAATTATCCAAGCACATTTCTATAGCTTAATTTAATACTGTCCTTTTCCCAGTGTCGTCATGGACTTACTTTATATGTTCTTCTTTCAATTATTTGTAGATTTTTAAAATAAGATCTTCTTGTTCTCTCTGCAGCCTGAAGTCCCTATAGTTATGTTGTCCCTAATCATACTACTCTGTAGGCAGTTTTCCAGCTCAACAGTACCTATACTTTCTCTGGTTCAAGTTCCTTACTTATATATGAAAACCTGAGGCATTTTAAACAAGTATTTTTTGAAAGTTTAAAGTGTTCTCGAGTTTCGAATAATAAGCAATCATATTGATTGGAAGCATTTCTCTTGAATAATAACATTAACATTAATAACATTAATTCCGGTGACATTAAAATAAGGTCCGAGATTCGTTTGGACTGATAACTTCGAAGAGGAAGGCATGAACCCAATCCTATAACTGAGATTTCTTGGTATCAATTACAGTTGGGGTGCAAGATAACATTTTATGTGTCAGTGACCAGTTATCACCGAGAATATTATTATTGTAATACATGTATTTCTTTTCATAATGGACAATATTGCTTTCTGATCTTTAAAAATGTCTGACTTTCTTCTATAAAAGTTATGATTGCATAGGGAAGAAAAATGTAATATTTAACATATTTTGTCAAAAACAGTATTTGCTTAATCTGCTTCCACACCAATACAATATTGCAGCATTCAGGTCAGTCCGGGTGATATACGCTACTCCTTGCCTTGCAATACCAGACTTTATGGTTGTGATACATGTTATGAATCAAGGGTAGATTATTTCAAGGTTATGCTAAAAATCTTATAAAGCTAGTGAATTTTTTTGGAAACACTCGAAGGTGACATTCTAACTCATTTCTAAGAAAAATTCTTGTTAAAATCTTCGCCAAGGTGCCAGTTTCTGTGTTTCAAACGCATCGTTTCGTAAATCAGAATCGACACTTGTATCTAAAAACATGGCATTTTAATAACATTTTTAACACCAAAGAATTACCGCTGTATGAACTGAAGTGGTTAAGAGCATTTCATTGTGTACTTTATACTGAGTGACTCTAGAAGGATTTTATTATCGTTATTTACGTGTTCCAATGAGACACACCCATTCAAATTTTCTTGCCTTTGGATTTTAACTTTTGGGCTATTCTTCCGAGTTCTTTCCGAGACTTCCTTACAAGAACAAGTGTTCTTACTGGTTACAAAATGCATGGTCACTCAGACAGTTAAATGCGTATTTTCTTTATCAAACATAGCAAATAAAAAAAATTAATGGTTAGGAGAGAGAGAGAGAGAGAATATTGATTTAAAGAATTTTAAATTTGACACTTATCCTGTGTTTCATAAGGTCAGTTGTCCAATATCTTCTTGTTGGAAACCTTACTTCAAAGTTCTCTTCATTGACAGTAACTTAATGAGCTCTCTAATTCAATTTTGATGAAATTCAAGAAAGCCATTCATATACGAAAACTGGTAATTACATGAAGAACATCTAAATAATGGAATATAATGCGATGAAGGCCATTCCATTGTCGCATTAATACCGGGATGTCCAGAGTTCCAATTGACAACTCAAGTGGTATTGGTTCCCAATATCCTTCCGCAGTCGGGAGACCAGCGCTTAAGGTGACACACAACCAATCCTGCGGGACAGAATAACAGCTGAAAGTTTGCAAATCCTGCGGAAGCCAAAATATTTGCTAAGAAACATTGGATAAAGGAGTAGGTATTTTTAAGATAGAGCAAAACTAGATGAAAGAGCTTTTTTTGTTTTTAAGAAACACATGTTAATGCTATTTGGAAAATAGTAAAAATCGTTTGGTTTATTTGAAATATTGTCTGTTTCACAGACAGATAAAATGTTTGTCTGGGATTATCAGGTTTTAATTAGCGGATTAATCGGTGCATGTCGGGATTATTTTCCTAGCATTAAGCCTGAGTGATGACGTGTTGGGGGGAGCATGCACCTTAACACTAAAGCCACTGATTTCGTGCTTTCTGACTTGTTTGTATTTTTGCTCCTTCTAACTACTGGTCTGGTACTTTAGTTTTGTCCGGTGGTTCAGCATTGTCAAATATAACAGCCGCCACTGAAGAATATCTGTCATTATGTAGTGTTCTTGATTTCAGGGGGAGTGCGTACTACATCGCGTGCGGGGATTACAGCGAACAAGGATGGACGTGTATATTTTTCTTTTCTTAGGATTGTTTTCAAGGTAAGGAATATTTTCATCTTTTTCGACTTCTCTTACTTAGTTGCAGGGAATTCACCTTTAAAAGAAAAGAAAAAAGTTTCAAAAATGAAATATTAAAAATTAAAGTTTTCTTTTACATGTTTAATGGAAGAGATAATTATTTAATATAAAAATATAGTAACCTCCAGAACAAATTTAATGAGTTCCTTGATAATCTAACATGCATCTTGATATCCGAACATGCATGTAGACATCCGGAAAAAACACATGTATATCCCTAAAATAAACAGACAAAACACAGAAAATCGCAGCAGGTTTCAATGCTAACGGCAAATATAGGATCTTTTTGAAGCGAAGAATCCTGAAAAAGATTGCTCTAGTCATTAATGGGTCTAGAATCTCAAAACGACGGCACCGCGGGAACCACTTGCTATTAAGCAAATATTAATTGGTGTATTTTGTGCCTAATTGTAAACTGTGCGGGAACGAAGTTGTTTGAAATGTGATAATGACTTGAATTATGCACCATTTCTGTAAATTTGTAGCTTAACTAAAAGGCTTATCTGAATTTTAATCCCAAACTAAAATCTGGTGTACATTTTCTTAAAATTAATTTACTAGGTCTGATTTAAAGACAAGTACATAAATCTAGGTTAAGAGATATAATTTTTACGATGAAAAAATCGTTGTACAAACTGAAATATGTAATAAAATTTTGCAATTTAAACAGACATACAAATAATCTCTGAAGGCATCCGTCTAATTTTGCAATTTAATCAGATATATAATCTGAACCATTCGTCTGTATGGTTGGAAATTTTGACTCGCGAGTCTTGTAGACCCCCTGTCGCGAGTAACAAAAAGATTGGCAATCGTTTATTAGCACTTCGGATGCCGCTAACTCGTGCCAAAATCATCACCTGATGCGGGGGAGTAGGCGCTGAATCTGCCTTTCACTGCGTCTAAAACTACGTGTCGTTACAATAAAACCTAATGCTCACTTTCTATTTTTGTTATTTGTCAAAGTTTAACACACTCGTTCTATAAATAACATTACGGGTGAGCAACTTGATAAGCTCTGAGAAGATAGGGATTGAGGATTGATGAAGGCTTTGTGTTCTATATCTGTCAATCTATCTTTTTTATCATAAAAAATGCATTAACGTCCATCACCGTCATAAAGTGTCATAAAAATAACATAACTGGGGTAAAGATCTCGATAATTTATTATTATATATATAAAAAAAGAAATGATTCTTGCCACATATATATCGCAATGCACTGCATTTTTGGAATTATACCATTGTCTATACTACGTCCAGAAAAAGCTGAATATAGAAGACTTTAGTATATCATGTCGTCTGCTGGTATAAGTGAAAAATTCTCGACAGGGACGTTAAACAACTTACAATCAATCCTCCACTGGTCATTTGAATGGGTGACCCCTGACTTTACGTTCAGTGGGTCAAAGTAAACTTCACCAGGTCAATATCAATAAATGCAATTTCAATGAATATCCTTGATATATACGGCTGTTGCCATATTTTAAGATACAATAAGTGACCTCAAAATGTACAAGGGTTAGCATAATTTCTACAACAATATGATTGTCCTAGACAAGAATGTACAGGGGGAAATGAGCAAACTCTTATCAATCAGAACACACGGCAATCGCGGTGTTACATAATGTTTTGTTGTAAAAGTTTGTACTCAAAACGGTTGTGGTAAGAAAGATTAAAAAGAATGTAATAATCCAACATATGTACATGTAGTATATGATGTGAATTAATAAAATATACGTGAGGACTTCGTATTGTTTTGTCAGATGACCTGAGAGAAAGACTCAAATGATATTTTCCTGATCAAAGTTGTCGTTCTACTTTATTTCATTTACAATATCCTCTTCTTCTCCAATACTATTGAGTCATTTTCAACCAAACTTGACACATACTAGTACGAGTAGTATCCTTGGGAAAATGGGAATAATCCAATTTAAGTGGTCACACTCTCTTTGAAAGGGAGACAATAAAAAATTAAAAATAAACATTTGATGGGTAATTAAAAAATCTTTCAAATAACCACCTGGTCGGAAAATTTGAAATGTAAAAGAAAATACAACATGGTGTAGATTCATAATTATTGCTTTTAAATCTAGACCTTCGGAGTAGGGTGGAGCTACAGCGGAAGATCAAAGTTTTACATGGTTATATGTACATGTCGCAAAAAAATCTTTAAAAGCGTTCTTGGGAACAACATACCGAGGATCAGTCAAATTATTTGAAATGTTAGCACCCACAGGTAGTATATCCAAGTTTATCCAAATTATGACCCAAGGGGTAGGATAGGGTCACGATGGACAATCAAAATTTTTCATCTGAATATATTTACATATAAAAAAATCTTTAAAATGGACTTAAATAACATACATTTAGTCATATATTTGTTAAAGCATCATCAGGTAGTGTAAATTCAATTTTCAAGCATGAGCCCTGTGTTGAGGGTGGGGCTACAATGGGAGATCAAGGGGGTCAAAATTTTACATAGGAATAAATTGGAAATTCAACTGTGAAGAGAAACCAGAAGAACTATAGTTATTCAGGCAATCATTGATGCCTAAACATATATTGGCCTCTTGATAAAAAATCGAAATAAGCTTTTAAATAGGTTTTAAAATTATTAGTATTAGATTAAAGAGTTGATAATGTGATAATGATCCATAATATGTATTCCGTAATTTAGCAGATAGTACCACCATTAACTTGAGTTCATCGCTATTGCTCTCATCTGGGCACCTGTATAGAGGGATTATATACACCCACATGACAAGGTCTGCAAATACGACAATTATCAGCCTCTCTAGCTAGATATTGGACAATATTTGACTTGGGGACTTGTCTAATTACCAGATTGTTTGATATAACGCCACGAAGACAAATACATCAAAATAATGGAAATACTAAGAGAATTCTGCGATTAGGCTTCTGATAAGAAATCCAAGTCTATTACTAACGTAATTTCTGTAGACCTATATTCGATTTCGTAGATTTAACGAATTAGACCTTTTTAAAAATCTTAAAAGAACAAGAAAAAAAAAAACGATTTTGCAAACTTGGGAGCTAAATACACACAAAACACTTACGTATATTGCTCGTATATGACATCAAATATTTTACCCAACAGACACATTAGTTTAATTAGATATTCCAATGTTGAAATATGTGGAGATCACGAACATTATTCGAGCTCAAAAGTCCATGAAACATTAAAAAGTAGGAGCGGAGGAAACACGGACCTCCAAAACATCAGAGGTGGGATCGGGTGCCATGGAGGAGGGTGCATCCCCTGCTGACTGGTCATACCCGCCGTGTGCTCCTTGACATGTTCGGGAAAAACGGGAAAAAATCATGGACAACTCAGTGTGTAAATAATGGTATAACAATCAGTTTGAAAAATATCAGTCAACAGTTGATTTAAATAATAAACTGTAATTGCTGACAAGGTCATTGTATCGACCATAGAACTAACGAAATGATGACTTTAAACAAGACTGCTGATATTATGAATTCATCAAATTGTATGTCAATAACTTACCTGGTTTTAGAAATTATTCATACATAGAACATGCTCTTCCGTTTCGCATCAACTGAGAGGCATAAACTCCATATGCAGGTGACAAAGGTATATTGCTGCATAAGTAAGGGAAGTTGACGATTGTAAAGTTAAAGTCATCACGTTTATCATAAAGCTTTGTTGTAAGATAACTTCTTTTCACAAATTTTATTTGAAAATAAATTTTGTTGTTGTGACTTTAAGGATATAACTATTGTTAATTGGCAATACTTCGTCGATAAAGCTGAATGACGGGTTGAAAGCCACAGCAAGTGTTTTCTTCTTTTCACGTTAAAAAAAATTGAAAAAAAAATTCTTCATATGAATACAAAAATTGGTCTGCAAATAGCGGGGTGCAATTGGTACCCATGGGAATTCCAATAGGTTGATGAAAAAGATGGTCTTCAAAAACTACACAGGTATCGTCAATCAGAAACTCCAGCATCTTTTTAATACATTTCCCAGCTTCAAAGTACTTGTGCATGTGTACAATTAGAATTCTTTTTAATAGAGAGTAATTTTGCATATGACCAAATTGGTAATGACAAGTATTCTGACATCCTTTTTTCCTATGATAAACTAAAACAAAAATATAATATAAGCCTTTATAAATGTAACAATTATTATAATAAGCGAATAAAGTTATGTAAACTTAAGAAAGGCAAAACGTGTGAGTTTTCATGTGAAGTCATAAATTGTAATAGATATAGGTACATGTAAGTGAATAGATTGTTAAATAAAGAAACGTATGATTTAGTTTTGACGAAAAACTTGCAATTTCATTGTTTATAATACACATTTACCATACTTAAAAAGCTTTTTAACCGAAACGTGAAAACATAATTTTCCTGAACCCTGTATGGAATTTCTTTAACCCGATAACTCGGTTCATGAACGCGAAAACCTGATGAGCAATAATATTTTTCGTTTTAGTTTTTACCAACCTTACATATTTCTGACCGTGAGCCGACTTCTAGGTTGCTCAGTTAAATAGATAAAGTGATTGAATCCCGCCATTAACGCACTGTGACGGTGGCTTTTAAGACAAAACAGACATTTGTTTCATTATTTTATGACTGAAGTTTAGATAATGATATAAATTGTTATACACTGACCCGAAAAAAACTAATCTCGTCAATTTTCAAAAATTATATTACAAAATAACAAAAAAAAATTTTTTTTCAGTCTTCAGTTAAGAAGTATGTAGGAATTTTTTGTTTATTTAATTTTTTTTTGCATAGTAGTTAAAGGTTCAAGTGACCTCAGTTCTTTTAACCAAGGTGCATTTTAAGGTTTACGCAACTAGTACAGGGGAAATGAACTCTAAGAATTACGTTTATTTTTTGGTGAAAATTTGATTTTATTACAATTGATGCAGAGGTGTACTCTCATCTAATCTGTTCAAAACAACC